GCCAGCCTCTGCTCTACAGATGTTCAGAAGTCCTGGCGGGCACCGGTTAGTGAGGGAGCGCCCCCTGCAGGCGACGGGCTCCACAGCCGCTCTAGGACACTGGCCTCTAGTGGCTGGAATTCTAGCGGCCTGGAATTCTCATCCTCAACAAAAGTTCTCTCGCTGTAAGGAACTTTAGGGTGGCCGAAGGTGGGCAGAAGTCCTGCTGGTAGATTCTTTTTCACCGTCAGAAATGTTTAGGGGTCTGCAAGATGGTTCACTGTGAACCCTTTTGTGAACTTGGTTCCAACCTTGATGGTCTGAGTTCAGTCCTGAGACCCACGTGGTAGAAGGGAGAATCAACTCCATCACACTGTACTCGGACTCACACATACCAGCATGTCCCCTGCCCCCACCCCATAAAGAAAGGCAATGAAGGCTTAAAAAAAGGATGTCTGGGGGACTACAGTCACCGTTAGAGAAAAACTAGAAACAAGCTTGAGTTTCCCAGCAGCTGTGAAAGTGTCTGTTTCCTCTGGGGAAGGTGGTTGAGATGGGAGTGCAGGCGTCTCCCGGGGGTGAGACGGCTGGTGGCCAGTCCTCATAGGGTGAATCAAACACCCAGGAACATCCCTCATATAGGGAGAGATGGGAGGCCCCTCATGGGTAGCCTTCCCACGGGCTTGTCTCCTCGTTTAAGGCAGTTGCTTCAAGCCTTGGCTCAAGCTACATGTGTGTACCTGTCGGACTAAATATAGATGTGTGGATGGGCCCATGAAAAGCTGAGTGGAGTGAGAAATTTTCAGCCCTTTTTCTATTGAAGCTCTGCGACATTTTTATGAGTGTACTTACCAGAATCGCCAATCAAAGAAAGCACATTGTTAGAGCAGCTAGGCTGTGGGATAGAAGAGTCTGAATCTGAAGGGCAGGAAGCCTCTGGAGGAATCACACCAGAGAGGCTGGAATCCAAGGTCCCCTCAACTAAAAATAAACCCTCTGGCGTGTTCGTGGCTGTGGGGAAGCCGGATTCGGAGCAGGTGATTTTTAAAGGGAAGCACAGGTATTGTGGTGTGTGTGTATGCATGTTTGTGTGTATGCATGTTTGTGTGTTTTGGAGGGTACTGGTTATGGTCTGCGTTTAGGAGGAGCCCCCGCAAAGAAACATTCTTCTAGCTATCGAGCAGAAACCAGACCCAGTGGTCTGTGGGGTCTGGCCAGTAGCTGCAGAGATCCAGAGTGTGTTAAGTGCTTTGCAAACATCAGGGGCATAGGGGGCCGAGTGAGAGTCTCTCCTGGAAGGAGAGATCATCTTAGTGATAGCGAGATGAAACAATTCCAGCTGGAGCCTTAGAAGAGAACAATTTAGTGGCATGAGATGGTCCAGAGGCATAGACAAGAAGGAAGGGATAGAATTTCATGCTCACAGCAAGAGGAAGTTATCGAAAGGACTGGAGGGGCCTCTGTCGTTCGTGACTTGCTGTTTTAAAGGTTTGCTTATTTGTGATTGCACCTGGCTGTATGTACACACACCACGTGTGTTCAGGTGTCTGTGGAGGCTAGGAGAGATGGTACTGCCTCTCCATGGAGCTGGAGTTTATAAAAGGTGCTGAGCCGCCAAGGCAGGCACTGGGAATTGAACCTAGGTTCTCTAGAGCAGCAGCAAGTGCTTTTGATTCCCGAGCTCAGCTCCACATTTCATTTTTGAATACGTGAAAGCTAGCAGCCTGGAGGTAGCTAGGTAGAAGGCCTAGCAGCTGTCCGAGGCCCACGGTGGTCCTTTAACCTTCCCCTACTGGCGGAACGTTAAGTTGCTCTGTGTGGTATTTTCAACTTGGGTCACTTCCTTTCAAGTTGGCCAGGGGTTTAGGTGTGTTAGTCCTCAGCTGAGCTGAAGGGACCAGGTGAGCCTGAGGTCATGGGCCCTTCACCTTGTCCTGCCTGGCTCGTCCTGCCTGCGTGGTGTGCACACAGGCCCCATGCGAGGGTAGGTGGGAGGGGCAGAGACCCAGGGAGGGAGCCTCATGCCCTAGCCGTGCCCAGTGGTGGTTGGAGAGATAGATCAGTGCCCAAGAGCGCCAGAGGCAAACTCTAGGTTGGGCCTTCCCTTCCCAAGGCTCTTAGCACTCACAAAACTGCAGGACTCTGGCTGTCCTCCTGCTGTTCTGTAGTGTGGTTTCTGGTAAAAATGGCCCAAACCACCAAATGAGTGTACGAATACACATTTCTGTCTGTAAAGAGGGGAGATAAAAAGCCACTGTGTGGACGCTGGGGCAGGAGGTGTCTTGGAAGCTGCAGCAGTTTTTACTGTGCCCCGGAGTCTCTGTCTTTCTCTTTGCCTCCTCGAACCAGTCACGGACAGGTCCATCCCTCTGCCCCCACCTGCAGCTTCTCAACATGTGAATTCTCACCACAGCCAGATGGTGGCCATCGAGGTTTGCCTGTTCCCCTGGACTCCTGTGTTGTGGGTGGTAATGCTGGCTTTCAAAACAGAGACACTCGTCTTCCAGTAGCTGGAGGATCCAGGTCGTGACTTTGATCTCTTGGACTTTAAAAGTGACCATCCCTATAATTCACAGACCGGACACCCTGATAGACCCAATTGAGGAGAATTTTTGTTTTCTTTCAGACAGGGTTTTGCTATGTAGCCCAGGCTGGTCTTGAACTTGGAATCCTCCTGCCTTAGCCCCCTGAGTGTAGGAGTTATGAGTGTGCAGCACTGTGTCTGGCAGGATGAACATGTGCTGAAGAAACATATACATTGGGAACGCTTCTCTTTTCAGGGGCGGATGGGCCGGCTACACAGCAGTGTCGGGGCGGGGGTGGGCTGCAGTTGTGGGACACAGCAGGTGTAAGGAGACAATTACAAACGAGTGTCCTAAAAACAGACGTCTTCCGTGCAGATGCTCCGTTATGACGTATGTGAGTCAGCAGCTGTGTGGCTCCCACCCTCTGGACTCTGCTACAGCACAGCTCCTGGGCCCCTCACGCCTGTGTGCGGCCGGTTCTGGGGGCGGGGCCCCCAGTGGGCTCTGCGGGTCTCTGTGCAGGGCCTGGTGTGTAGTGTACGCTGCATGCCCCACAGGCAGACACGCTTATTTTGTGTAGCATATTAAATACCTCACTAGAGACCGGGGGATGGGTTGGTTTTGTCAGAGGGGCTGGGCAGAAAGTGGTTTTTACACTACACACTCCTTGGGTGTTATTTGGTATTTGTATGTTTATTGGGCCACTTAGGGAAAATCCAAGCGAAATGAGAAATAGAGCTAACTGCCTTGGTTGTGCCTGCAATGGGAACTTTGAGCCCCACCCAGCTGTCTGCCCCAAGCCAGATCAGCATCTCTTACCTGTTGTTGGTCCCTTTTCTGTCCTCTTGGGCCTTGTTGAAGCTCACAAAACCTCAGAGTTGTTGTCCAGGATCAGATGGGACCAAGAAGTGGTACTATTTATTCATCGCCTGGCTTGTCACCTGGCTTTTCACCTCCTGCTTTCTTGCTTTCTTGGTGTGTGTGTGTGTGTGTGTGTGTGTGTGTGTGTGTGTGTGTGTGTGTGTGCGCGCGCACACATGTGCTGTATGTGTGTGGAGGTATGTGTAGAGATCAGAGGTTGACCTTGGGTTTCTTCCGTCACTCTCTACCTTACCTTTTGGGACAGGGTCTCTCAGTAACCTTGCAGCTCATCCACTGCTGGGCTGGCTGACCGGTGAACGTGGGGGAGCCTCTTGCTTCTGTGCCCTCCTAGCAGTGTGGTTAGAGCTTCACCACGCCCAGCTTTTATGTGGATATTAGAGAGCCGAACTCAGATCCTCTTGTTTGCACAGCAAGCATCGTCCCTCTGGAGACTTCTTTGTGGGCTCATTCCCAGTCTGTCCCTGGGCTCAGATGCACCCAATTGGGATGTGGCCGGTTATGACACTGGTTCCACCCTAAAGTGGAAGAAGGAAATTCTTCTGTGCATATGCAGGCTCCTCTCTCTCTCTCTCTCTCTCTCTCTCTCTCTCTCTCTCTCTGTGTGTGTGTGTGTGTGTGTGTGTGATGTGTATGTGGCTGCCCTTAGAAGCCGGAAGATACTGTCATTGGATCCCCTACAGCTGAAGTTACAGGCAGTTAGAAGTCACTCTGTGTGGTGCTGGGAACCAACTTGGGTTCTCTTAGCAGCTGAGCCTTCTCTCCAGCCTCTCCTCCAAGCACTCTGCTCCAGCCCTAGAGAGTGGGGAACTGCTGTCAGGGGCAGGGTCTGTCTGGCATGTTCAGTCTGGCCTGGGTGCTGCCTGTGGCTGAGGACAGCTATACGTATTTCCCAACACAAAACCATAAGCTTACTTGAGGCCTTGTGATGGGCAGAGGGGGTGGTTCAGTGGGTAGAATGCTTGCCACAGAAGCAGAGAGCCTGAGCTGGAGTCTGAACCCATAGAACAGCCAGGCGCAGTGGCATGTCTGAAATCCTGGTCTACTCTTTCTCGGATGTGGGAGGCAGAGACAGGAGGATTTCCAGAAGCTCATGGCACATGCAGCATTGAAGGAGAGAGACCCTGTCTCAAAGTGGAAGATGATGACTGCCCATGTACACTGGGCATGTCAGTTCACATAAGCCCACGTTCACACACACGCACATGCATGAACATACACACACACAGGATTTTTTTGGTAATTCAGTTGCACACACCATTCTCCAGGATGAACTTTATGGGAGACAATGTTACCCTACAATATCAAAAGGGCAGACACACTTGATGGTTGTTGCTATTGTTGGACCAGCCTTCTCCATGTTGGATTTTTGAGAGCCTTAATTAGCTCTAGCAACAGAAGTATCCAGGTCCACGTGGTGAACGTGGAGGGTGGGCCTCTCATGCAAGGAAGGGAGCCTGTCGAAATGAGCGGCTAACTCCTGGTTCTTTCCAGGGCTCTCGGCAACACACTGGCTTTCACATGGAATGGGGGAGCGAGCTTAGGAGGTGTGTGCAATTCTGTCTCCTCCACGTCACAGCAGCGATTTACAACAGAAATAACTCAAAACTCTTTATTTTAAGGCATGGGAGAAATAACAGCCGCAGTTGCTACCCTTAAGTCAAATCAGAAGCCATTTTCTCCTCATCAGGGGAGAGCTCCGGACCAGCATGGCTCCTGTTCATTCACTCAGCTGGCAGAGCAATGCTGATCCCTTGGAGATCCAGTAATCATTGGGCCTCTTGGAGGGTAAGAGGACAGTCACCACGAAGTTGGTTGAATGGCCTAATAAAAGATACAAAAGGGTGGGGTGGAAGGGGGTGGGCATGGGGGTGGGCGGGGGTGGGGTGAAGAGAAGAGCTGCTATTTAAACAGTAACCTCTGGAGTCACAGAGATAAGATACTGAGTGAGAGTCAAGAGGCTCTAGCTCCAGACCTGACTGCACCTGAAGATGCGGGGCACAGTCCTCTGCAGGTTCCAGTTTCGTGCTGAACAAAAGCAGATTTTAGAATACATGGTGCTTTAGGGGCTGTCTAGCTTAGACCTTATACCTTGATGAGTACGTTTCAGGTTCTCTGTAGTCTGACTCTAGGAACAGTAGACTGGGACTAAGGCCTGACATTTCAATGGGACTTAGGGGTATCTAATGGGAGGTAGGGCATCTATTCATGTAGTCATCTATCAATTTATATATCTATTAAATTGTATATCTATTGAATGGCTAAGCAAGCACTGAAGACAGGATGCCTGTCACTATGCTTATTCATTTCAGGAGCCCAAGACTTCCAGTGTAGGATGGAATGAAGGATGGATGAATGGGTGGATGGATGGATGGATGGGTGGGTTGAGAGAGTAGCCTTGGCCTGAGGCCACTGTCTCAGTTTGATTGGTTCTCTGTTGGCCAGAAATGAATTTAGCTGCCTTCCCAAATCCCCTTACCCTAACTAAACCTCACCACTGTCTCCTAAGGGTGTTGCTTTACAGTGTACTCTGGGATGACTTGGAGTTAGACAGTAGCCACCTCCACAGGGTCGATAACTGGGATAGATGTCATATGTCCACTTAAACTGAAATCCTGGAGGGCTGAGGTCAGAGGCCTGTGCTTCTGATCAAACAGGATGGTTACGGCACAGACACTGTCCAGTGGACTGTGGTTAAATAAAGTGAAAGTGGGCTGCTTACTTCCGGGGGAAGTCTGATGACTAGAAGGTTCAGGGCAGTTGACTGTGTGTAAAGGAGAGATGGAGGAGGGCTGGAGAATGGCTCAACAGCTAAGAGCGTGTATTTGATTTTGGTTCCCACACCAGTCAGGCAGCTTACAGCCTCCTTAACTCCAGCTACAGGGGATTGATGCCCTCTTCTGGCCCCCGTGGGTATACACTCTCAGATGTACACTCTTCTCCACCTCCACCATCACAAATCTACATCATTCAAAATAAGTCACAGGCTGGGTGTGGCATTTCATGCCTGTTCCCAGCACTGGGAAGGCAGAGACAGGTGGGCCTCTATGAGTTGGAGGCCAGCCTGGTCTACACAGCAAGTTCAGATAATCAGGGTGCCTGACAGAAGAGATGAAAAGGGCGTTAGAACTGTAGGTAGATCCTGCTCACAAAAGCTGCTGCTTGCAGGGAGGACCAGGGCCTGGACTGGTGCTTAGCTGCATTTGCTCTGAGATGGTTGGGGAGCCTGTAGTGAGAGTTTTGGTTTCTTTAAAAACCCAGTTATGTTATGTGAATGTTTTGTTTTAATCCCAGGTGTGAGGTACAGGGCTGCTGCCGTTTGTCCATAGCTGTTAACTATGTTTGTCTCATGCTCTAGCAGTGGCGTTGTTTGTGCCAACTGCAGAGAGTTTAATTCTGAGGACTCGTGAAAGGGTGTGAATGCCAGAACCCCAAAAATGTGTGGAGGCTGCTGCTCTCCATGCTGCTGCCAACCGCTGCTGCCGGTTCATTCTGCTGCTGCACTTGCTCTTGCTTGTTTGCTGGCCTGTTGGCCTGCTGGATATCCTGATTATGAGGACTGGACTTGTTCCAGGGGAACTATACCCCTAAACAGCAGGAGGTAGTAAAGAAACACATGCTGTTCCTTTCCCCTCTGACCTTCTTTCTCTCCTACCTAGTGTTGGGGGGTTGGGGGGAACTAGGGTGGATAAAGGTAGGAAGGGAGGTAGAGGTGTACGAACCCCAATAAAACAGATTTAAAAACACATGCCTACAGCACCCCTTAGTGAGGAGACATGTTTTACACTCAAGGATCATTTGTGTCTCTGTAACAGCAGGAACCTGCCTCCTTCCATCCTTTTCATGCTGCTGCAGCTAACAAGGCGTGGATAGCGATCTGTTCAGCTTAGTTTCCAAACAATATTATCGTGTCCTTCTGAAATGTCGAGAAATTGTTAGAATACACTGATTCGTTAGCTAGGTCCACCGTTCATGTGTGATCCTGTTTATCTGTTCTTTTTTGTGCAAAGGTGAGAACATAAACCTTCCTTTTGTATCTAGCTGATGACATATTTCCTCACATGTCTCCTGGGTCATTTGGGGGCGAAGACTAGATAACAATTTTTGCTGCACTTATTTTAGTGTGTTTCTCTAAATCCTGAATCCTGAAGCTACAGCAACTATCATAGCTAAATTTTAATTTCTAATAGCTGTTCAATGCATTTCTCTATTGTACACACACACACACACACACACCCCTGCCCCCACACTATAACATATATTGTACTGGAACTTGACAGCTTGATTCATAATTCAAATAAGGGCCACACCTCACAGAAATGATGTGTGCCCCAAGTCCCCTTTAATTATACGTTTCCCCCTCGGCCTCTTTGTCACCCATTACAACAACTTTGTTGACGCAACCAGGCTGTTTGCTCCGCTAGGTTTCCAGAATCTCTTATCCTTGTGAAGGAAGGTTTAGACAGGGAGATTTAGACACACTCAGGTTTGAGTGTTTTGGTAGGAGTGTTTCACGTGACCTGTACCTCCTCTAGGAAGCATGCGTGGGCCTGCTTGGCTGCTGAGGGTATGCACGTCTATGGGAACTATTACTACCGTTTCACTAGGGGCTGAGTATTTTAACATTTGGTGGTTAAGCCTCAAGTATCCATCATTTATGATTTAACTTCAATTTTATCTTTATGTGTATGTATCTGCATGGGGATATGAAGTAGCACACATGTGAGCATGTGCCTATCGGCCACCAGAGGACATGAAAGGCCTTGTCACCCGAAGCCGAGTGACAAACTGTTGGGAGTGCTCTGGTGTGGGTCTGAGGAACTGAACTCCAGTCCTCTGCCAGAGCAGCAAGGACCCTTCACTGCTGAGCCATCTCTTCAAGCTAATTTAAATTTTTGTGTGTAACATGAGCTGAGAGTCTAAATGTAGCGGACCTCCCCCCCTTTTTTCTGGCACCACTTGTGGACTATCTTCTCCATTCCTGACCACCTTTAAACAGTGCTGCTATCATTTCAGGGTCCTACAGACTCAGAGCTGCTTCTGGCTCTCCACGGTGCATTGATTGGACTGGCTGATGTGTGGAGAGCCCTGTGCCGAGGCAGCCCTGCTAGAGCAAAGGGCGGATTTGTTAGAAGCGGACCCCTCTATTTTATTTTAGTCAGAGGAAGTGCTGCTATTCTTTGTTTTCATTTCACGGTGCATCTGAAGAGTTGGTTCTTTCAACAATTGCATGAGACTATTTTAAACTCAGAGATTAATTTGGGAGGGAACTGGGAGCCTGATAACACTGAATCTTCACAGTATGGTTTCCACTCAGCTCCTCCACTTATGTTGCTCTCGCTGTGTGGGCCTCAGGAGCATGCTTGAAGAGTTCCAAGCATGTTCTCCTTGTCAGATTTCCTCCTAATCTGACCAAGAGTATTCTTGGGAGAGAAACCTTTTCCTTTACTGTTGTTTCTATTTGTTTTTGAAGGAACACAGACAGGATTCTGTTAAAAGTTTTTTTTGTTTTTGTTTTTTTTTTTCAACACAGGGTTTCTCTGTGTAGCTTTGGCTGTCCTGGACTCACTTTGTGGACCAGGTTGGCCTTGAACTTACAGAGATCTGCCTGTCATAGAGATCTACCTTCCCCCGCTCTTGAATGCTGGGGTTAAAGCTGTGTGCTAGTATGCTGCCTGAATTCTGCTAACTTTTTGACATTTTGTTAGTGTTGGAGATTGAACTCAGGGCCTCAAACATGCTGAACAAATGTTCTCTGCTAAGAGTTCTGTTGATTTTTATGTAGTGGTTGTTCTTACTATCTATCATTTGTAGTAGACTCCTTTCCTGTAGATTACTTTGGGTTTTTCCATGTGATCAATTTTGCAGGCAAATAACAATTTTATCTCTTCTTTTCAAATTCAAGTTTTTATTTCATGGTCTTATTGGTTTGGCTAAGGCTTTCTGTATAGTCCTGAGTTGCAATTAGCAGCCTGGTATTGACTGTTCCTTTAATAACATTAAAGATTAAATTAATCACTAAGGCCGTGCCGTAGTCATTGATTTGACACCTCCATTGACTCCAGTGAGGTGTGAGGTAGCAGATAGAGACCACTAATCTCTGCTATGAGGTCAGCTTGGCTTTCTACACTGAGACAGCCCCTACTGAGGTGCACAGTGACTGATTAAAGTTTGTTCGTTTCATACACTGAGGCCAACATCGTGCTATGTTAGAACTCTTTTATCACGATGATTTACACTACTATGTAGAGAGAATTTAAATAAATGGTCCCTTGGTCCTGGTTAGTCTTAATTTTCAACTTGACATGGCCTAAAGATACCTGCGGGCAAAGTCTTGATTGAGGAATTGCCGAGATATGATTGGCCTGTTGGGGAATATCTTGATTATTAATTAAATGATTTAAGAGGGCCCAGCCCAGGGGCTGGAGAGATGGACCAGAGGTTGAGAGCTCTGACTGCTCTTTCAGGGGACCAAGGTTCAATACCCAGAATCCACGTGACAGCTCACAGCTGTCTGTAACTCCAGTTTCAGGGGATGCAACACTCCCACACTGACATACATGCAGGCAAACACCAAAGCACATAAAAACAAAGAGAAATAATTTTGGCTGGGTGTAGTGGTATATTCCTTTAAATCCCCGCATGCAGGGAGGCAAGGGGCAGCGTGTTCTTTGTGGGTTAGAGGCCAGCCTGGTCTATAAAGTGAGTTCAAGACAGCCAAAGATATACAGAGAAATGCTGTCTCGAAAAACAAAACCAACAAGCAAGCAAACAAACAAAAGAGGGCCCAGCCTACCCAAGGCTGGTGATCCTGGGCTTTATATTATAAGAAAGCATGCTAAACACGAGCCTGTGACCACGCCAGCAAGCAGCATTCCTCCATGACTCCTGCCTCCAGGTTTCCACCTTCTTTCTTCCTTGACTGCCCTCAGTGATAGACTGTGACCTGAGTATAAGCCAAATACAGCCTTTCCTTCCCTAAGTTGCTTCTGGTTAGAGCGTCTGACCTAGGCAACACAAAGGAAGCTGGCACACCACCCTTAAAGTGAAGCAGTTCATGATTCAGTCTTGTCACTCATAGATTCATACTCACATCCTAGGAGAAAGTGGTATTGGTGTTCAGGTTCCCTGACAGGTTGCCCTTCAGGTACACATCATTAGGATAAGGGGTTCCTTGGACCTGTCCATTGATCTCCTACGAATTTTATCTTGAGTGCTGTTCTGTGTACCATTTGCTCAGCCAGAATTTGCTATGTGCTGGACACTGCCATATCCATGCATCCCTTCCCAGGTGTCATTGTAAAGAGCATCCCACCTTCCACTTGATGAGGTTTCTGAGTCTGAGGACACAGCGTTTCTTTAGGGAATCACTAGGATGTTCTTTGTAAACATTGCCTCTCCCTCATTCTTATTTTTTCCTAAGTTGCCTGATGGATAAATGTGAGGGGAATTACAGCTTTTTCTACAGCGTCAGACTTTCCCACCACACTGTGCTGCATTTTGAGGAGTTTTCTCAGCATATTCTTTAACAGTCTTTGAAAAACTCATTGTTCTTTTAAAGACACTGCATTTATTTGTGATGTGTGTGTGTCTGTGCACCTGCATATGACACGGCACATATATGGGATTCAGCTCTTTCCTGACATCAAGTGGATCTTGGAGAATCAAATTTAGGTTGTCAGGCTTGGTGACAAGAGCCGTTACCCACTGAGCCATCTCCCAGGTCAGCCCATAGGCTCTCAGGTTATCTGTAAAGATTTCTTTCTCTCTGCCTCCTTTTTGTAGGACTATATCTCAGGTCCACTCAAAGTTTTGTGATATAGCTTTCCACTTAGTTCATTTTAAAAATCTCTTTTCTATGATAGGACAAATCTTACTTGGTGAGGGAGTGATTTTAGTACCTTGTCAGTCCATCATTTTGGAACTGGATGTCTCTGCCATTTAGCTCTGTTTTCCACTCCTTAGATTCTAATAGAAATGAACACTAACTTTATAATACCCATAACTTTTTAGTTAATACCCACTAACTTTATAATACACTCAGTGTTGTTACAAATACAATCTCAACATTTATAAACGTATATGGAGTAGGTGGCCCCACTAAGAACAAATTCTTTTATTTATTTATTTATTTTTACTTGTAAATGTGTACATCTCTGTGGGGGTTGTGTGCATGTGAGTGTATGTGTCCGAAGAGGCCAGAAGAGGGAGTCAGAGCCTCTGGAGTTGGAGTTACAGGTTAACATTCATATGGTAGGGATGAAATGCTAGTCCTCAGCAAGAGCAGCAAGTGATCATAATTGCTAAGCCATCTCTCCAGCAAGCACTCCCATTTTAAATCTGGTTAATTGGACCAATAACAGCTAGCTTTTTTTTTTGGTGGGGAGGGAGGGGTTTTTTTTTTTTATTTTTCAATCTTGGGCATTGAAACTAGATACTTTCCATGCCAGTTAGTATTGTATAACCAAGTTTCATCTATAATTCAGCAGTGTGTGTGTGTGTTTTTGTGTGTGTATATGTGTGTGTGTGAGAGAGAGACAGAGACAGGGACAAAGACAGAGACAGAAGAAGACACAGAGAGAAACCCATAAGGTTGCTAAATGGTTGAAGATGATCTTGAACGTCTCATCTTCTTGTCTCTGCTCCTTGACTGCTGGGATTACAGGCGCGTACCACCACACCCAGTTTTACCTAGTGGTGAGGACTTCACACAGGCCTTTGTACTTGCTAGGCAAGCATTATGCTGACGGAATGACCAGAATTTGGCCTCCTCTTCCTCCTCCTCCTCCTCCTCCTCCTCCTCCTCCTCCTCCTCCTCCTCCTCTTCTTCAACAGGCTCTCACTATGTGTTCCTGCCTAGCCTGGAATTCACTATGTAGACCAGACTCGCCTTGAAATCACAGAGATCTGCCTGCCTCTGCTGGGATTAAAGGTATATGCCACCACGCCCAGCAGCATTTGGGGTTTGATTGAGGTTTTTATTTGGTTATTACCTGTACAATTAAAAATATTTATTTATTCTTATGCATATGGGTGTTTTGCCTGCTTGTTTGTCTGGGCATCGCATGTGTATAGTGCCCTGGACAACCAGAAGATGGCACTGGATCCTCTGGAACTGGAGTTATAGACAGTTGTCAGCCACATTGTGGGTGGGGAGACTCAAACCAGGATCCTCTGTAAAAGCCTTAGATAGTGTTCTTCCCTGCTGAGCCATTGCTCCAGACCCCTATGCAGATCTTGTGAACATCCTCACCTGTGGTTGACAGTGTTCCTGCCCGGGCCCCCGTTTTGTAGAGCGGGGAGTGGTAGAGTGTTGGGATTGGCTCATAGTTTTGTTGTGGTTCAAAATGAACTACAGGCAGCATGGGGTTCATCTGTCCCGGCAGTGCATCTTCTATGACCATCTCGATATCATCCCACCGAGAAGCATCCATGAACATTCCATGAACAAGAACCCCATCTTCAGGAGAGGGCAACTGAAAGAGACAGAAATTTAGGGGTGAGCGGGGGAGAAGGGATTAGCAGTTTGAGTCATTGCCTGTACCCCACCTCTTCAGGAAGTACTTCTGAAAACAGTAGTTTCTAATACTGCGTTTTAGAGAAGGGTACCTTAAAGGGGGGTGGGTCACCCTGATCCTTAGTGTGCTACTGTATTCGACACGCCCACGCCTCACCAGGATGTGGACTGGAGATGCTCCTGGGAAATCCAACACTACCTGACATTATGAGTAATGACTCTTCTCTCCCTCCCGAGAAGCAGACTTGAGTCTGGAATTATCATCTGTTATTCTCAACAAGGCCTTCTGAGAATCTGGGTACCCTTCTAGAAGACAGATTATATATCTACAATACTGTTTGAAGAGTGTGCAACCCATAAAGATTACTCCTATAGCACACACCTGTTATTTTCTGTGCTTATAGTTAGGAGGAGTATGAAGCCAGCCTTTCAGTTCTGCTAGGAGGGGCTGAGTGGCTGCTGTAGATAAATTTAGTCCATAATGTTATAGTGGATTACTGTGAGTGAATTTCGTGTTGCCTATGACATTTGCCACTCCACTGACAGGGGAGTAGAAGCTTCTTTGCCAGGTAGTCGGGTGGACAATACCTCCAGGTCCATGGGCAGCTGTTTTCCAAAGGGAATGTCCCTGGCTGCTTCTGTCACCGCGGCTTGATCCCGGTAAGACGGGACCATGTTGTACTTGAAGTTCAGCTCGTCTATAGGCAAGTTGTATTTCCGAGCATGGTTCTGGAGGGTCCCTGAAGTATGAGAAGGTGGGTCCCTTAGAGCACTCTGCTGCTCCACACACACCATGTCCCTCTTGTCTACCCAGGCTGTGCTGGCTCAGAGAGCTTCCTCTCCATGGAAACCCATGTCCAGGCTGGTGGGATGACTCAACAGATTAAAGCACCTGCTGCCAAGCCTGATGACCTGAATTTGTCCCTGGAACCTACATCATGGAAGGAGGAAGGCAACTCCAGCGAGCCATCTCCCAACTTCCATATCTGCCTTGTTGGTATGCATGCCCTTCCTTCCAGAAAGACAGACAAACAAACAAGTGAAATAACAAAAGAAGGTAAGGAAAAATAATTTAAAAAGAAACCCAAGCTATTAACACTCTACATGGAATTAGTTCATAGAGCACAGAAGCCTGGATCATGCTTGGGGCAGAGGTGGTTAAGGACCCATGGGATGTATGAGTTCATGGCCTGATTAAAAAGAGATGAAAGATGGAGAGATGGCTCAGTAGTTAAGAGCACTTGTTACTCTTGCAGAGAGCCATATTCAGCTCCCAGTACCCATACTAGGCAGCTCACAACCACCTATAATTCCAGTGCTATCAGAATCCAACACCCTATTGTGGCCTCCACAGGCATCTGCGCACACATGCACATACAAATATTTGCTCAAGTATACACACACACACACACACACACACACACACACACACACACACACACATATGCATGCACGCACAAATCTATGAAACAAACACGTTGGCCATGGTGGCCCACACTTTTAAACCCAGTGCTTGGGAGACAGAGGCTGACAGATTTCTCCAAGTCCAAGGTCAACCTGATCTACATAGTGAGTTCCAGGCTAGCCAAGGCTACACAATGAGATGCTGTCTCAAAAAACCAGCCACCCAACCAATCAAAAACAAAACAACACACACACACACACACACACACACACACACACACACACACACACACTCAAAAAACACCAACAAATCCCAAACTACAAACAAAAAACAAAGGAGAGACTAAGTTTGCAGCATATTGTCCTACCGTGAGAGAGACAGACTAGTCAGAAAGTTTAGGGCAAGTCTCCTTAACTTCAGGGTTTTATCGAGTTTTCGTACACAGGCTGTTTATTAGGGATTAGGAATGAGACAGACTGAGGTCTGGGTCTACGGCATCCCCAGGGTCTGGATGCCTCTGGGAGACTGATGAAGGATAGCAAGAGTAATTGTTTAGGCTGGTGATACTGCTCAGTTGGTAAAGTGCTTGCTTAGAAGGCACAGAGCTCTGGGTTCAGTTCCTAGCACTGCCTGAAACTGGGATATGGTGAGCTATGCAAGTGATCCCAGAACTGGGGAGGCAGATGCAGCAGGGTTAGAAATCTGGGTCACCCTCAGTTGTACACTGAGGTCGAGCAGTCTGGGCTACAGGAAACCCTGTCTCAAAATGGAGAGTATGTTTTAGAGAGAGGAGGCTGCTTAGAGCAGAGGCATGTGTGGGGGTGTGGGTATGGCTGGTGGATGGCAGGAAAACAGCCCTTGAAGGAGGGTGGGGGATGGGGAGGGTCATGTCATATGGAGAGTTAAATCAATGGATTTGCCCTAAATCAAACCCATGCATAGATAATCTAAGAGGGGAAGAATCAGATTACCAGGGGACATCTAGTTCTGCATTTCCCTTTTCCCAGGTGGTAGAGAAAGAGGGATCCTAGATTGTTGTGGGTCCACAGGGCCAGTCAGACAGTGAGCAGCCACGCCATTTCCCCAGCCCCTACAAACCGCGACCTTGCCCGAAGTTCTCTCCTAGGGGAGGTAACCAGTACCTGTGAGAAATCCTTGAGGGAAGAAGAACCCGGAAATCCAGAAGGATTTGGGCTGTCCTCTTCTGAGCCACAGCTGAGGGAGAGACATGATTTCATGAGGCACTTGGTCTCTGAGGTGGAGTGTGCCATCTAAATCTGAGCTGTGCTGGCTGGGCAGAGTGGTGTCTACTGGAATCCTGACTTACTCCCTGGCTCTCATATTACTCCTGGTCCATTCCCCTTCTCACCTACCAGCCTGGACTGCAAACTTGGAACCACAGGAAACAAGAGGCTTGGGCAGCTGAGGGCCATCTGGCTGTGGGAGGCCATGTCATGTTTTGCACCTTACAATGGGGCCATATACTGCAGGTAAAACCTCAAAAAATGGCCTGGAGTTGAAAACCAATATATAGATAAGAGCCTAGGGAAAATGGCCTTATAATCTGCTTAAGACTTCCAAAGTGAAGCCATTCTGGAAGGTTCTGTTTCTCTGGAATCAAAGGATTCCTATTAGTAATGTTAATCAGAGAGAAGTTTAGGGCCAGCCACACTGCCAAATCCATCAAACCCCAAACAAGTGAGGTCTCCCGTACATCCACGAATTCAGTCCTCAGAATAAGGTCTTTGATCCACGATCCAAGTGGCTTCAGGGATGGGTAGGCTGTGTTAGACCAAAGAGAGGGAACCTGGTTGTTGAGGAAACTATGATACACTTTTTCCATTTCTTCAGACATGACCACGAGTCCAGCAATGGCTTTTTTGAGTGTTTCTAGGGAAATCTGGGAGAATAAAAAAGATCAGTGCCCATTACAGGTGTAACTACGGGGGGGAGGGGCAATGGGTTTTACAGTCTGTATGTGTGTGTCTGAGCATGCACACACATGTGGCAAAGACAACCTCAGGTACCATTCCTCAGGCGTTACTTACATGTCAGTCCTTAGACATTGTCTTTACCTTTTTTTTTTTTTTTTTTAAATTTCATGTTTAAGTGCTTTGCCTGTGCATATGTCTGTGCATCACATGTGTGCCTGGTGCCTGTGGAGGCCACAAGAGGGCATCTGATTCAGTGTGACTGGAGTTACAGATGGTTGGGAGCTGCCATAGAGGTGCTGGGTCCTTTGGAAGAGCAAAAAACGCTCGTAACTCTCGGCCTAGAGCTTACCAAGTAAGCTAAGCTGGCTGGCCGATGATTCCCCAAGGATCCACCTTTTCCTCTGCTTCCCCAGACTGGGGGTTGGGGTTGGGGTTGGGGTTGGGGTGGGGTGTTACAAATGCATGCCACTGCCTGAGGCTCCCCCACCCCCTGTGAGTTCTGGGGCAAACTTTGGCCATTGGGGCCCTTAGCCCCAACTCAGTCTTTAACTGAGAGCTGAGGTTCTGGAAAATTTCAAGTGAGTTGACGGTATTCTCAAGATATAAGGTAGGCCAATGAGGAGCATGAGGGTTTGTAATGTCACACATTCACTCAGTCACTGTTAGGATTAGGGAGTATTGACTCAACCGTATGCAGCCTGGGCCTGAGTAGCGGTGAGTACAGCCAGACGGGAGCAGGAATGATGGGATGGAGACTAAGCACGTTCAGCTTATACTGTTCTCCCCAAGGCTCTGCCACCCAGTAGCAATGATAAGGGTAAGCTTCGTACGTGGATTAACTTCAGAAGTTTGTTGAAGCGGTCCACTTCCTGGCCAAGGACGGTGGTCAGAGAGTTCAGGCGGCCTTGAGGGTCCTTGACAAAAAGGCTTTCGGAAGCTCCCTCCATTTGCAGGAATTCTGAAACATACACAGTTGGCGTCTCAGACCAGACATCCTTGATTTCGACCCCACACACTGTTAATGTCATGGGGTTTTCCTTTAAGCTATTATTCATTATAATTGTGTTTTCACGGGGTGAGTGAGTGTGTCCGTGCCATGCCATGCCTGTGTGTGTGGGGGATATGTGTGTGTGTGTGTGTGTGTGTGTGTGTGTGTGTCAAAGGACAACTTGGAGGAGTCTGTTCTCTCCTTCCACCTTCGTGTGAGTTCTGGGAACTGAACACAGGTCCTCAGACTTGCCGGATGAATATTCTATCCACTGAGCCATCTCACTGGGCCTGGTTCTTTGTTACATTCTTTTTTTTGTAAAGCTAATTTCTTTCATCATTTAAGCCAGGGTTTAAATTTCACAACATTTTTATTATTTATAAGTCTTTGATGATATACCTGTGTTTACATAGAAGCAATCACAAAAAAATAAGGCTTAGATTAATGAAAACCAGGGGGAAATGTGTGTGTATGACAGAGAGAGAGAGAGAGAGAGAGAGATATGAAATCGCCATTTTGCTTCTTGTCGTGGCTGTTTTCATCCTCTGTGCCTGTTTGAACTTTGTGGTCTCTGGCATAGCGTGGAAGGAAGGCAGAGTGTACCAGACAGAATAAAGGGCAGCCTGCTCCCTTTGTTTCTGAGTAGTCATGGGGAGGAGCTGGGAGAGAGCGGGTAAAGCAGAAGTCAGAGTGACCTTGGAATCAGAGGGACTGAGGGAGGGGCTCCTGCACATCGGGTGTGGAGGTGTGGCATGGGGCTTAAGAAAATACTTTTTGGGTTGGGAGATGGCAGGGGGTAACAGAGCCTGCTACTAAGCCTCCCAACCTGAGTTCAATTCCTGAGACACACAGAGTAAAGGGGGAGAATGGACTTTATCCCAGGTTACTGACGTCACTCATAGACAACTGGTCAAACTGGAGGGAGAATTGGTATGTCCGACCTGGCCCCGGTCTTACAAAACGGAAGTCCTGATGAGCCACATGGGCTAGAACAAAGGAAGGAACTGCATTTTTCTTGCATGTCTGTGGGAAGTGTGAGGACATAGGGGCCCTAAGACATACTAAACACAGACTAGATCATCCTAAGCATTCACAGTTTGGCTGCCGGAAGGACATCACTCAGCATGCTCTCTCAGGGCCACGGAGCGATGGTTACAGGAAACATCATTTCCCACGGGGAGGGGGGATGGAGAAGAGAGGTGGGGGGATGGGGGGGGTGGAGGTCATTTCAAGAACTCCAAGTTCTTCTGTGGAGCTGCTCAGACCTCCTGTCCCTCGGGGCAGATGAAAGAAAGCGTGAGCTTCCCTAAGCGTGGAGAAGCCTGCCTCCCATTTCACAGGGCAAGTGTGAGCTTTATGAAGCATGGGGAGAAAGTCTCAGCATCAGTGGGGCACCGGAGGAAATCCGCTGTCTCCGCTGCTCCTCACCTTTGCATCATTTCCACCCCCACCCATTATAGTTCTTGAAGAGAAACTGTTTCCTAAATTAACTGGCAGTTTTCTGCAACATTAACAGAACTCCCTGCCCAAGGGGGCATTCTGTTTTGGGGCCTGGCCCTCATGTGTTGGGGAATGACAGAATTATTTGTGGGTCACGTGGCTTCTTTCTGTCTGGAGGCCTAGAGTACTAGCAGGATTCTGTCACGGGTTCTTTTTCTCTACCTATTTTACTTTCTCTTGTTATGACATCACTTCCAAGCAGGAACAATTGATCTAGGGACGGAAACGTATTGTCAGTCTTAGGGAAGTGGGAGAGCAGCTCTTTTGAGGAAGATCCCGTGAGTTACCAGCAAATAAAGTTAAAGTAACGTAGCCATTTCTCCTGAATACCGTGGTGGACTCTAGAACAGGACTCTAACAAAACTTTAGACAGCGACGGGAATGTTCCCATCTGTGCTAAGACACAAGCACTTAAAATGCTCCCTGCCACAAAGGACTCAATGTGGAATGTATTTAAGGTTAACAAGCTGCCACACGTGGCCAGCGGCTGCTGCCTTGGATGCCACAGGCTCAGAGACTTTAGAAACAGAGAGGAGAGCAAAGCCTGGCTGGAGCAGGGTGGGCTGCTGGGGTGGTAGCTCTCTACACACAAGCAGAGAACCCCACGAGAGGTGAGCTCTGCAGGGAAAGCAAAGTCTATGAAAAAGATTAAGCTTCGACATCTGTTTACCATTCAGTTCTCTGAGTTTATTCCTAGAGCTCCCGTTACGAGTAGAATCTGGGGGGCATTTGTACCTGGAACTCTGGTCTGGATTGAAGTAACAAGCTCCTGGACTATTTCATCATTGCTTTTCCCCTCGCCACCGGAGGACGATCTTGGCTGAACCTCCAGGATGGTGGTGATCAGAGTGTTTGTCTCTTTGTACTGCGAAGGTGGTAGGAGACAGAACAGGGAAGATGGAGTCAAGATGGAGTTTGCCATGTGTGTCACTCACATAGAGGAATAAGGGAAGTTTTCAAAAACAAAGGTGTTAATTTAATTGTGGTGAGAATACAATATGGAGCTACTACCGTCACCAAACTAAAAAACATTTATAGTAACAAAATTGGTGTGTGCATGTGCACACGCATGTTGTGACGTGTAAGTGGGGGTCAGAGGAGAACCTGCAGGAGTCAGTTCTCTCCCTTTACGTTATGGGTCTTAGGGATTAAACTCATGTCATACATAGCTTGGTGGCAGCTACTTTGATCCACCGAGTCATTTCATCAGCTCTCTCTTAATCAAATTTTAAGTGTACAGTACCATAGATTACAAACCCACCGATGTTCAGCAGATCTCCAGACCTACCCATCTTTCCTGACTGAGACCTTATGTCCACTGATTAGAAAGAAGGCTGCTTCGCCATCAATGATCATCTCATTGACTTGGCCCAGCATAGACACGGTCGGTGTGCTTGGCCTGCCTCTCTAGCTTGGGCTCTCCTAGCTCAGCACAGTACTTCAGCTCTGTCTTTCCTGGCCTCTCAGCCAGAGGGACACATGGTATCCCATGGAGCTTTGGGCATAACACGAACGTTTGCATCCCCGAGCTTGGACCAAAAGCTCAGCAAGTTTCCATTTTAGCTGGCGTGGCTCAGCTGTGTCTTCAGGGCGCCTTCCTCCTTTCTTTCTTTCTGCACAGGATAGAGCAACCTTTCTAGTAGCATGACAGGCCCAGTGTCTGGGTGGACACAGGCCTTTCTCTTCCACATCTCATCCACATGGTCCTGCATCAGAGCATCCTTGAAGCAAGTGGCTCTAAGGAGTGCTTATGAGGGGCGTTTGTCACCGTCAGGCTGGCCTAGTGGCTCACAAAGACAACCACCAGCACTCATTGGCTGAGCAGAATTTGATACATGGGGTTGCAGCCTTAGTAGCCCTATTGGTTGTTATTAGTGTTTCTTCAGAGAAACATTTAAATCCACTCTCAGGGCAACTAACTTCTCCCTCATGTCCATCCTGCTCAGACTTTTAGAAAGTGACGTTTCGGCAGTGCACTGGGTGGCAAAGCCAGGCTCAGACAGCAGAGGGGGCTGCTGACACATACTTGGGACCACAGATCTGACCCCTTCTTGCTTCATTCTGTCCTTTACTAGTTTCTCCTAAGCATTTATTTAAATATAACTTGCTACATGTGGGGGAAAATATTTTGAGTTAAGACCACATGGCTTAAAAGGGGCAGAGTTATTCAGCCTAAGCAGAACATGCTATTTCATCATGATCTGCTTGATACAAAGATTTTCTCTAGCTAAAGGCAACTTGCAAACAGATAGAAGACCAATTTCAGATCTTTCCCTTCCTTCCTGAGGATGGGAGGTTAAGGCTCTCACATGAAAGAAGGCCTTCTGGTATCAGGAGAAAACAAATACTCTTCCATGGGGATCTGATAGAAAGAGAGCTTGTGAAAATCCAATATAGTCTTGCCAGGTGTAGTGGTACAAGCCCGTTACCCCAGCACTATGGAGACAGAGGCAGGCGGATATCTGTGAGTTCAAGGCCAGCCTGTGAGTTCCAGGACATCCAGAGCTATGCAGAGAGACTCTGCCTCAAGCAAGCAAGCAAAACCCCTCAAATTAATAGCGCTCCCAGGGAGGAGCACACTTCTACCAGATGTCCAGCCCTGAAAACATACATATCAGTAACATTATACAGACTGAGCAGATTGCATTTATGTATTTAGAACACACACACACCACCACCACCACCACAACAACAACTTAAAAAAAAAGAGGGCATGGCTTTGAAAGAGAGCAAGGAGATGGTACATAAGAGGGCTTAAAGGGAGGAAAAGAATAGGGGAATGACATTATTTTATTTTATTATAATCTAAAACAACAACAACAAAAATAATGACACACACACACACAAATTCGTATCTTGCTCTGACCTTCCTACATACTTTAGTTCCTTCCCTACTGCTGTTTCTCTGTACTTAACATAATACTAAGCAATGTACATATGTTTGAGCACTTCTTTGGACTTTGTCACTGGTGTCACACAAAGCTCATATTAAATCTGTAAACTTTTCTCCTGTGAATCTGTACCAGTAATGCCTGCTTAATTCCGGGGCGCAGTTGGAACCTTGGAAGGGTAGAGATGGCACTGTGCTTTCCCTGTGCAGGCATAAATGGAGGTAACTTTGTCTCTTAGTGTTTCATACGGCAGATGAACTTCCACTATTAGGTGGTTGGGTGAGGGGTTGGGAGTATCAGGAGAAAGATAGATAACTGCAAATATGACAGCTCAGCCAACATTTGAGAGGACCCTCCCAAAACTCAGCATCTGTGTAGACTGTGCTGGACATCTGTGTACTTCTTGGACAGTTGGAGGGGCAGAGGGAGGAGGTGCAGCCTTTGGGTAATCTTGGGCTGCATGACTCCTCTGTGCATTAACCATATCATGCCTGTACACCATGTGCATGCACGTCTGTGGAGCCAGCAGAGGGCATCAAATCCCCTGGGGCTGGAGTTACAGGTGGTTATGAGCTGCCATGTGGGTGCTGGGAATCGAACCCCGGCCTCTGGAAGAACAGCCAGTGCTTTTAACTGCTGGGCCATCTCTCCAACTTTCACGTTTTTATGGAAGGAAAAGGGACAGAAGTATGGAAGAAGGAAAGCTGCAGAGAGAGAAACAGGTCTGGGACTCACACACATCTGCTCTCCCAGTCATTCTGAAGCCAATGGAAAAGACAACCACCTCCAAGCCACCTGGGGTTGAGAGGCAGCTTTATCCCCCCACCTTTATCTTGAAGCTGTCCTCCAGAGGACACCGGGACAGCCCTCCCATGCTGTTGTCCCTTTGTCCTTTTCCTTTGTCCTTTCCCCCTCTCTTCCCTCCTCCCTCCACCTGTTAGGACAAGCGGTCAGAGGTCAGAGTGGAGTAAATAGAAGGTTTAGCCACAAGTATATTCTCCTTAAAGAAGAACAAGAGACGCCATGACATCATTTTAATGCTCTGCTGAATGGAGCAGTATCATTGCTGGCAAACATGAAATGAGATGTCAGAACAGTCATCTCTTGGTGTACTTTCTGGAGATCCCAGTGTTGTCAGATTCTTTGATACGGACGTAGACATCACCTTCTAACACATGTACGGGCAAAACTTAAATTGAAAAAGAAAATGATCCGGCTGCAGAGATGGCTCAGTAGTTTAGAGCACTGTCTGCTTTTCCAGAGGTCCTGAGTTCAGTTCCCGGCCACCACATGGTGGCTCACAACCATCTAGGCAGGGATCTGCTGCCCTTTTCTGACGTGCAGACAGAGCACTCATCTACCCCAAATAAATAAATAAATCTTAAAAAAAAAAGAAAAGAAAGGGAAGATGATCTCCTCGCCCCGACCTCTTCAACGACAATCTAATTCTTGACCGTTAGAGATGTCTGGCTCATTGGCACAGCCTGAGATTGTGCCCAGGGTCATGAGGGACTGTTAAATGCCATGTGCGTTCAGATTACTCTCTCGTTAAGGGTCAGCATCAGTAGGTCTCGACAGAGGAGTGAAACAATCCACCGTACTCTTTACAGCAGTTTTCAACCTTCCTCATGCTGCGACCCTTTAATACCGGTCCTCATGTTGTGCTGACCCCAGCCATAAAACTACTTTCATTGCTACTTCTTATATGTAATTTTGCTCTATTATGGATCATAATGTAAATATCTGTGCTTTCTGATAGTTTTAGGCAACCCCTGTGAGAGAGTTGTTTGACTACCAAAGGGGTCACAACGCACAGGTTGAGAATACTGCTTTGGAGCCAGTGCTGTGGTCTGTACCTCGACTACTTTGAGAGGGAAACATTAATTACCTTCCTTGGATATGTAGACATAGGCTCTGAAGGGCTGAGAAGAGACACTGGACATTTATAACTGTGCTGCTCTGATCTAACCGTGTATATCTATAACCGTGTGTAACATGAGCCAAGCGTGTCCAGTGAGGTGCGAGAAGGGAACACACACGTACACACACTCACACATGCGCACACGCGTGCGCACACATACAGAGGGAGAGAGAGAGAAAGGGAGGGAGAGAGATCTTTGGATTTTTCGAAGGCTGTGTCCAGTTGTATTAATTTTTCTTGAAGCCTTGAACATTAGAGATTAGCATCTTCATCTTTTCAGAGTATGAAGCCCAGGAGGATTCTGGACACTGCTGACAAATGAGTCTCATTAGAGACTCTAAAGGCACCAGGCTGAGTTGAAGCCATTGCTGAAAGGAAGGTTAGCCAGTCTTTTATTTTTTTTCCTGAAGGCATTATAGCTCACAGAGCTGTAAGGGCAAGGGTAATGTTTTGAGTTTATATACACAATATGAGTACATATTTTAAGCAGAAAGATCACGTACCTGGAAAACTAAGTTAGCATTTTCATGCATTCCAAAAATTTCTGGGTCATCTATCAAAGGCAGATCTTCAATGTAGTCCTTAAACTCTTGGAGGCTGTCAGCCAAGGGGGCAAAATAGATACCTGCCATTAAAACCACAGAAGACAAGATGTGTGAAATGGTCCGGCACCACCTGGCTTGATTTTTATTTTAATCAAAAATTATCTGTAGATGTGTGAGATTTCCCATGGTGTGTACATGTGAGTGCATGTGCCTAGGAGGCCAGAAGAGGGTGTTGGGTTTCTTGGAGCTGGAGTTACAGGTGATCACAAGCCACCCAACATGAGAACTCTCATCCTTTCCAAGAACAGTCTGTGCTCTTAACCACTCAGCCATTGTTCCAGCCCCACGGTTACATTCATTTTTCTTGAGGCCTTTAGCATCAAAGATTGGCATAGTGCTCTTTTCCGAGTATGGAGCCCAGAAGGATTCTGGATGATGTTGCAAGTGAGTCTCATTAAGGGATCCAAATTTATGCCTATGTTAGAAACGGTCTTTGCATTGGTTTGGTAAATGGATTCTAATTTCTCAAATCAAAGTCTTGGAATATAGGCCACTGCCCTTTTTCTAATGATGAAGAGACACACAGCTGACTGGAAGCAGAGTCTAGCAACTTGGCAGTAGAGGCTTTTGTGAGCTTGCACTGTAGTAATCGGATTCCTTCCTCTAAGGACTGACACTCAAGGCCATCCATCTCCCTGCTGTCTGACCTAGAATGAGGTACCTCCAATTCATACGTCTTCATTACTCAATATTTGGTAATGGAAGTGTTTCCTAATCATATTAAAAATGCATTAGCCCAGAGCTCTGAGAATGCATTTAGATATAATACAATCAAGTTTAATATGGAGCTCACTCACAGCGGTTGCTATATGATACACACCACTGTGTTTTTACTGTGAGCTTTGCCAGTCAAACACAGGATGGGATGAAGCTATGAAGGTGGATAGGAAGCCTGGTTGGAAAGCTGAAAGCTGATGTCCTAGGCTTCTGGGGAAGGGATTTTTTCCCCATAAGATATTTACCTGATTCAGAGTATTTATAATTAGCACTCAGTGTTTCAGGAGAGAAAAATCTCTTCAAGACAGTTCGAAGGCACCTCTGATCCCATGTATCAGTGACTCTCCCGCCATAGGTAATTTCACCTGAATGGGAGCACACATTTTAAAATACATTGCTATATATGTTTTACATTAATAAACATACCCAACTTCTAATAACTTTATTTATATACACATTTAATTGTTATCATAAGTAGTTGCTTTGTCCCTCTAAGATATAAGTCAGTTTTTAAAAGCAGGAAAAAAGTCTGATATGTGTATGTTATCCTAATAATTTTATTTAATTTTCAAAAATTTTAGGTGTACGTATGTGATTTTTGTGTGAGTTTAGATGGACTACGTGTATGCAGGAGCCCACAGACAGCATAAGAGGATGTCAGATCCTCTGGAACTAGTGCTATAGGCAGTCATGAGCTCCCATGTCAGTGCTGGGACTGAACCTGGATCCTCTGCAAGAGCTCTTGGCTGCTGAGCCATCTCTTCATTCCCATAATTTCACTTTATTTTTTCAAATAACAGAAACTAAAGCCATTGGGCTTCTTCTGACAGCACTGGGTTCTCTGCAAGAACATCTGGGCAACTTCTGGCTGCTAGGAACCTGGCTGGAGGCTAGACAGCAAAAAAGTGTGAGTGGATCCAGCCAAGAGCAGCTGAAAGCCATCAGGTTATAAAAGAAAAGAGTTTGGCTCCTTGATTATCTCCTTTTGAGAAAGCAACAGCAGGTTTCATTTATATTAAAAGAAAAGCCATTGTTTTTTTTTTTAAACAGAAGTGGGGAAAATGTTGTGGGTATGAACATGTTTTTGTTTTGGTCCCAGGTGTGGGGTGTGGGACTGATTCAGATGGTCCACAGCAGCAGATATTTGCCAAATGCCGGCTCTGAGAGGAGCTCTTTGCCAGCTGCAGATAGTTTGAATCTCAAGACTCTATAGAGAGAGTAAATGCCAGAGCCCAGAGAGTGTGGAAGCTCAGAGAAAGAACGAGGCTGCTCCTGCTTGCCTCTTGCTGCTCCTGGTTGCTGTTGTGAGACAAGAAGTTGGACTGGCTTCAAGGAACCTGACGACCCTAGCTAGCAGGAAGCAGCTAAGAGAACTGCATCCCCTCTCTTTCTCTCACCAACCCTTTCTCTCTCCTACCTGATGTTGGGGTGTTGAAAGGGATTGAGGTGGAGTAGGGAGGACAAGATAAAAGAAACGTAAATAAAAGAGTTCTAAAACGAACGCCTAGAGGCTTCACTGAAGGATTTCTTCTGTTTTCCTTTGTTTCAGAATGTTCTTGACTGTTGACCCCCAGTGACCATCAGTTTCTAAAATGTGCTTTCCGTGAGCCTTTGCCTTTGTTTGAGCTTACTGAGTAGAGCAGGAACTTACATTTGTAGAAAGACAGTTGATCTGCACCTCATAAATTATTACTATCAAGCCAGGAAGGAAAAGATAGATTCAAAGTGAGAGAGCTTGCCTGTCAGAGATTATGTCAGGGGGAATTAAAATTTATGGCTACACTGTCTCTCTCTCTGCAGGGATGCATCACCCGCATGCTTCAGTGTTGCTCCAACCAACAGGAACAGAAAGGGACCACATGGAATGGTTTTTAATGTTAAGATAATACCTTGGGAAAATTCTAGATTTACTGGCATACTTTACTGTTTATTACTGTAGTGTTCCCAAAAAGATTTCCTGGACGAGGTTGTCAAGGTTGATGTAAAACTTCAACATACTGACTCACGTTAAATATTTAGAGTATGTCTGGGGCTGAGGAGATGGGTGTCAGCAAAGCGCGTGCTCCCCCAGGATGAGAAGCTGAGTTTGGATCCGCAGCATGGCCTAGAAGCCAGGTCTGTCCTCTTAGCACTGGGGGAGGGCCGAGACAGTGGGTCCCTGGAGCTCACTGGTTGGTCAGCCGAATGGGTGAGCTCCAGGTTCAGAAAGTGAGGTGGAGTCCTACCGGTGGCCACAGCCCCAAAGAAAAAATGCCCCCCCCTCTGCCCAGGGGCCGTGGGAGTGGGAGGAGGGAGGAGGAGGAGGGAGGAGGAGGAGGGAGGAGGAGGAGGGAGGAGGAGGAGGGCACGATTAAGAGACACTGTATGTGAAAATTTCAAAGAATGCTTACTTCTAGATTTCTTATGCCCACACGCACATCACACACGTGGGTGTGTACATACGCCACTGACATACATACAAGTGATGTCTGGCATTATTGTTATTGGTGAGAAAGGTCTCTGTGATTTTTTATGTGCAAACGTTCTCACGATGTACTTAATCACTACTGTGAGTTCACCGGTGGGGACACCAGTTGTCACTGCCAGGGGTGGGCACCGTCTTCACGGGGCGGGGGCGGGGCGCTGTGAATCGGCGCCTCTGCTCCACAGCCGGATGCCCTGGCTAAGGGCCACACTCACCAGTGATGTAAATGAGCGCATCCCAGGGGATCTTTCCTTCATGACAGTAAAGGTTGAGGTTCAGCAAGGCGCATTCCCTATCGCTGTCGTTGAATTCATAGCAGATGTTCCAGCCAAGGGGGCCAAACTTCTTTCTCTCCTAGAATGGAAGATGAGAACATTTCGAGATAAAGCTGATGAAGTTAATTTTGTATAATGACAATGAAGTTAACTTTCAGTATGGAAAAGACAAGTTTTCATTAAAGGTGGGCATCTCTGAACTGCAGCCGGTTAAAAATATTTGGTTCCATTTCAGCCAGGCTTTTAGCAAACAGGCCAGACATCTTCGTTCAGTATTCCCCATGTTTCTAAAAGAAAATTTGTTTTTCCTTTAGATTTGGCAGATCTATCAAAAGAAACTTCTGCAGGGTAAAAGAAAACATTTCAAAGTAGGAAAAAAAATGCCACCTGGAGTTTGGCATAAAAATACACTTATAATTATGAGAGAGAAAGGGAAGTGTGGGGGTGGGGAGGGAGAAAGAGAAAATCGTACTTGTTTTATTTCTGTAGCTGTGATAGAATATTCTTACAAAAACAAGTTAAGGGTGGAAGGGCTTACTCGTACTTCCAACTCCAGGGTACAGCCTACAGCTATGGGAGAGCCATGGCAGCAGGGACTTGGAGCAGCTTGTCCCCGACACACAGGCAAGTGCAGAGAGGATGCTCATTTGTTTCCTTTGCTCTTACACAACTCACAACAGAGCTCAGGGAATGGTGCTGCCTACAGTGGGGCCGTGTCTTCCGGTATCAGTTAATCAAGACACTTGCCCATTGACACAGCTCAGGCCAAGATGCTCTTGATAACCCCTCCCGGAGACTCTCCTTCCAGTGATTCTAGGCTTCTCAAGCTGCACTTACAACTAACCAACACAGCCCTCTCCCCTGCTGTTTTAAGGAGCTTATGTGTGCCTCACAGTCATGGTGTGCCATGCTGGCCACCTGCTGACTTCTCCATGGTGACACAAAAACTACAGACAACTAAAATTGGTTTACATGATCACAATCTTTGTGCCATCACTTCCCATAGTGAAATCCCCTCTCCCTTTGCTATTTTACTATTCTCCTAATTTCTTAATTTCAAACTCATGGTTGGGTCAGATGTTGGCTCTTTTCTCTCTCGCAGCTCAGACCTTTACTAAATACTGTACTACCATGGCACCTCAGCTGCTTCTGTCACTGGCATATAGGTCCGTGTATGGACTTCCTGATCTCTTCAGACACATTTTGTTTACTTATTTATTCCATATCTCACATCATTACCCACCCCTTTTTCTCCAGAGACTCTCTCTGTAGAGCAGTTGAAAACCAGGAAGCTAGTCTAATCAATACACCTAGAGATAAGTGGAGTCAATAACTCAAGTACAAGGTCACAGGGCATATAGCATAGGGTTTCAGGCTGTATAACAGTCCAAGTGATGTGTCTTGAACAGATGGAAGGAAACTTGTGCTGGTTTGAAATTTTCTTTCAGAGGGTTTAGGGTTCAAGTGATGGATAAGAAGTCTCTTAAAGGTGTTGAACTTATCCAAATGAGCAGGTAGGAGTAAACTACCACAAGGAAAACAAGTGAACCAAACTGAGTGTGGTGACAGGCCCCTGCCATCCCAGCAGTGGGTAAGACGGGAGGCTGCAAACCCAAGGAAAATCTGGGCTGTGTGCTGAGTGTGAGTGTGGAGACTGTGCCTCAAGACAACCGGCAAGAAATGAGGTGAGCTGGAAGACTGGCATGTGGACATGTGGGTGAAAAAAGAATGAAAATATTCTTGGAGTTTGTAATTGTAGGTTATTGAGGAAAAGGGGCCATTAATTTTGGGACAAGAATCTAGAGGGGAAGCAGGGTTGGGGTGTGAGTCAGAGCTGAGCTGTTGTATTCAGGTGGTCACCTGGGTGATGACATTCTGCACGAAGATCAGGAAAGAGGCAAGGGCCGTGAGAGGCTGAGGCGAGGGAGACGCAGAGAATGGTGGCTGAGCTGAATGAACTTTGGTTCTAGCACAGAACGGGCCCTTAGAGTCTCAAGACGCCATTTCAAGCTTTCAGTTACATCTTAACTTACTGCTGTTAAAGAGCCCAAACAGCATCTGTACAGATGCCCCAAGGTTCAAGACTGCTTGCTGCTCATCCAGAGGACCTAAGTTTGGGTCCCAACACCCTTGTCAGGTGCCTCACAACTACCCCTAGCTCCTGCACCAGGCGATCCGACACCCTTTTCTGGTAGGCCCAAGTACCCATCTCGTGGTATGTGAGTGAGTATGCACACTCACACACACATTCATGCAAATAAATAGAAATAAGAAAATCTTAAAAAAAAAAAAAAAAGCAGAATGGAGTGTACCTGAATGATCGCATGGAAGAAGCAAATGCCAAATATTAGTTGTCTCCATTTCCTTCCAAGTATATTTTCTTCAAAAAAGGACGGTGTCATTTCAGTAAAGGCTCGCCTGATATTTGCGCGCAAGCCTTTTGGAGGCTCATTGGTCACCTGGGTTTAGAAGCAGCATATATGACAGAGAGGGTGATTTTATTTCTGGATGACACACATAGACTGGAGCTGCTGAGCTATGGATAACTGATGCCCACGGGGGCATTCTTGGCATAGTCAGTCCTGCTTTGCACATGCCTGCACGCGTGCGCATGACTGTGTTTCTGTGCATACCCATGTGAGCTCAGGGGCTGGAGAAGGGTTTAGGTATTCTACTCTCACGCTTCATCTTACTTATTTAAGACGGAGTCTCTCACTGACCCTGGAGCTCAGGCTAGAGACTGGCAACCCCAGCAATTCTCTCCTTTCTGGCTTCCAGTAGCACTGGGGTTACAGGCATAGATGTTGTACCTGTGAGTGCTGGAGATTTGAACTCAGGTCCTCGCGCTTGCACACCAAGCATTACTCTCCCAAGTTATTTCCCTAGTGCCACTACTTTTGTCTTGTTCAACCATAGTCCATGGTGAACAGAGCCTAGTGGGGTCCTCAGAACTGTCATGGTTGAAACAGCATCGCATGAACCCTAGCTATTTCCATTTGGGGTCCTTCCCTACTTTAAACATAAGTCAGAAAGCTTAGCAAGTCTCCATTGGATTTTGTGGTCATATCAAAATACAGAACTGCCCTACATACCTTGTCCCATGATGCCCCATGATGTGAGGGTAGGGAGAAAAGAGGCATCTCTTGTTTCTCATATGCAGATTCCCCTCTTATTGGAAACTCACTCTCAAATGCTGAGACAGCCCCTTAGCTCCAGGAGGGGCCTATTCTCATCACTCCGTGAGGAGCGAAGAATCGGAGGAGCTGAATGGCCAATAGACCAGGACATGCAAAAATGAGAACTGTCTGGGGAAATCTCTTTCTTTCCTGCTCGAATTTGAAAAGAATTATTACTGAGCTCTACCTTCCCACCCTGGCAACACAGTCCCTTACATGGCTTGGTCTGCAAAGTCTATGGTCCATGCAACCCCTAGGTGGCTTCAGGGACAAACTCTCTCATACACTAGTTACATACATATATTACCTTGACAGAATTCTGAAGAACTGTCACAGGAAATGTGGGACTGGGCATGGAGCTTAGAAAAAGCCGGAAAGTGTCCTTGATTGTCTGATCTGTTTAAAACAAAGACAAAACAGCTGGAAGGAAAATTTATAGCTTGTAGTGGTGTTTTGTTTTACCCCCTCCCCCTGAGAAAAAAGATATTTTAGGGAAGGAAAACAGTGTTGTAAAGGGCATTGAAAGATGCAGTTTATAAATTTCAAGTATATCATAAAGTGTCTGAGGATGAAGGTATGAGTAGTTGATCTTGAGATTTCCTGGCGGGGGGCTTAGCAGTCTGAAAGCTGGCATGTTCCAATAACGAAACTAGACATCGCAATAAAAATATTTATCTTTATTTATTATCTCTGTGTATATTATTGGTTCTTTGAGAATTTTATATGTGTTCTGATCATTTTCATCCCTCCCCAGAAACTCCTCCCAGATCCCTTTCATACAACTTTGAATCTTTTTTTTCTTTTTCACCTATCAAGTCCAGTTTGTGCTGTGCAGATGTTCCTGGATGAGTGGCTTCCAGTGAAGTGTGGCCAGCTTATCAGGGGATCCACTCAGCAAAAGTCCACTCTCCCTTTCCCAGCCGCTATCAAAGGCCAATAGCTCCTCATCGAGGGGCGGGGCTTTACTCCCTCCTCTGTCAGTCTACTAAAGCTCCTTGAAGAGCTGGCAAGAAGCTGAAGGAGCCGAAGAGTTTAAGTTAGCCTGGGTACAGTTAGCCTGAGTAAAGAGCCATCTTGACTGGGAGCTGAATTCAGGGACCAGGAAATATCACAGAATGTACCCTTGGCAGAGAACAAAGTTAATTCTCCTAGCAACAGCCTCCAGGAAATATAACAGAACAAATGCTTCATAGACAATAGAGACAAACTCCCTGGCAATAATCAATGGGAATCGGTTGGAAATTGGGTGGGAAAATTCTCAATGTTTCAGATATGGTTTAGAAAAATGGCCATTGTGATTATATGCCTTAGCCATTGTGATTGTGTGCCTCAGAAAAGGTCACCCCGCCTTGCTTAACTTCACCCAGTTCTGTAACACCAAGGCTTGTGTCCCCCTGCTTGCTGTCATGGAAACCCCTTGCTCGTAGACTTTCCTTTTAAAAATCCTGTTCACTCAGAGCTTGGGGTCCCACTTCTCTACTGCTGCGTCAGTGAGACTTGGGTCCCGAGTTTGATTGCTCTCGTAATAAAGCTCTCTTGCTATTGCATCAAGTTGTTTCCTGGTGGTCTCTGAGGGTCCCATGAATCTGGCATTACAGAGCTCTACTGCCAGGAACTGCTTTTGGGATGCTGGAACTTGTCATTTTTCATTGGAAGGTGAAAGTTTCTCTCTCACCATTTTCCATTTAAATGTACAGGGATGGCACTGAGGAGGAGGGGCCGTTCAGGGAAGGTAAGTTGATGACCAAGGCAGCTAGGTTCCCTGCAAAGAAGCAGCTTCTCTCCTCAACAGTCAGCAGAGAGTACATGTGCCAAGGGTCTCTGAAAGCTTCCGATGGTTGGCACGGCCCCAGGGAAAGGGTACTGGACACCCTAGGCCTCCTGGGTCTGCATTTTTTTTTTTTTTTTTGAGATGGATCTATGATGTAGAGCAGACTGGCTTCTAACTCACAGAGATCCACTTGCCTCTGCCTCCAGAGCACTGGGATTACAGGGTGAACCGCCACACCCCGTCCTGCGCTTCTCCATCTCTGTTCTGTTTTATGTTAGACTGCGTGTCCTGTAGCCCAGGCTAGCCTTGGCCTTTCCAAAGATGACGCTGCCCTCCCAATCTTGCTTTTCACTTCACGAATGCTACAATGCTGAGACCTGCCCATTCACCTTGGGGGTGATGTCTTTTCTGACAAGTCTGTTCTAGTTTCTCTTATGATACCCGTGGGATACATTTCAAGTTCAGCTGGCTTCCCATAGAGCACAGTGTGAAGGAAGTGATTCAGTGGGCTATCTGTCCCCTTACTTGGAGTCCAAAGGCCTATTCTGAACCTTGATTGTGGAACTTTACCTAACATCCCTGTTGCTCAAAGCTTCCTTCATAGGAGAAAAACACAAGGTCTGCAATGGAGAGTTGCCACTAGGGCATCTGGACAGGAAATGCTGTGTGAGGGTGATGCCATCACTTGGGAGTCGTGTGCACAACTTACTTGGATCCGTGAAGGTTTTGATCAGCTCTTCCATTGCCAGCATCCAAGAAACAGCAAGATGGCAGTTCTGCAGAAATACCCAGTTTCCGCTTTTCATTGCATCCTTGATCATCTTCTCAGCAATGGGGCCTTGCCCTTGTCCCAGAGAAATTGACTGTACTCTGGATGGGACAACAGTGGAAGACAGTCATGCTATTTGTAAGCAATACAGATATTTTAATTAATTAAAAAATTACATTTGTCTGTATTCTCTGTACACATGTAGTATGTGCGTCATATGTATGTACATGGGTGATAAGGTTCCATGTATATGAAAGTCAGAAGACGTAAGCTGCTTCTCTCCTTCTGTTGTGTGGGACCCAGGAACTGAACTTAGGTCATTAAGCTTGGCTGCAAATATCTTCACTAAGTGAGTTTCAGATTCACTGCATAGTTCAAGCTGGCCATGAATTTTAAATTCTCTTTCTTCGTCTCCTTAACATTAGGGTTACAGGTGTGTACAATGAGACCTATCTTGCCAATCTTTTATATGATCTCTTTTTAATATTTTCATTTAAGAAATATTTCCATACTTCAGCTGATATGATCTATATTAGTCTCCATGCCTACTACCAGCTATCAGGATTGATTTACATGCACAAGATGAGGTACCAAAGTGTGTATTGGTCATCCCACTGACTCAGGACTACATACCAAAATGATTTTTTTTCTTCATTGCTCTGAAGTGTTGCTTTCATCATAAATGGTGTCCCAAAATAGGTGGGCCTATTTCTTATTTTTCTCTTCTTTTTCTTTATCTATTTATCTAGTTTTGACTAGGACTGTGATGTCTAAATGACTGTAACAGGCTATACTAAGTGGGAGAGTCTTTCTGTAAGATGTTTCTCTGTCCTTCCTTAGCTGCCTAAGGCGCTTTCTGGTTGGTTAAATAAAGAGCTTAATGGCCAATAGCTAGGCAGGAAGAGATAGGTGGGAGAAAAGCATTCTGGGAAGAGAGAAGCAGGAGATTTATGCCCACAAGGTAGAGGAGGCTGGACCTATAGTGACTGAGAAGAGGTGATGAGCCATGTAGGAGAAGGTAGATTGGGGTAAACAGGTTAATTGGAGTTGTAGGACCCCGGCGGGAACCAGCATAAGGGAAGGCCTTAAGCAATGCTAATTAATGAAAAGTCTTAGTGTCATTATTGGGAGCTGGAGCCTCAGGGACAGGATGGCTTTAGCTGGTGCCACATGTTGGCACCAAATGTTGTTTTTAACAAAATCTCAGTCATTCAATTTTACCAATAAAGACTTGGGAGCCAGGTGCACCCAGCTGACCTTCCTCCTCAGCCAACATCCTAAAAAAAGAAAGTCTCCTTCCTCATGACTTCTGAAAAACCCCTCAAACTGAATGCTCTTCCTCCTACCTCCTGTGCGTCTCTCTATCCATCCTCCAGACTTCCTCTTACTCTCTATGATATTTTCCTACGTTCATTCCCTGTCAACTGGTTGTTTATTCCACTTCTTGACCTACGGTTGACTTTACTTAATCCTGTTTACAATTTTCAAGCCGAAAGCTCTTGGTTTAAAGTTGTGTGCTAAGGCCGAATCACATCACAACTACAACAGGTTTTTCCAGTAAACAACACAGTCTCAGGGTTCACAGTGTGATCAAATATCCTGCAGCAGCAAGTCCTGACGTGTTAAAACGTATCGTCCCATCTTGTTTTGCTTCAGTAATACTTATCCATTTTTTTTAACCATGGTAACATGGGCACATCAGTGTCTTCTGGTATATTTACAATGTTGAATGGCTAGTGAGTGACTGCTCTTTCCAGAAATATTTTCACAGCCCCAAAGAAACCTCATACCCACTATTGAAGTTCTTCCGAACAACAAAACCAATAGGACACACACCCACATGCACACACACGCACACTCGTTCTTAAAACTGTGCAGATACGGTCTCATGATATGCACAGATGTGTGTGTATGTTCATGTGTGAGATGTAATGGGTATTGGCGCCTATGATATGGAGACAGGCTAACCCAAAGTCTTCCATCCACAAGCTGAACATGCAGAAAGCTGGTCATTTCATTCTGTCTGAGCCTGCAGGCTTTAAGAACCAGGGAGTCAGCACCGAAGGAGCGTAACATGCCTTCAGCCACCTTTCTGTGCTTTCTGTCTCCTCCCCAGGGACTTTTATGTTTATTCCTCTCAGGCCTCCACTAGCTTTTCTTTTCTTTTTAAAAATATTTACTTATTTATTGAATTCGTGTGAGTGCTCTATTTACATGTATGCCTGCATGACAGAAGAGGGCATCAGATCCCAGTATAGATGTGGAAGCTGGGATCCAAAAGGCGGCAAGGGAGATAGAGTCACCGACTTGGGAAGCAGACTCTGGCAGCCAGCACGAAGTCTGGTCTATCCTTATTATACAGCAGCAAGCTTTTTAAAAAATTAATGTACTTTTATTCACTTGACATTTCTCCCCATCCTTCCTCCCATACCAGCCCTACCCTCCCTTTCTCCACCTCCTCTATTTCTCAGAGAAGGGGAACCCCTTTCCCCATCCACCCCAGATCATCAAGTTGTACCAGGACTAAGCGTGTCCTCTTCCCATGTGGCCTGGCAAGGCAGTCCTGCCATGGGGAAGTGATCAAAAAGCTGGCTGGAGAGTCCTTGTCAGATGAAGTCCCCACTTTCCTGTTGGGAACATAGCCCTGGGACCCTTCCTAAGGGCCTGACCTGCCAGATAAGCACTGGGCGCCAGCAGGCCATAGCTTCTTACAACCCATTGTTCCCAAAACTGTTTGCTTTGGGACACATCCGTGACCACCGATGTGACCACCAATATTATCTTCGGGCCTTGTAACTCTTTAACCCACCTTCTTAGCCTTGGGAACTTCCCACCAAGGGCCTTGGTATTTTTCCACTACTACTCCCCTTTCTCGCCCCTCTCTCCCGCCCTGCCAAAACCACGTTTTAAAAGAAACACCAAAGTTCAATAAAAGAGACACTTGACCGGCAACCGTCTGCTTGTGTCCTTTCTCTCTCTCCCCCATCTTTTTCAGGATTGACCCCCTTCGCCCCCACGAATAACTGAGTCCCGAGGGACGGGACACTTTCCTTGAGGACCCACATGAAGCCTAAGCTGCCCATTGACTACATTTTGTAGGGGCCTGGGTCCATGCATGGTCCTTCGATGCCTCAGCAAGCCCCTCTGGGCCCTGGAGAGGTGGCTCCGTTGGTCTTTTTGTGGAGCTCCAGCAGCAAGCTTTTTATATAGCCTTTGGATCAATGGGCAATCTATATAAGCTCTGGGCTAGCCAGTGATCCCATTGTCACTCTGGGAGATGCCACGCCTGCCAGCACCTGAGGGGACTTCCGTGCAGACAAGGAAAGCAGGCGTGGTTCCAGGCCCATTCTGAGCATTTATCAGTTGGCTGGGATCCTCTGTTTCTGTCATGCGATATGCCAGTGGACATGGACACTCATACCATAGAGTGGTGTGGAAGCCTCCATCACTGTCCACTGGCTTCCACCTGGGGGCCACAGCACCCACATATACATGGTTGTGAGCCACCATGCGGTTGGCCAGTGCCATCTCTCCAGCCCCTACTAGTTTTTCTTTATCTTTCCTTTCTGCTCTGAAAAATCTCAGTTGACCTGTGCTCATACCCACGGTGTCTTTTTCCATCTCCTTACATTTGTGCTGCACCCCTTCAGTGAAATCTCAGTATTGTGTTTTCACCGCTGTAACCTCTACTTGGTTATTGTATGTAAACCCTGTTTATTGATATCCTTATTTGGGTGAGATATATTTTGTGTTTTCCGATAGTCCCTTATTTGTGCTTTCCTTTAACTGTTATGAATAGAATTAAAACAGTACAAGCTTTTGTTATTTAAATACTGAATGCATGTGGAAAATAAAAAGTTGATTTTAAAGACATATAGAATAGGGTCACAGTTCAAGCTGACCCTGGAAGGGGGTTGGGTGAGGAATAAAGAATGGCCGACAGGTGTAGGCATGCAAATGGACGGGAGGATTGTGCTGACTAGCTGACGACAGTTAATTGTTAGAGAGAACTTTGATGGAGATGGCAGTTACACAGATCTGGTCAAAACACACACTACACGTCTGTCTGATGAATATACTATGTGTCAGTTAAAATGTATTTTTAAAGTTTTATTGTGTTATATTCATTGTCTTGCATTCTCCAAAGCAAGTTGCTAATTAATTATTTCCCATGTGAATGAACCGTATGCTCCCATTTCTCTTGTTTCTTTGGATGCACTGTAGTTTTTTGTTTTTTGACATGTAGACATTTTGGTTGCATAACGTGGCAACTACAGAAGTCAGGTTGTCCCTTCTCCTATTGCAATTTGCGTGGTTGCTATTTTTACCTAATGACTTTTCTAATATCTGTATCTTTTATGTTTATTTTTCCTGAGACAGGGTTTCTGTGGGTAGACCTGGCTGTCCGAGCACTCACTCTGTAGACAAGGCTGGCTTCAGTCTCAGAGGTCCGCCTGCCTCTGCTTCCCGAGTGCTGGGCTCAAAGGCTTGCACCGCCACTGCCCTGCTAATGTCTGTATTCTTTGCAGTGTGTACACACTGACAGCTCTGGTTGGTCGTCTTAGTGGTCAGGTGTGGTGAACCAGAGGTTTCACTCTGTGTCTGGACGGACAACAGATTGTTCAGTTTGCACGTGGGCTCTGTATGCCTGCAGGGATATGCTCTCTGTATATCCATCAGGGAAGAGGAAAACTGCCCTGACTGTCAAAGTGGGGCACAGTGTTTTCTAGACTGAAGCAATGGCTCTTCTTGGGTCTCAAGTCTGCTGGCTTTGGGCCTGGAGCTCACACCATCACCTGTCCTGGATCTCTGCCTCCCAGACCTGGTCTGGAGCCACATATATCATCAGCTCTTCAGAGCATCCCAGAGTGCTGACTGAGGAACTGGGGACCTCCCAGACGTCATAATTGCATGGCTCACTTCCTTATAATAAATTCCTATAAATAAACATACATGCACACACTCATGTGCCACCCATATCAGTAGCCTATGATTCTGTTTCTTTGCAGAAGCTTAACAAATGTGGAGCCTAAATAAAGAGATAGGGTCTATCATCTTTCGATAATTCTTAGTCCAGGGACTAGGCCAACTTTATTTGGATTCCATTGAGCTGGAGGTCATCCTAAGAAAGATGAAATTATAAGAACATAAAGGATCCTGTTCCTAGCCAGGTGTGGTGATGCACGTCTATAATCCCAGCACTCTGGGAGGCAGAGGCAGGCGAATCTCTGTGAGTTTGAGGCCAGCCTGGTCTACAAAGTGAGTCCAGAACAGCCAAGGCTACACAGAGATACCCTATCTTGAAAAACAAAAAAGAATCCTGTTCCTAAACATATTTGAACATAACGAGCAAGGTTCACTCTTTTTATGACTATATGGTTGGTAATCATGTATTAAATGCTACACGAGTTCTAATAGGCTTCCACTAGTTATGCTTTAACTTTAGGCAATCTCTCTTTGGGTCAGATGAAATTTACACACACACACTTACGATTTTGTTCCCTCTTTAGTAATACCCATGGCTGAGTAGTAATCCTATTTAGTCAGTGCTACTTGAATGGAAAAGCCAGCTCCACATGGGAGAAACACAGGCACACTTGAGTCTAAGTGATGATCCGGATGATAATACTCTCTCTCTGTCACCCACACACATGCACACACATAAAAAACATGTAACTACAACTCTGTGGTGTGATCTTACCGTTCCGCATACCCGCTCTCCCGGGCAAATCTTTGAAAGGCACCCATGGGATCAGAGCCTGTGCTCAAGATGAACACCAGGGGGGTGCTGTTTGACATGTCCTGGTAGAGCGTGGCCAGGTCCACCGGGGGCGTCTCAATGAACTGCTTGCCAAGATTTTCTATCACAAAGTCTGTAAGGGCAAAAACCACCTGAAAGTTGGAAAGAGAAAATGTATTAAAAGTAGTATGCTGGACTGAGGAAGACTTTACATTCCTATCCCAATATTCACCCTCTTAAGAGGATGCTCTGTACTTTGGTATTTTAAGAAGCAACTTATTTTATTTTCAACTATGTGTTATGTCTACATGTAGACATGTGCATGTGAGTGCAGGTACCTGTAGTGGCCAGAAGAGGGCACTAGATCCCATGGGCTGTATATGCCATGTGCAAGAGACCAGCTGTTAGCTGCTTAAGGTGGGCACTGGGAATCAAACTCAAAACCTTTGAGAGTGTGTGTGTGTGTGTGTGTATGTGTGCATACACTAAATGGCATGTGCAGGTATGCATGTATGAAGGTCAGAAGACAACTTCAGAAGACCAGGTCTTTCTTTCCACTCTGGGATCAGGGTACTGAACTTAGATCTTTAGGTTTGCACAGCATGTGCTTCAACCTACTGAGCCATCTCACTGGCTCACTAAAATTTTTTTTTGAGAATGAAATTTTATCGTTGGGTCTAAACATGCTGCTTCTGAAAGATGCTGAGTTTGTGTGCAAGACTGTAGTACCACATGGAAATAATCCATGTTGCAATGTTCCCATTCTCCTGAAGGAACATTTGACTTCAGCAGGTGGGGCTATAGGATACCCAATGGCTCTGCTTCTGAACAGAGCTGGGAAGGATGGGCTGGGCACCTTCCACCCAGAAACCTTATCTCTGGTCTCATTGGTTCTAAGGCTTTTTTATCTGGGTAGGAGTCTAGATCTTCAGTTTGAAAACTTAATTGGGATTTATTTTTTCAAACTCCAATTTCTTTCTATTTAATTAATTTATTAATGATTTATTTATTCAAGACAGAATCACACTGTATGGTCCTAGCTAGACTGGAACTCACTATGTAGGTCAGACTGACCTCATAGAGATCCTCTTGCTTCTACCTCCAATGTGCTGAGAGTATGGGCATGTGTCACCATGTGTGCCCCAAACCCTATTTTTTTAGCGGGTCATTTTCTGGAGCAAACACAGGGACAATATTCCTGAGTCATTTGATGAGGGTATCTAGTTGGAAGGGGGGATGTCTGGCATACCGTCATCATTGAACCACTTTTTCAGTGTGATCCTGAAAGAGTGGTGTAGGCATAAGGTTATTGTTGGAGGAACCCTGCTGTTTGAGGGTGCAGTCCTCCCAGTCCGGACGGCCACTGAGCTTGGTGTTAAGGTGCAGGACTCCCTCTTTCCAGCAGGGCCTCCTGCTCTCAGCCTGACTTCATCTGGAGAGTGTCTTTAGACACAGATGCCCCTAAACACATTTGATGTATGGCCTTTGACACAGCTCCCTGCTAGCTCTCCTCTCCCTGTGCCTATAGGATAATTATGAACTATGTTCTCATTCAAATGATAAGAGCCAGCTGTTTAATGCAAATCAAGCATCCTTGAAGTGCCTAGTTCCAACCAATTATGTACGCCTGTCCTGGGAGCCCCCAACCCACTCCCCAAGGCGTATACAGCCTTTCTTCTCTGGAGTTAAAGTTGAACGTTCCCTGCAGTGGTTCCCAGAGTGTGTGATCTCTGTACAGTGCTAGCTGGTCATTCCAGGCATGCTTCTCACTTCTCACCTCGTGCCCCTCCTGACATCATGGGCAGGTGGGACACAGCCCCCAGGCAGGAGGAGAACCACAGGTTATTGTCTAATTCAAATGCTGATTTCTGTAACGCCCATATGCAGTTGAGGTCCTTGTTCTGAGAATCTCGTCTCATTGTAAACAATGTTCCCCAATTGCCCCCCTTACAGCCAATTGCTGAGCAGGAGAGAAAAATAGGGCTGGACTTCCTGCCAGCCAGAGAAAAAGGAGTTAGAGGAGGAAGTAGAGGATTGAGCCCTGAGAGAGAGAGAGAGAGAGAGAGAGAGAGAGAGAGAGAGAGAGAACTCAGCAAAGAAAGCTACAAAGTACAAGTATCTCTGGGATGCACGCTGGAAGGAAGCCAAATTAGCTTGGAAGGTTAAGAATAGAGTAATAATGGCTCAGTTCTTGTGCTGTGAAGCTTGTTAAAATAATATAATGGGATACTGGGAATTGAACTCTGGTCATCTGCAAAAGCAGTGTGTTCCCTGAACTGCTGAACCATCTCTCCAGTGTCATTTCATTCAGAGTCCAGTTATATGTAAGATAAGGCTAGGAATTACAGCTAAAGCTTTTTTATTTAGACATATAAATGAGACAATCATAAACCTGATTTTACACTCCACACTAGCATTTATTAAGACAAGACCAGATCTTGCTTCAGTGATACCTCTACCCATTCCCTCAGTGCCCAGGGTTATTTCAAGGCAAATCCCAGGTACACCATCATTCACTGTTAAGTAATTTGGTATGTTTCTGTATGACAGAGTCTTTTAGCAACATAACCACACAGCTACTAATTATAATCCATTAATTTCAAACATAAAGTCAGTGTTCACTTTTCTCTGGCTGAGTTATAAGTGTGTATGTATACATGTTAAGTATCAATGTTACACATTAAGTATCAATGTGTTTAATTTAGAGTCTAAATAAAGCTTATACATAAAGATTAATTGATTTCTCTGTATCTATTCCTATTAAAAACTCCTTTTTGGGGGAGCTAGAGAAATGACTCAGGATTTAAAAGCATTTGCTGGTCTTGCAGAGAACCTGGGTTCAGTTCTTAGCACCTACATGGTGGCTAGCATCTCTAGTTTCAGAAGATCCAGTGACTCTTCTGACCTTGGCAGGTACCGGACATGTGTATGGCACATGCAAGCATGTGCAGGCAAAACACTAATACACATAAATCTTTTTGTTTTAAAACACAAAACCTCTTTTCCCCTGAGAAACAAACATTTAGTTGCATAAAACGGACTGTATCTTACAACATTTCTTGCAGCAATTTTCTAGCCACAGTAGCTTAATCTCTAGAGCTCCTCCCCTTTCTTTAGACTCTTGCTTTCCAGTCACCTCTCATGTTTGTCAACATTCCGCTCATAGCCACTGTCCCATTTTCTCTGAAGACTTTCCATATGTTTCAAAGCCTTCCTTCCCAAAGTGTTAATGATTTATCAGCTGTGTCCAGCCCCTCCTCTACCCCCTCCAAGGTGACACATCCTTGTCGGAGCTCCTTGTCCTGTCACTCCAGGGCATCTCATCTCAGACAGCCATGGAGATGGCTGACCTGAGGTAATGACCCCAGTCTGTTCACAATGAAACCCTTTTATGACTATAAACCCTTTCTTACACTTCTGTCTTTTCCTAGAAAACTCTTAGCCTCACTTTCAAAGATGTGGCTGTTAGGCTTTTGCTGCAATAGTCTGGATCTCATGCCAGTCCCCAGCCCATTTTCCTACAGAGACAGGGCAACCCCACAGTGATAGGGATGCTCTGACCATGCCAGTTAGTTCCAGTCAGTTCTCCCACCTCCATCACTTCTCCAAAGAACAGCTTCCATTTCTCTTTAGTGCCTCCAAACACACTGTGCAGGCTAGTCAGTAAACTGGGACCCTGTCTGCACATGTGAAACCATCAGCCTCCACTGCTGCTTTGCCATGCTGAGACTGCAAGCCTTGTTGTTTTTCATAACACTTTTCCCAGCATTCTTTTTTTTTTTTTTCTGTGTAGTCCTGACTGTCCTGGAACTCATGCTGTAGACCAGGCTGGCCTCAGACTCTGAGATCTGCCTGCCTGAACCTCCAAGGGCTGGGATTAAAGGCGTATGCCACCACGGCCCAGCTTATTCTTTCTGTTTTTACTTCTATTCATTTTCCTTCCCCAGAGGCTCATCAGAGCATCACCCTTTGCCTGGTGACCTCTCATTGTTTTGCACAGTGTTCTCCCAGAGTCACAGTAACCTCTTTGGCTTTACTCTGCAACTGAGTGCTGATGCTTTCCTCGCCTGCACTCTCATACACACTTCTCCCTGGAGCGCCTACAGAGTGCTGTCCACTCTGGCAGCTGGCGGGCACTGAGAGCTCACAGACATCTATATTCCACTCCTTTATCCTTTCACTTTGGCTTAGGTTTTGGTCCAGCTATCCCCACTGGCTTCCAAGCAGAACCTGGGAGCCACAGCAGTTCCCCCGTCACATCCCCGCCCTCTTGGCAATCTGCTACTCCCCCCCCCCCCCCCCCCGGGGGGGTTATTAAGGAAAGGGGGACAAAGGAAGGGGAAAGGAAAGGGGGGAGAAGGGGGGAAGGGAAGGGGGAATGGGTCACAGAGAATGTCTCTGGGTAGGGCAGGAGAGAAAGAGTAATCTGCTGCTTCTGTCTTAACTCATTCACCCGTGATCTCTCAAAAAGACTACTTTGGTAGTTATCGAACAGGTCTGGAGACTATGGTTTTTCACCTATTAAATGCCTCCTGTTATTAAGATTAGCTCCCTGCCAAAGCCTTCCAACAGATCCAGTCCCACGTGAGAAATGGCAACACTTCCCTAACAGTGAACAGCTGACCGAAGGTGACCAGGGTCCCAGCTGGCTTCTCTCTTATCCCACAGGGAAAACACTTTCTACCGAAACCATCATCTTTATTTTTAAAGCTGCTTCCTGAAATTGGCTGCTGTCAGCCACAGGTAAATGTGCGACTCACGGCTAGCTGATGCTCCTTGGTGGAAGTGTTAGGATGTTGCCCTGTAATGAAAAGTGATGACCCACCTTTTCTTCTTTACAGCATTTAATAAGAATTAGCTTATGGAAAGAGCGGAACTGTGCGCCCCAACGCTCCTCATCGTGTTTTGATCTAACATATCCTTCCCAATGGTGTGGATTAATGTAGGTCTCAAAAGATCCTGGAAAGACAGTTTTAAAGATGCTTTAATACAAGCAGTTTTGACTCTGGAATTAAATGAATACTTGCTGCTAGTTAAAAGAAGATGCCCGTGTTTACTACCAGTTTAAAAACAAACAAACAAATGTGTGAAAACATTAACCTCCCCCCATTCAAACTAGTTAGAAAGCAAAGAATGTAAAGGAGATCACAAAACAAAATCCAACAGCAAAACACTTACAAAATCAAACAAACAGACAAAATAATAGAGAGGTTAAAAATAAAGGAACATACAGAAACATTATAAGCATAAGTGAAACTGGAAATGATTTGGCTAAAACAGATATTAAAATAACCATAATTAAATGAGGTAATAGGTCAGGTTCTAATTAAGATATAAATTACATAATAAAAGTACAACAAAATAAACACATAAATTAGACAATAACAGTAAGTATATCAAACAGCCCCTGTTGGAGGTAGAAGGAAAAGCAGAAAAGAATACAATAATGTTAAGAAATAGCACACAGTGGGCTGGAGGAATAGCTCAGAGGTTAAGAGCTCTGGATGCTCTTTTAGAAGACCCAAGTTCAATTCCTAGCTCTTGCATGGCAGCTTAAAACCATCCATAATTCCAGTTCCAGGTGATTCAGTGCCCTCTTCTGATCTTTGTAGGCTCTAAATGTTTTTATTTCCTCTGATGAAGGAACAACATAAGAGTTGTATCCAAGCTGTGTGAATACATGGCTTGGGCTGAGCTCAGAGGATTTCTTTCTCTGTTATAACCATCCCTAGGTCTAGGCTTGGAAGCTTTGAGCCTCCATACAATCTAATCTGCATACCCAAACCTTGAAGGCTCTAGCCTCCAGCCTCTGACTGCTAACCTAGGCCTAGAATGTTTCAGCCTTGAGACCTACTGCTGAATAAATTCAGTTTCGCTGGCTGGTTTAACTCAGCTATTCTGGCCCAACTGCCTGTCCAAGTTGACTGATTCAAACTGGCTTCTTGCAGCTTCTGACTGAATTGCTCTGCTTGGCCTCAAACTAACTATGGCAATATGTTCAAACCTTCTGACCCCTTCTCATTCTCTGGCTCATTCTGTGTTCACCCGTCTCTGTAAAACTGTCACAGTAAACACTGCCTCACACACTCTCATAGTACACCACCCCTTTCTCTCCCTGGCTGCTCTTAAGTAACTTCTCTTTCCGGTGCTTTTGTTGGGAAAGTTGGGTGTATCCTCATCTCTGACTCATTCTGTCAAATCTTTTTCTGATTCATCACTTTTTCTGCCCCTCAATTAGACATCACTTTCAAACTAACCTTACTTTTACTGTTTGGGATATCATTAGGTGTATACTAAGGACATGTTTATATTCCCGCCAGATCATGTAATCCAGCGTGTGTCTGCATTCCAACCAGATCACATAGACCCAGGTCTTTGGATGTAGTCCCTTGTCAGAGCAGCCATGTTCCTGGATTAAAATTTCTCTATAGCAGGCACCACACATGCGCATGGTACACAGGCATACAAACATAAGACACTCAATAAAAATAAAAACAAATTAATCTCAAAAGAATTAAAAAATAGCACACAACTACCAACCTTCCACAGAAGAAATATTGACTCTGGCATATGTGATTTGGTTGAGATAAATAATAGATGAGTACATTTTGACATGTATACAACCATATACTCTAATTCACAGAGCACGACATTCATTCTTCCCACGTCTCCTCCAGCTAAACAGTATCCTCAGGAAATGAGCCTGCATCTTACATGAGGGTCAGACTGCTAGTTAGTTCCTTAAAAATATTTATTTTAAAAAAGAAATGTATCTGCATACATATGCACAGGTGTCCACAGAGGCTGGAAGAGGCCATCGGATCCCCTGGAGCTGCATTGCTGGGTCTATCTTCTGAGGGCCTAATCTCAGCAAAGAGCCAATGCCACCTCAACAGTGAGTGCCACCTGTGCAAAGCCTCTGACTCCTACGGGGCGTAGAGGTGACCTCAGGGTCTGTGGCACAGCAGTGGCTACCTGCTGAAGGTGGCTGCTGGCCTGTGAGCATCAGAGGGAAGACCCTCTTGTTGCCGAGCCAACCCAATCTGATGCAAACCCAAGCAAATGCAAAGTTCACAGCAGACTTCCCTGTGCTCCCATTCACTGTCTGATTCCTAGTGCTTTGGCATATTTCAACGCATGCTTTATTATAAAGACTTATTTGTTTTTATTTTAATGCAACATGGTTATTTTTTGGTAACTCTATATATGCATGCAATATATTTTCATCATCCCCGGCTCCTCACCATAACTCTTCCCAGACCCACCCACACTCTTCCATATATTTTTTTATTATTATTTATGTATATGTGTGAGTGTATGCTCTGTTTGTGGGGGTGGCCAGGGAAGTCAGTAGGGGGCTTCTGGTCCCTGGAGCTGGCATTATGGTTGGCTCTGAGCTGCCTGATGTGGGAAGTGAACCCAGGCTCTCTGGGAGGCCAGAAAGCATGCAAACCCTGGTCATCTCTCCAGTGCCTGCATAATCTACAGAATTACTCTCAGCTAACAGAATCTGTGGCACTTGAAAAACATAAAAGGCTATAGGTTTAGATAATTATGAGGATTTTTGATGATTAAGAGAGACAGTGCTATTAATTGATAAATATCACCAGTGAAGACCTAAATCTCACTTTTAAAGCACAAACCTTATACATGGAAACTTTGATATATTTTTTAACATTTCAGTTCCGAAGACAGGGGTAACACTTTCGTGACATCCTCCTGTCATGAAGCAATGCTGCTCATAGAGGTACTGTGCCTGTCAGTTCAGCTCCTCTCTTCTTTCTCTGCACTTGGCCTTGTCTAGTCCTGTGTCTCAGATTCATCCCTCGCTGGCCATGTATGCACTTCTCTGATGAGTAGATTTCCAGTAGGTTCTGCTATGACCTCTAGCCAGCCCATCAACTAATGTATTATGTATAGATACCATTTACATTTGATGCCCTTATCAAATAGCATTTTTTGTAGTCTTTATTTGGAAGTCAAATGATGATATTGGGATCCCAGAAGTTCTGGTCCACATAGACTCCACATTGGCACACTTGCTGGGTGTGCTTATCTAAATAAATAACAATGTTAGGAGTATGAGTAATTACTGAGAACAAGAGAAACATAACTGAAGGGAGGGAACAAAACCAGTAAGGAAGAAACTAACATGAACTGTGCATGATCCTTTTGAAGCCAAGAATTAAAAAAGAAAGTCTCTACAAGGCGAGATATAAAGGCAAATCTAAGCAGGCCAGCTCCTCAGACTCACTAATGGATCATGTGGATCCTGTGGATCCTTTCCATGGAGAGTTCTGAGTACTATAGGGTGCTCAGAGGCAAACTGGGTTTCTCCTCCCCAGACGCCTGTATTACCACCCAGTGTGGCAAAGAAATTATCTCCAGACATTACCAAATATTCCCCAGAGGCTAACAATTCTTCCCAGTTTGGAAAATAGAAATAGATCAATATCTGAAATAAATTCAGTGGACTAAAACCTGCCTGTTAATAAAGAGAGTCTTAACACGCCTCAAAACAACGACCCACCAAAGACACCCCCAAACCATAGCAATAACACCCAAGAATTAGAAATAAGAATGTAGAAATATAGAGGTGGAGGCTATCTAGAGAAACTTACATCACAAAAAAAGATTTTTAAGGGCTAGAGAGATGGCTCAGAAGTGAAGAGCACAGAGGACCCTAGTTCTGTCCACACCTGTCTGTAACCCTAGAGCCAGGGTATCAGACACCTTCTGGCCTCCTCAGCTACTCCCATTCATGGGGCAAACTCTCATGTAAACATGGGCACATAAACAAAAACAATTTAAGATATACTTTAAGTAAAAAAAAATTGTTCAGAGTAAAGAGAAATATTATATAGAAATGAAGAATTTACATTGGAGAAAATAACTTTATTTGCATATAATAGCATAACTTTATAAGATGTAGTAAAAATACAAAACTACAAACAGAAATTGCCCGTCATATAGTGTACCTCAACACACTTCTCTCAGAACCTGACAGGAGTATAAAGTTAGCAATGAAGTAAATGGCAGAGCAAGTTTGATCACATACAGACCTTGCCTCCAATAAATGAGCATAGAACGTTTTCCATGTAGCACATGCGTCAAGACGCAAAATGTCTAAAGAATTTCAAAGAATCAGTCTCACGCAGAGCACAAGGATACATTTCTTTATATAATCGAGTTATGATCCTTAAAATGAGGCCCCTGAATATTAAGTGATTTTGAACTACAAAAAGTACTTTTAGAATTGAAAGGACACAAATTAACTGCAGTGTTAAAGTTGAGAGCTATTGTTGCCTGTGGCCAAAGGGGCAAGGTGCTGGGAGGAGGGAGGAGGGAGGAGGGAGGAGGGAGGAGGGAGGAGGGAGGAGGGAGGAGGTAATTCTTATACTTCCCATTTTTCAAGCATATGGTTTACGAGTGTGTAAGCGTATGGGGTCAAGCTGCCCTTCTGACTCTTCAGTGTACACGTCATCCCTTAAGAAAGTTTTAAAGAAACCTATGGAATGCAGCTACAGGGATAGACAACGAGGCAGGTAGATCTCAAGGGCTCTCTGGCCAACCAGTCTAGTGGAAATAGTTAACTTCAGGCCCAGTGAAAGACCCTATTTCAATAAATATGGAGGAGAAGTGATAGGAAAAAAAGGCATTAGACATCAGCTTCTGGCTTCCATACCTGCCTGCTTGCAAGTACATCCTCCCACATTAGTATAAACCCATGCATACATCACACACACACACACACACACACACACACACACACAAACATTCACTATAGAGTAGCCATAAAATAGTCAAAATTCATGGGCTAAGGATTCAGTTCAAGATATTGTAAAAAAAAAAAAAGTTGACTTATCATTTCCTAAAAAATAAAGTTTTTTTCCCCTCCAAAAAGGTATAGACATTGGAGAAAGGGTGAATTCGTGACGTAAAGTCTGGACCCAGGACCCTGTCTCGCCCCTCCCCCTCATCATGGCACTTTTTGTCGTCTTACCTAAGCGTATACAAATGGGGTGTAACAGTATATGTTTTGTGAGTCCTTCAAAAACTGGAAATGATTCTTCTAGGTCACAGCAGGAGAACCACATTTGAAGATGCAGCCATGGAGCTTCTGGCTTAGGAGGGCGCTCCTACAGGGGAGAGAGAGAACACAAAGAGCAGCGGTTTACGGAGACAACAGCGCCACACTCTTCAACCTTGTCTAGGGGGAAAATAAGCTGAAACAGTGTGTTAGAAACAGCCATTCTTGGGGGCTTGTGGGTAGGGGCATCTGCTGTACAAGAATGAGGACTTGAATTCAGATCCTCAGCATCAATGGAAAAATTGGGTGTGGCTGGGTACATCTTTCAGAGTCAGGAGGAGAGCTGGAACTTGTTGGCCAGAAGCCTACCCCAAACCAGTGAACTCTAGGCCCGTGAGAGAGCTATCTTAAGGGAAGAGAGGTGATGGAGGAGGGCACCCACCATTCTATGCTGGCTTCTATCCATGTGTTCTGGGCACCCCTCCAAATGTACACCCCACATACAACCATTTTCTTAGCACAAATAGTAAGATATGATGAAATAAAGATGAGTGGTAAAGATAACTGTGTTACTATGGTAGTGCACACCCATAATTCCGTTGGAGGCTGAGACAGGAGGACCATGAGTTCAAACCTAGCCTAGGCTACCTTGTCTTAGAAAGAAACGGAGTGGAGGGAGGGAGACAGTAACCCACCCATAAAACCTTTTACCAAACTTTCCCCTGCCTACAAGAAGTGTAGGGAGCAGAGGTTGAGGGAATGGTAAACCAGTGACTGGCCCAACTTGAGACCCACCCCATGGGAAAGAGCCAACCATGACACTATTAATGGAGCTCTGCTTTGCTTGCAGACAGGAGCCTAGCATAAATGTCTTCTAAGAAGCTTCATCCAGCAGCTGATAGAAACAGATGTAAAGACCCACAGTCAAACAAAGGCCAAGCGCAGGGAGTTGTGCGGAAGAATGGGAGGAAGGATCGAGGGAGCTGAAGGAGTTAAGGATATCACAAGAAGATCTACAAAGTCAACTAAGCTGGGCCCATGGGGGCTTACAGAGACTGAACCACCAACCAAAGAGCATGCATGGACTGGTTCTAGGCCCCCTACATATATGTAGCAGGTGTACAGCTGTTCTTCATGTGGGCCTCTTAACAATGGGAGCAGGGGCTGTCTGACTCTGTTGCCTGCCTTTGGATACCTTTTCTCTAGCTGGGCTGCCTTGTCAGGCCTCAGAGGGAGATGATGAACTTAGTCCTGCTGCGACCTGAGGTGCCAAGATAGATTGGTACCCCTTGGGGGCCTCCTCTTCTCTGAGAAGAAGGAATGGGGGGAGTGAGAGTGTGAGAGTAGGACTGGGAGGAGAGGGGGGCTAGGATCAGGCTGTAAAGTGATTACGTAAATAAATGGGGGAAAAGTAAGCAAGCAAAAAGCACAGTGCTGTGTCAACCCTAGTTCTCAGGGACTTCTCTGCACATGGGAACAGGGGCTGAGACTTCCAAGTTGACCCTATAGAGAGCAGAGCTGACTCGGTGAAGGAGTAGAGTCAAATCGGTTATGCTGACATTCAGGCTCTCCCATACACCTCATCTTCCCAACTCCAAATATTTTGATGGTTAATGGCATTTTTTCACTGCACAACCATAGTCTAAAGCAGAGTCCAAGATGGTCTCAGCCTGGAAGGTGAGGAAAGCTGAACAGAGTTAGAGTAAGACCAGCTCCAAGACAAGCAAGCACTTAATTGTACAGGGATGGAGAGACAGTCAGAGGTTAAGAACACTTGCTTCTTTTGTGGAGAACCTGAATTCAGATTACAGCAGCCACGTCACACAGCCCACAACCACCCGTGATTTTAGTTCCAGGGGATCTTGACAGCCTCTTCTGGACTTGGCAAGTACTCATGTGCGTCTCCCATATACACATAATTTAAAAGAAACCATCAACAACACACACACACGCACGCGCGCACGCGCACACTTTAGTTATGATGAGCATATATGGAGTTATTTCAGATATTTCCAGAAACCTCCATTGTGCCACTTGGGAATATGCCATGGAGTACTTACATAAGGCTGAAGAGTTTTTCAAAACTATGACTACAGGCTAAAGGTAGTTCTCCAAAATTCCCCTAAATAGATGCCTGACTATGTTTCAAGCACTTTGTTGATACAAATCATACATCATTCAATTGAACGATTTAAAGCATATGACCCGATGGTTCTCAAATTTCCTAATGCTGTGGCCCCTGAATACAGTTCCTCATGTTGTGGTGACCCCAACCATAGTTATTTTGTTGTTAATTAGTAACTGTAATTTTGCTACAGGTATGACTCATAATATAAATATCTGGTATGCAGGATATCTGATGTGTGACCCCCAAAGGGGGTCACAACCCACAGTTTGAGAACTGCTGATATAACCCAATGAATTTTGAATATTAACAGATAAATACAACCATTCCACAACCAGGTGTAGAAGACTTAATCCTCTCAGTATCAACTGTACAGAAACACACTCCAGGAGCCATCTTAGGTCCAATTCCAGGTCATTACAACAAGGTGGATCATGCAATTACATGTCGCATTAAGTTTCTAGTTTACTAGGACACATAGAGTTATTTTATACCATATTGTAGTCTGTTACACACGCAACAGGCAGCGCTATGCCTTAAAGTGCATGTACCTTAATTCAACACATCATTGCTATACATTGCTAATACTATAGCAATAGTATACATTGCTATACATAGTCTGCTGAGTTGCGATGTTTTTACAAGTGGAGGCTCCTGGTGTTGATGGCTGCTGGCTGCTCAGGGTGGTGGCAATTTCTTAAGAGTAAAAACCAATGCAGATTTCATTCTTTAGCAATGGTTTCTCTGCAGCATCTCACCCACAGTAAAACATCTTTCAAAACTGGAGTCAGTTCTCTCAAATCCTTCTCGTTCAAGTAAGCTGTGTGATATTTCATTTTAAAAAGATTTATTTTATTATTTGCTTACATGTATCTCTCTCTCCTCTCTCGCTCTGTGTTGTGTGTGTTAACATGTGTACAGGTGCCTTCAGAGGTTCTGTAAGAGCAGCAGATGCTCTTTTCACTGAGCCACCTCTCCAAGCCCTTGTGTAATATCTTAAGCCCCTTCCACAATCTCCAGAGGCTCTTCACCAGGAGTAGTTTCCATCTCAAGGACTCATAGTGTTTGGTCTATAAGAAGCAATTCAGGTTTCATTGTGAGATTGTAGCAAATTAGTCACTCTCTCCAAATCCCCAGACACTCCTAACTCTAGTCCTTTCCGTTTTTAGAAGCTGCCTATGTACTTTCTTCCTGTGCAGAAGTCTGGATCCCTTCATAGTCATCCATGAGGTTAAAGTCAACTTATTCTACATTCTTTGTAGAGCAATTTTAATCCAGCAATGTGGCTGCCCTGATCACTCCCAAAGACCTTCTAGGTCTGTGTGATTTGGATGGAAGGCAGCCACGTCCTTAGTCCACACCGCTGATCCCAAACAATGCAGGTAAAGTTAGTTTGTAGAAGAAAACACCCATGTTTGAAAGTGATGTCTAACTGAGAGGCAGACAAAGTGACTAATCAGAGAAAGATCTGACAGAGTGAGTTAGAGATAGGCTACTCCCAATTCTCATGAGAAGAGAGAGGAAAGAGAGGCAATTTAAGAGAACAATGCAGAAAGGGGGTCAGTGTTTACCGGGACAGTTGTATGGAGACAGGTGGCAGAACAAGCTAGACACAGGTGAAGACAGAACGAGAATGAGAAGGAGCCAGAAGATTAGAACACATTGCTAGAGTTTGAAGCCAAGCAGAGCAGTTCAGTCAGAAGCTGAGAGAAACCAGTTTGAGCCAGAATGACTGAGGTGAACCTTCCAGCCAGAGTTCAGAAAGAGCTAGAAAGGATGAGCTTATTCAGCAGTAAGTCTCAGAGGCTGAAAACATTTTAGGCCTAGATTGTGTGGAGGCTAGAAGCTTCCAGGACTAGGCCTAGGTTGGCAGATGAGACAGAAAGCTTTGGAGATGATTTTACATCAGGCAAATAAAAATTACTTTTACAATTCCTGTTAAGCCCTCTCTTAAATCATGAGTACTCATAATGAGGTCTAGATGCTGAACTCTTTTCAGAGGTTTTCAATTTACTTTGCCCAGATATCTAGAAGAATTACATTCTATGGCAGCTATATCCTTATTAGGTGTGCTTCTTAAGTAACGAGACTAAGCCAATCCACTGGGCTCTAGAGGGGACAGTTCCAGAAAGCGTGGAGACAACGTTCGCCTCACATATCCTTGTGAGAAATCTTGTGTGCGGTTGTGGTTTGGATGTGAAACGGCCCTCACAGGCCCGTGTGTTTGATAAATTGGTCTCTAGCTGATGTCACTTTGGGTTAGGTTGTAGAAGCATTAGGGGGTGGGGTCTTGCTGGGGAAAGTGGGTCACTTCCTCCATATATATATATATATTTATTTGTTGTCTTCCATTTCTGTAGTTGGTGGTTAGTGGCCTGGCTGTAGCTTATCTGCTGTATGTGTCTGACGTCTGTTCCTAATAAAGAAGGATTTTGCTCTGCATTCATTGAACAGCATAGAAAACATGGTGTGAGAAGGAATGAGAAACACTTTTTTTTTTCTTTTCGGAAATCCTTATCAGCGTTTTACAAGGAAGACATTACTGACCCAGGAGAGCGCTCAGAATCAAACAGAAGTTATCACCTGAATCCACACGCTGCTTTCAACCTTCATGGCCACCCCACTTCTAGTCCTAGCTCTGCTTTCTGACTACGGGTATGTGACCATGTGCTTCCTGCTTTGCCACCACGCCACCCCTCCACGACAGCCTGTGCCCTCTGCTGAGCTGAACACTTCCTCAAGTCGCTTCCTGTCGCGTGTTAGTCACAACAGTAAGGGAAGTAATGCGTGAGTTAACGGGTGGGAAGGCTCGCCCTCAGTGCGTCACCGTACCTTCTCCATCCCTGCCGACCCTCGCAGGAAGAAGTTCCACTCGGCCTCAGTGAGCAGCCCATGCTGGCGCATGATCTCCACGCAGAGCATGAAGCTGTAGATGAGTTTATGCTGCTCGAAGAGCCCCCGGGACACATTGGTGTAGGCGGTGAGGAGCGTCTGCTGCAGCAGGATGCTGAGGCGATACTGCAGGTCATCAGCCTTCTCAGACGTCTCAATAGTTGTGTTGAACAGCTGCGGGAGGAAGAAGGATTTGGCTAATTCTCTGCAAAGCAAAAACTCCTGCTCCACCTCTTCCCTCATTCTGACCTACAGTGAGCAATGTGGTTGGCAAACGCTGTGGAAAAATCTAGAAGAGATCTCAGCTTAGTATGTGAGATTTGTCTTCGGGGGGCCCCCATCTCACTTTTCAGGAATGGACCAATGACAAACCCTTAGTGATGCTAAGTGACACATCACTCGGTGATCGACAGGGTGCTCTGTGGAAGATAACGTGGCGGCAGCTTCTTTCACGTCAACCTTCACACTGTAAACTCTTCACCTGGGTCATCCTGCTGGTCCGAGAAGCTGCTTTAAAGGAGACTTCCATCCTATTTCTTGTCTGGAGATTTTGAAAGCAGACCCCATGGTCAAAGATGGCCCATTTTACTGGGAAGGCAGTAGAGATGGTGGCCCTGAAGAATCAGGCATGGGAGGTCGGAGGTGACCCTATGCATTTCTGGCAACATCTGAGCCAGGTCCATAAGCCTCCCTGATATTAGCAGGGCTTAGGGGAAGAACATAATTATTGTAGACAACTGTGATAGTCCTTTGTAATTCTGGCTAGTGAATGATTAACGGTTATTTTGATGCCTTCAGTAGAGGATACCATTTTGAAGTAGCTTTTTTCAGTACTGGGGACAGAACCTAACACCTTGGCATGTAGGCAAGAGCTCTGCCTCCAAGGTATATCCTCAGTCCCGGACTTCCTGAGACAGGTTCTAACTAACATAGCCCAGGCTGTCCCTGGACCCACTGGGTAGCACCAGCTGCCCTTCAGCTCAAAATTCTTCTGTCTTGCCTTTCCTCAGTGCTATGATTACAGTGTGCTCCACTGTGCCTAGCAGTAATGGGAGTTATTATTATTAATTTTTGGTTGGGGGGGTTTAACTCCAGGTCTCCCAAATGCTAGATAAGTACTCTACCACTGAGCCATGTGCCCCATACAATGGGCTTTCTTTTTAAAGCCTGGGAAGTTGCTGAGATGGGTCAGTGCTCAGAGAAATGTAGTATCTTTGGTGCCAAAAAAAAAAAAAAAAAAAAAAAAAAAACCAACCAACCAAACAAACAAAAACAAACAAACCCAACCAAACCAAACAAACAAAAAAATTAAATTACAAAGTGCGCTAAAGAGTTTTAGTGTGAAATGATTTATGGCTGGTTTTGGTAGATGTGGTGATTTGAATGAAAAGGGCCCAGAGGCTCATATACTTGAATGCTTGGTCCCCAATTGGTGGGACTGTTTGAGAAGGATTAAGCTGTAGAGTGGTTTCGATAGCCCTCACTGGAAGAAGTGCAAGGTTGAGAAAGCCCGCCCATTTTCCCAGTTAGTTCTCTCTGCCTGTGCTTCACATGAGATGGAAGCTCTCAGCCACTTCTCCAGTGCTGCATCTGACTGCCTAGGCCAGGATGCTCATGGACTCTCTCTCTGAAACTGCAAGGCACCATTAAATTCTTTCTTTTATAAGTTGCCTTGGCCATGAACAATTTCCTCTTTTGGGCTGTTGTCTGCAAATACATTTTGGGTTCTTGACTTTTCTTTCAAAGCATAAACCCTTCGGATTTGACAATTTCTTGTATCTCTTTTTTTCCCCCCTCAGCTGAGGCATTTCACATCTTCACATTCCTTTCTCTTTTAAGATTTATTTTTATTTGTTTTATTTATGCGTATCTCTTTCTTTCTCTCTGTATATATCCTATAAGTGTATGGGTGCCCACAGAAGTCAGAAGATGTCAGACGATATGGAGCTGGAGTTACAGGTGTTTGTAAACTGCCTGTTGTGGGTGCTGGGAACTGAACTTGGATCCTCCGGAAGAGCAGCAAGTGCGCTTAACCACTGAGCCATCTCTCCAGCCCCATATTTGTATGTGTGTATATGTATGTATGTATTTTTATTTTATCTATGCCTGCATGTATACATGTACACCACAAGCATGCCTGCTGCCTGTGGAGGCCAGGAGTGGACACTTGGAAGTGGAGTTATGGACAGTTGTAAGATGCCACGTGGATGCCAGAGCAGCAAGTGCTCCTAACCACTGAACCACCTCTCCAACCCTCGCATAGTTATTTCTTGAAGGAGCTATTAAGCCTTTGAAAAACATGAATTGCCAAACAGCAGGGGTGTCGGGAGCCGCGACTCCAGCAGCGGCTTTGATATTTAAATCTCGGTGGAGAGATGGCTTTTAGCAGGCCTTTACTAATGGCAGAGAACTTGCAAGTCCATCTCCTTTTGTTTGTGACAGCAGGTGGGATAGCTTGTGAGAGTCACACCTCTTCCTCAAGCTCCTTGTGCAAATTAACCTATTGTTCTGAGATGTTTTTCTGGCTAAAAGTAACTCCTCTCAAATAAAGAGGTCAGAAGGCTGGCGACAGAGTTGGAGGCAGAGACTTGAGGTTTGCTGCTGGCACTGCTTGCTGCAGCAGCCTGCCTTTTGCCATGGCTGTCGAGTCTGGACCTTTAAAAAGTTTCCTGTGTGCTGTGTGTTTATTTTATTAATATTAATCCTCACTCCCAACTCAAGAACTGTTCAACTCTGCTGGCTGGCTCCGGCACAGGGGTAAGAAGGTATTATCCGAGTCAGTTAGGTGGTATTAAAAGAGCTAACAATCCTTATTTTGCTTGGCTTTATAGCTGCTAACAAAGAAAGTGGACCTGAGATGGGAGCGCACAGATCCGTGCTGTGGGAATGGAGGGTGACCCTGGAGCACGCAGCTTCTACAGGCTGCTAAGGCAGGCGCACTGCAGAAAGAGAGCCCAGGTCCTCAAAACAACAAAACAAAGAAGGACAGCTCTCACTTGTTTCCATTCTTCAGTTTTCTCTACCGAGGACATGTGAGTTCCCAGTGGGGGAGCCTTCTTTCCTGCAGTTCCAGTTGCTGTGGGGCCCTGACCATAGCGACAAAGCCATTAAGATGGATCTAGCTCATTTGTGTCGTAGCATTTGTCCAGGCATTTCCGTTTTCGTGGGAACTATCTGACTGCTCTGGATGAACAGAAACAGTCTCCAAAGAGACTCCTGTAGTGCTGCATAGTGCTGCACAATGAGGTCAGAGGGGTGGAGAGCTTCCGCACGGCCTTCTGGGAAGTCGTTCTGCGGCTGGAGAGAGGCACCTCCTGCCAGAGGCAAGGTGGGCTAAGTGCCCACAAGGCATATCAGGTGAGAGGAATGACTGCCGGGACTGTTGGCTATCCTGCCCATCTGCAACCTGGGTGGTACCCTCTTTCCTCAAACCTGGACTATCCTGAGCAAGTTGCTAGACTTCAGTGTGAGTGGTGTGCCACTAAGGGCCGGGCCCAGAACTCTACCTGGGTTCTCTGTACCATTGCTTCAGGGAGATGGCTTCTTGGTACCCACCTCACTTTCTTGTAGGAAGATAGCCACAGCCTCAGAGTGGCCACTGACTGTGAGCACAGCTGGATGCTGTGTGATCCTATGTGTATGGGGCAGGCCAACCACTAACTGAAACAACAGTGTGAGACTTCCCCATCTTACCGCATGTTCCTCATGAGTACCATAAACCAGGAAGCTTGGATAATGTTAATTCCATTTGAAGAAAATAAAAACGTGTTTCAAAAGAGGAAGGAATTATAAACAAAATATGCTGGGTTTTTTTTCTACTGAAGAATTAAATGAAACAAAACTCTGTTAAGGAAAAAAAAATATTGCAAAGAAGCTGCTTGGAAAAAAACTTAAATTTGTGCAGGGTCAGCACTTCTTGGAAACAAAGTATGTGCTCAAGGTTGCACTTCCTGTTCCAGATTGCATTCTGCTTCTAAACTGTGACACTTTAAATTATCCAGCTGAGTGAGAACATGAGCACTTGGGTGAAGCACAGGACCTCTTGAGTTAGGAATTAGAACCCAGTGGGGCTCCGGCCAGGTGTGCTTGGCCGGTTGACTGGGCACAGCTATGCACGCCCTTTGCTTTGCTGAAATACTTTAGATTGTGTGCTTATTTTCTCAAGACACCAGACACACTTCTTAGAATGTGCAATAATCCATCTGTGTGAGTAAGTCCTCACAGCTGTGGCTGGCCTTGCTGGAGAAGGTAGCATTGTGGCTGGAAGTCAGGGCACTCTCTCCCAAGGAATCAGGCATATCTCCACTTCTCTACTGAGAGTGACATGAGGAGGAGGAGGAGGAGGAGGAGGAGGAGGAGGAGGAGGAGGAGGAGGCCTTTGTCTTAATGTCATGGGTATGAACATGGAGGATAAGAAAAGTGGCAGTGAGCTAAATTGCTCTGTGTAGAAGAGGGGACAATATATGCTGTGGGAGTTGGTAGAGGATGCAGGAGAAAACAGAGAGAGGTGGACGGAGAATACTAGGTAGGGTGACCAAGTCTAAGACATAACCTGAAGACTGTAAATGACAAAACTGTACTCTTCTATTGAATTCTTGCAAAACTGCTCTGGCCTATAACAACAAAAGATGTGGGAGCATGAATGTGCTAAGGTGCTATGAATTCCATGTTATATACTTTAAATATGCATAATAATATTTCTTTTTCCTTCTCCCCTCCAAGTTTTTGTACATATATAGATTGTATATTGTGCAAATTCCCTCAATACTTTTAAAATTATTAGCTAAAATTTTTTTCCAGTCTTCTATTAGTTTTTAGATAAAAGACACAACACAGACATGACAGGAGGAGCAGGGAGATGGAGATTGGGCTAGTGCCGTCTTCAGTGAGCCCACCAGAGCTTGCTGAAGCTCCAGGACTCAGAATGTGCTCTTGGTAGGTACTGAGCTCCAGAGATGGTGAGGCAGCGAGTCTTCAGGAGAGCGCAGCAGAGAGTCAGGTGTGAACTCGAGGCAGGAGAACCTAGATAAGCAGGGTGATCACTGCCCCCTAGCGAGGCGCCTTGCCTGGCCTCAGTGGAAGAGGATGTACTCAGTCCTCATGAGATTTGAAGTGCTGGGGTGGATGGATACTGGGTGGGCTCCCCTTTTCTGAGAAGGGGAGGGGGTGGGAGAAATTGGATGAGGGGGGATGGGACCAGGAGAGGAGGGAGGGAGCTGAAGTCAGGATATAAAGTAAATAAATAAATAAACTTAATAAAACAATAAAATAAAAATAATTAAAAAGAAAACAGGAATGTCTCATAGTGGGCCAGTGAAACAGAAAAGGAGCAAAGGAAAGAGAGACTTCTGAGTCATAGCCATGGGGAAGAGAGCACAGCCTGGTGTAGGAGACATTCTGGGGAGGGATGGGGCAGACGCAGGAACCAGCTCTGCTGAGGCTGCCGCCACGCTCCCAAACCTGTTGCAGAGCAGAAAGAGCCAGCACAGAGCACGAAGAAATTCGACCCCATTTCCATGTGTGTGTATGCCTGTGTTGGGGGATACGGTGTGTGAGATGTCTAGGCATGTGTGCGTACGCATGTGTGTGCATACGTGCACACATGAGAACATGAACATGGGCCCGGGGTTGGTGTAGGCAATCCTCGTCACTCTTCCACCTTACTTAAGTCAGGGTCTCTCAATAAAACCCAGCGCTGGGCTCACTGGTACGGCTAATGTTGTTAAACCGAGTGCTCTGGAGCGCCCCCGTCTCTGCCTTCTCAGGCTGGGATTACAGGCAGGCAGCCCCCTCCCCCCCATTTGCTCTAGTCTTTTCATTCTTGAGCAGAAAGCACTCTAATCGTTGCTCCATCTCCCTAACCCCTAAAGCAGTGGGTCGCCACCCTTATGTCGGGGTGACCTCCGACCGTAAGATTTTTGTTACTACTACATAACTGCAATTTTACTGTCGTTACGGATTGCTATGTAGATATCTGATAGGTGACCCCTGTGAAAGGGTCGGTCTACTCCCATAGGGGTAGTGACCACCGGTTGAGAACCACTTCCCTCAAGAGATTCTTAGAGCGAAAGGCAGACCTGAGGGAAAGCAAGCAAGCCGGCTAGCTGAGGACGCGGAGAGGAAGGAGCCTTGCGGAGCTCAGCCTCCTCTCCCCCTACGTACCGAGCGCTGGGCCCCTTAGGCAGTGTGGTTGACGGGACCGCTCTTGAGCTCTGCACCTGCACCCCACGTCCTGGAGAATTTCACCCCCAAACTTGTCAAAGGCGTGGAACAGCCCAAGAGGGTTTGCGGGGAAGCCCCAACAACAGGCCAGTTACCTGTTTAAAATACTTGAGCGAGTACTGATACATGGGGTCGATTTCCGAGAGGCTGGCGATGACGAAGTACATCACGGAGCCCTGTGTGGCCACGGGGCGGTACTTCTCTCGAGCCACATTGATCATCACCTCCGTGGCCTCGGCTTCCTTCAGCCTGGCTTTAACAGCGCCAGAAGTGATCTAAATAAACACACAGCAAGTTCTTAGGGGTCTGCCTCTGAAAAATAGTGAGGATTCAGGAGCGCAGCCAGTCCAGTCTGGGAAAGAACTACGGATTTGAGTGAGTCCCTCATTAATGCCACTAAGGGGGCATTAAGGTAAAAAGTGCAGTGAAGGAAGAAGGACCCAGTGCCCTTCTTCCGACTGAGCGACGCTGGCTCCTTGCGATTAGGAAGCCGGGAAGGACAGTGGACAGCTTGCGGAGCCGTGAGGAGGCCTGGGATGGAGTTCAGGAGTAGAGTGCTCCGAGCGCGGAGACCAAGCCCATGAACACTCTGGGTAGGTGCTCGCTCAACCACTGGGCCACATCCTTAGGCCGGTACGGGATTTCTAACAGCAACCAAACATAAAGACTGTGACGTGGGGGCTCCTGTCTAGGCGAAGGCTCAAAGGTAGCTTGTTCTCTTAGTAAAGCACTCCGCCTCTACAGAGAATCACTATGGGCTGTGCTCCTTGGACACACTTCTGAACCATGCTTTAAACTTAGGAGCTAATCACTCCAGGTCTCCTGGCAGCCGCAGGTTTCTGTCGACGCCGGCCGGCCGTGACCACCATCTAGCGCCTCGCTGAGTGCTGGGATTACAGGCGTGTGCCACTGCGCCTGGCTTTAACTATGATTTTTGAGGCGGCCCACATTTCTTATATTGAGACCGGTTTCCTTACAGAACCCGTGCTACTCTGAAATTTTACTCTAGTCCAGGTTAGCGTTCAATTTTTGATCCTCTTGCTCTAGCCTTCTGCCCTACGCCTCCACTGTCGTGGATTGGTTAACAGGCTCTCTGTAAACGCTAAGACTGTGCCACTTGCCTTTGAGTCCTGAAGTGTATCAATGAGTTCTTCGTTATCCAGAATATTCCCTTCAGATGCAAAGAGCAGTTTCAGGATTTTGTCCTCGATGGATTTCAGCTGGTTTTTATCACTATTGATCCTCACAATGAGCTTATTTCTTTGCTCCTCCAACTCAGGTTTTTCAAGTCGCACCACATCGCTAGAATCAAGGTCGAAAGAGCTAGATTACAGCTTGGTCAGTTTCCCTAAGTCACCACTGTTTCCTTCCCTGTGTGTGACTGTTTCCCCCCTGAGTACTCTGTACCTGGCATTGTGAGTGCTGTGCAGCTGAATCCAAAAGCACAGTAAACGCTCGTTCTCTGGGTTGGCATGATGGCTCTTCAGAGAACTGCCAATCATTTATCTACTTTCATATGTACTTATTTATTTGGAGTGTCTGTGTGCATGTGTGTTTGTGCATGTCTGTGTGTGAGTGTGTGTATGTCTATGCGCGTGTGTATGTTGTGTGTGTGTGTGTGTGTGTGTGTGTATATGCACGTGTGTGTTTGTGCAGACGGAGGCCAGATGATGACCTCTGGTGGCATTCCTCAGCAATGCTACCCAACTTATTTTGCGACTGGCCTGGAGCTCACCCATCAGGCAAGGCTGGCTGACTGAAGAGCCCAGGCACCTGCCTACGGTAGATCTCCCAGCCCTGGGACTACAAGCCTGGGCCACCAAACACGGCTTTTTGTGTGAGTTCTGGCAATTGAACTGAGGTCCCAGGGGCCCCAGAGATGGCTCAGCGGGTAAAGGTGCTTAGAACCAGGGCTGATGACCTGAACTCAACTCCTGGGACCCACACAGGGAAAAGAGACTACTAACTCTGACAGGCAGGTCTCTGACTTCTGCACATGCTCTGCGGCTCGGGGATAGACACGCCCCACGGAATAATATACACGTGTGAAAGCTGAACTCCCTATGCTTGCCCATCAAGCGCTTTATGGACAGAGTGCCTCCTCAGCCCTGAATGTCAGTTCTGATTCTCCATCTTATATGTCAGAGGCTGTTCTCCACCATGTTCTCACAGCATCTGCACTTTTGGAGGGAACCAGTTTACACTCTAGTCATTCAGTTTCATTCACTAATGCTCCTCTATGCCAACCTTCAAGCAGGAAGCTGAACATTCTAGACAGGAGTAAAAAAAATATGGACATGAGAGAGTATGAAACCTTACCACCTCAAAGTAGCAATTCTTTTGTACAACTAATACATGAGTTTTGTCTAACAACAAAGCAAAAGATGAGCAGATACAAACTCTATCTTGTCAGCTCCATTTCCAGTCAGCTCCATTTCTACATCTAATGCCCTCCATAGAGGTAACCACAGTCTGAGGCTCCTTTTCCATATCTAATGCCTTCTTTAGAGGTAGCCATGGGTTGGGAGGCATTCTTCTGAAATACTTCCTCTGGGTGGGCCACTGTGGTGGCTCAGCAGTTACAGGTGACTGCTGCTGAGCCTGGAGATGTGAGTTCAGTCCCTGAGACCCATGTGGTAGAGGGAGAGCACCAGCCCCTGTGGTGGTCCTCCGAGGCATAGTGTCCGGGTGCGCACAACACATGCACACACAGTAAATGAAGTGTAATGAAATAGTGAAGCACTGCACATAAGAATAGAAATACATAACGCAATGCCCATAAACTATAATAACAAGATCTTTAGATGTATGTTTGCATGTGCACAGACATGGACTAAGTTCCATGTTACATTGCTAAAATAATACTGCAGATAGTATTTACACCTTGATATCACATTTAACAAAACCTTGTATTTAGCTGTGAATTTGATAAAGCCTGATATGATATATTTTTTTTTGAGATTTATTTTATTATTTGTTTTTCTTTGTAAACACTTCTAAACTAGAAGATGGCTAGAAAGATGGCTCAGAGGTTGAAATTGCATACTATTTATAGTGGAACTTTTTAGATCTACCAGCTCTTAAAAATGTGGAGATTTATATTAATATTTATAAAAGTTTAGGCACTAATGCTAGGCAAACTCTCAGCTTGATCGTGAATTAACCCAACTAGTCCTGGCCTACATCCTGACTGATTGGCCAGGCCTTCACCTCTCCTTCTGTGTCACCCTGGCGAGTCCCCACATCTGCTTTTCTTCCCAGAGACTCTCTTTCAGTCTAGAAATCCAGCCTTTCCTTTCCTGCCTAGCTATTGGCCATAGCTCTTTATTAAAACCAATCAGAGAGTGAGGGAGGGAGAGTGCTTATAAAATATGAGGCAGGTGATGAGCTACAAGAAGAATAATACCAGGGGTGGAGAGATGGCTCAGTAGTTAAGAACCCTGAGTGGTCTTCCAGAGGACCTGGGCTCAATTCCCAGCACCCACAAGCAGCTTACAACTGTCTGTAACTCCAAGATCTGACATCCTTACATAGACATATATGCAGGCAAAACGCCAATGTACATTTAAAAAAAAAGAATGACAATACCAAAATCTGGCCAGTACTCAGCTCTCTGCCACCACAGCAATTAACAATTGATTGATGTACAATATACAGAATGCGCAAAAATGTCACCTCAACAACTACTCTTGGAGAAGACCTGAGTTTTGTTTCCAGCACCCTCAGTGGGTGGCTTATAACATCCTTTAACTCCAGTTCCAAGGGATCTGATGCCCTCTTCTGGCCTCTGAAGGCATCTGCACTCAAATGCAGATACACAAACAAACATGTAAACAGAGGACTAAATATAAAAAGTAAATCTCAAAACATTAGGAAACCTATGGCCAACCCCGAGCTTCCCAAACATACTCTCTTGTAGTTACCTTAGCAACTGATCCTCCAAACCTGACTTAGTTACAGTGAAATTGATGATGGTGACTTTAATGCATACCTGAAAAAGGAGCAGGAAGAACATGAATGCCCAAGTTCAGGCTGGTATAACAAAGTGTGTTTTTGTTTTTTTATAAGAATAGGATTCCGTGTTATCCAGGAAGACGCATCTCTAGTCTGCTTATGCACATATCTACCCCCACACACCAAACATAGCATGGCTCTCAAAATTCAAACATGATTTTTCTCTGTTAGTAGGAGTGTTAATCTTGCTCCTTCCCTTTTCCCCTCAACGCAGGATCCTACATGATAGTTTAAGGACTGATGAGCCAGAAAAGGGTTAGCAGCCACATTTTTAGAATCAACACCTTGAGTTTGAATTCCAGCTGCACCGTTCGGTGCTTTCATGATGTTGGGCAAACCTGCTTGTCTCTGTCAAGCTTTAGTTTCGGATAGTTATTAAAGAATTCATAGGGTATATATAGTGATTTGCACATAATGGCTTTGTTAAAAAGAAGCTTTATTTGTAAAAAGATGAGCTTTACTTCTTTCATTTTATCGTAACATTTTTATGGGAAACTATTACCATACTATCATAATAGTCAGACTTCTCTTGAATAAGTCAATGGCAAGGAGAAGGAAAAGGATAATACCTTCTGCCGTGTGTAACAACAGTTACTGGAACTCTGGCCAATAATTCTCTTAATCCGCCCAATTACTAGAGTTTCCTAATAAGTGACAATTTTATTTGGGAGTATATGGGTATTTGAACAGTGCCGTGAGATAGGCCACTGCTTTGGGGACTGACTTGCTTGTGTCCTCTGAAAGGAAGAAGGGTGTAGAGGGGGAAAAGGGAGAACAGGAGAGTTGCCAGCTGTCCCTGTAGGCGGGAACCCACCGAGCTTTGGAGACTCATCACACACAGTCTAGCTCGGTGAAAAGTTCCAACTAGCAGCTCATACACACCTCAGGCAGGTAGTGGGGATTCGGCATTTTCGTTGTCATATAAAACCTGAAATTCCGGTCATAATCGATGTCTGAGTCTCCAAGGCGGATGAGTAGTCTTCCGCCACTGATGAAAATTTGCTTTAAGAGAATGGGTTCCAGAGCTGGATCCAACACTTCTTTGAGCTTAAAAATGGAAACAAACCATGCAAGGTTTAAAAATGGATGCCATCAACATCCATAAGGGCCTCAGAATTTATTTTGAATAAATACTTTTCCCCATGATCATGTGTTTCCTAATGTGATCATGTGTTTCCTTAACTCTAGCAGTACTGGTTTTGTTATTATTTTATCACATAAGTGAACAATAGCACACAAAGGCAATTCACTTATTTAGGATAGTCTCACATGCTGCTCGTTCCCATGAGAAATGAGCTAAGAGAGGAAAGCTAAGATGGGGAATGACTGCGGGGTGACCCACTCCTCGGCTGTCTGCCAACAAGGAGGTCTATGTGGTGAAACGTCTTTCTAAAAATACCTCTTGATCTCAAAAAGACTGAACTTTTGCTAGATCTTGTAACCAAGCTAATAATCTGCCTTGAGGTCATTTAAGACTGTATACTTAATTGGCGAGCTCCTGGTTCGGTGGGACGCCCTGTTTGGAAAAACAAGGTGTAGACTGATAGAGGAAGATGTCCGAGGTCGACTTCTGGCCTCCAAGTGCATGCACAACGTATGAACTGCCTCCTCCCTGGCCTCCACACAAAATGCTGAGATAGACAAGATTGGTTTCACGCTCATAAGCGGGTAGTAACAAAGTCTGGAAGAACCACTGTAGCAAACACAGAGAGGCTCTAAGGGTGAGCACGACGGTGATGACCTCAAGCCCTGGAGAGGAGGGAAGGCCCGGCTGGAGCATCCTGGCAAGGTGGGACTCCAGGGTGTGCTCTGCTGTAGATAAAAGGCTCTCTTACACAGGGGCACAACACTACTGAAGGAATTTTGTCCTCTGCTATGAAAAAGGAAAAGTCCCTGGGGCCTCTCATGTCTGAAAGTAAACGCAGGGTTGAGAGCACAGCTCTAACCTAACGTAGTTAACTGTGCCAAAGCCTTCCAGAGACGTCCCTCTATCACATGACATCAGGGTTCAAGGCAGGGTCTGGGATTCATTCTAGAACCTTCTCTGCATTCACCAAAGCATGGCTGCTTTGAGGCCCTGGTGCTCTATGTGGCTCAAATGGGGAGTATTGTAATTCATTTTCTCTTTTCTAAGCAGGCAAGAATGTTAAGATAGTTCAGCTTCTCAACGCCTCACTTTTTCCATTGGAAGAATGGGATAATATTAGTAGCTTTATGGTAAGGTTGAAGTAAAGGTTAATGAGTTAGAATACTGAGAACAAAATTGTGACTGTTTGGTTTCCACAAATGTTTGGGATGCCATCATGTTGATTGTTGGTCCTTGTTACTGTGAAAGGGATGCAGCCAGGTTACCCCTGATCAGTGTCATTTCTGAGCATCCTTTGGGCTGAACCAGAGATACTTGTACCTGGGATTGAAGTGGTCACAGCTCATGCTTTTATTTATTCCTTTTTCCGTTATAAAAAATGGAATGGCAAATTAAGGAGGCCAAGTACAGTTACTAGGCAACCCCCTTGGTTCCTGAGTCTCCTTGCCCAGGAGATGTTCTTGCTGAGTTGAGCTGAGGGAGAAATCACAGCTTAAATCTCCCCCTCTCTATGCTCTGTGCTGGTTAGTTTTTATTGTTAATTTGAGAAAACCTGGAGTCATCTGAGAAGAGGGAGCCTCAGTTGAGGAACTGTCTGCGTCAGAGTGGCCTGTCAGCATGTCTGTGACATTGCCTTGACTGATTGATGATGGAGGGCCCAGCCATCCCCCAGGCAGGTAACTCTGGGCTGTGTTAACAAAACCCAGAATGAGTCGATGAAGGACCCAACAAGCAGCATTCTTGTTGCTACCCAACCTTTCTCAGTGATGGACTGGGCCTTGGAAGTGGAAGTCACACAAATCATTTTGTCCCCAAGTTGCTTTGTCTTATCCCAGCCAGAGGATGAAAGCAGATCAGGACCATGTCCCTGCTCTTGCTGGTTGTCTCTGTATCCTGCTTATTCTTTCAAAGCTTTGCCTGCTTTTCTTTTTTTGTGTACTGTCTTTGTTCCCAATGAGTCTGTGGCTTTTGAGGACGGGGACTCTGTCGTATTGTGTGTTCTCAAATGTTTGTGGAATGAATGAACTAATTAGTCTTGGAGCGACAAATGTCATAGTAGAACATCTTAATTCAATGAGCCACCCTCTAGGGGCTGGGAATGTAGCTGAGTTGCTAGGGTATTGGCCAAGCATGCCAAAAGCCCCAAGTTCCAGCCCTGGCACTGTAGAAACCAGCTTTGGTGGCACGTATCTGTAATCCTAGAATTCAGGAGGTAGAGGCAGGTTAATCAAAAATTCAAGGTAAATTTTGGCTACATCGTAAGTTTGAGATGAGCCTGTATACATAAGCTTGTCTCAAAAAAATTTCACTTTTATTAGTTGTCAGTTTAATCTGACCTTATGCCTAAGTAAAAGTAACGATTACTCTACCAAGTGGTTTGTGTTTCATCATTAGTGTGTTACGTGTATGTAGACAGGGGCTCCTGCTGTCCTTACTGCTTTGAAATTTTTATCCTTTAAGGCCCACAGGAAGGCCTGGGAATGAGCAGCATTATAAATAGAGGCTCTTAGCTACAAAATAGTGGGGTGAAAAATCCCTTCAACCAACAGATTCCAACTCATCTGAGAAGGTACTGCTGAGTAGCAACTGCTTTGACCAATTTGAAAATGGACTTGACTGGCATCCTTCACGTGTGTGGATGTGGTCTATTGGCCTGTGCAGCATTCCAGACATCTGACAGTTAGGAACTAACTGAGAAGGCAAATAAAAATCGAACCTCTTCCAGCAAGACAGGTAAACCCAGTCGGATGGAGTTTTCCAGTGTCCGTAAGAAATTGCTGTCTGTAAGCTTAATGATCTTTAACCCACTCTTGCTTTCCTTGTTTCTTATCCAGCGGTTGGCCTGTGTGAGAGAGCGGAGAAGGCAAAATGTCGGGAAAGTGGAAGTTTCTAGAATAAAGTTTAGAGCTGTTGTTCAGTCTAGAAATAAATTGGAGATATAAAAAACACAACTCCAAAAACAAAACAAATAAAAAAATTCTCCTCCCCAATTAAAAACACCTGCTAAGTCTAATGTTTGAGATTTCTCCTTTTGTTCAACTAAAACAAAAGAAGGAAAAGGACAGCCAGGCTTGATTTCTATGACTCCTCGGGGGCTTCCTGTCCTGATCGCCACCTTGCGTTAGGAAGTCACACAGCAGGAGTCTGTAAATTGAAGGCAGGCTTGCCCCCAATTCCATCTATCTTGACTTCCCCTGGATTCCTCAGACTTTTTACAGAGAAAGGTGGCATGATTGTGAATTTCTGCCAATGTATGTGCTCCCCAATAGAAACAGAAAAGCAATGGCCAACCTTCTAAACAAACCAGTCAAAAGGAAGAACAAGGGCTCTTACAGAGGCCTGTTTTTCACAACCCTGAACGTTTCTGTAAGACGAGGGACTCCTAGTCAAAGGCGTCTCAACTCCCTAAGTCTAGGTTTTTCAATCATGTGACAATCCTCTCTTATATGCTCCATTCAGCAGAGGGCCACGCTATTGAAAGTGTTTGTTACACACCTGATCTTGGGGATCAATCATCAAAGGCCACCTTCTCCCCTGAGTAACCAAAATGCCATTTTCAGTTGATGTCAAGTCTCTGGGCAGGCCGTCTGTGTTCCACTGCCGAATTTCGTAAGGATCTCCGAGAATGTTAATAAGGCTGAAGGAGGGGTCGATTGGGATGTCCAGGACTAGGCAGTAGTTGATCCAGCACTCTATAAGCTGTATAAAGAGGGACAATATATGATGGGGTGCAGCAGGAGGCCAGTGGCTGGGAGAGCTGTGACCTGCTGGTCTCCCCAGGGGACCTGGAACACAAAAGTGACCTAAAAACCAAGCAGTCTAATGCCAGAGCCATGTCATGACTCCAAGTATGCTATCCCCCCCACCCCCCCGTGGACTTCACTTTTCTCATGTGGTTGTGAGCACTGCCGCACAATACACAACTGTATTCCCCTCCTCCCAACAAAGGGTATTCACACTGAATCAGAGGACCCTTAACACCTGCCGAGTCTGGGCGACTCCTAGACCAAACTCCACTGCTCGTGAAGGTGAACATTGCTTTTTCATTGCCTTTCAAGTGTGTCTTTTTGTTATTATTATTAATTCAATTTACATCTCAGTCACAGGCCCCTGTCTCCTCTCCTCCCAGTCCTACCCTCCCTCTAACATCCCCTTCCCCTATTCCTCAGAACAGGGGAGACCCCCTGCCCAGATACTCCAGCTCATCTATTCACATGGGGCTGAGTTTGTCCTCCTCCCCTGTGGCCTGGTAGGAAAGTCCCACCAGGGAAACGTGATAAATAAGAGACATCCCCCACTCCCCTAACTAGTGTGCCCACATGAAGCCTAAGATGGCCATCGGGCTTATCTTCTTGGGGTCTGTGCGTTGTAGTATGTCTATCCTGTACTATGTGACTAAAATCCGCTTATACATGAGAAGGTGAACAGTTTTAGAAAGTTATTTCATAAAAAAAATGACTGTGCAATCTGATAATTTAGTTCTTAGGAAAGCGTATGTAGACAGAATATTTATCTTCTGATATGTGTATGTATCTATATGTATGTCTATATATATTTTTCAAGTGCTTACTGCTTGGGAACATGGGAACTATTGGGAACATGGGTATTCCAAATACCCACATCAGATGGCTCATCACTGCCTATAATTCTGAATACACACACACACACACACACACACACACACACACACACACACTCCTCATCCAGTGTCTTGTTTCTTTCCATCTCCTCCCTCAAGTGCTCTGTGCTTGTCTTGTCTCTCTTTCTCTCTTTTTTTTTGTTTTGTCTCTTCACAACACCAAATCCTTCTGACTTTAGGTGCCATTTCTGACATAAAAGTAGGGACCTCACTGTTTCCCTCCTGCCCCCAGGTTTCTGTGTTGAGTGATGGATAGTTACAGTGTAGAAGAAGGAAAGGGAGACATTTATATGCTATTGGAAGCTCAGGTGTATGCTGTTACCAGCTAATGGGAGAAGTGAAGGGTTTTCTCTGTCTCTGTCCCTCTGTTCCTCCATCTCTTTATCTCTATCTCTGTCTCTCTCTGTATACACATACTTCTGCCCTGGTGAATTGCCATGGTGGAGAACTTCCATCTAAACGTAGGGAAATGGATCCTCCATACCCGCGCCAGTTCCGCCTGCTTTCAGCCACTCTCCTCATGGCAGTCTTACTCACCATCTGCCTATAATGGGCCGTGAAAGCCCCGTAATAAGCCACGCAGGCTGCTGCTATAAACACGTTTCCAACGATGTTCTCTATCTCCTCCTGGAATTTCTCGATGCTTTCTTCCCAGCGAACCTGCTCGTCTCCTAGTGCAGCTGTCAGCTTTCCAGCACGCACCAGGCGCGCTTTGGTTAGGGCCATGTTCTTTGCTGGGCAGTTTGGAGAACAGTGGGGATGTTAGTCAATAGCTTCTGAACTATTGAAAGTTGATTGACTTGCTCTGGTTTTCCATGGAACTAGTGTTATGGGGCTAGTGATGTCAATTCATCTTTACGAAGCTCACACTAATTCCTCATCTGTCTACATTTCAGAGCCAAGTCTAGCCTCTTCCATGCCAAGGACTTCCTGCACTGTTGGTATAATGTTCTTTTAAAATGTATACATCTTACCCTTGTTCATTCAGATGCTGATTTCTACCCCCCACTCTCTGGTTTCAATCCGGATATTGCATTGGGATACTCCTTCTAAGCATCCTGTCTCAACTTGGTATAAACTTCCAAATAAAGCAACTAGACACAATGTTGAGCTGGGAGGAGCCAAAGGACAGGAAAGAGGGGAGGAGCTAGAGGGCAGGAAAGGAGTGGGAGGAGAAAGGGTGAGGAGAGCTCGGAGAGGGAGCTAGAGGAGCGATCTTGCAACTATGTGGAGAGACAGACTGGACCTAAGATATCACTAAAAGCAAGTACAATGTGGGAAATCTAAATGTTAGGAGACTATGAGGGCTTGGAGGTTTAGGATGGAGTGACTATTGCCCAGCATTGTGTTCTAAGTTAACTAAATAAACCCAGTCTCTGTGTGGTGATTTGGTTATACAGCTGTTTAGGTTTAACAGCAGCTTTACCGGAAGATATATCAATAGTAAATATCAATCACCACCTACAACACTGCGTGCTCCTTCCTCTGGGTGAAGTACATCCAATATGTTAGATTAAAGCTGCGATCTGGGAGCTGGAAAGATGGCTAAGCAGGTGAGAGTGCTGACTGCTCCTGCAAAGGACTTGAGTGTGGTTCCCAATGCCCATGTAAAGGTATCTCACAATTGCCTGTAACTCTGGCTTTGGTGCATACGATGCCCTCTTCTGGCGGCTGCAGGTACTGCACGCATGTGCTTATACCCCCCCCCACAGAGAAACACACACATAGACATAATTAATAATAAAATAAGGTCTTTAAAAAAAGCTATGCTCTGACTCTAAAAATTCTTTTTCTTTTGGAAATCAGGCCTTTTCTGCCCAAAACAAGGCATGAGTCTCTTACCCAGACTCTCTTTCTCATTCACGCCGTTGTCGTACTCATCTTGCAATGCCTTTATTTGATCCTCCACTTTTCTCAGCAATGCTTGCTTTTCTCTCAGGGTAGCCATTGTAATGTCAAGTTCGGCCTAACAAAAGCAAGCAAGCAAGTGGGTCCTACAAAGATCGATTTGCCTATGTGTAACATTGATTTAAAATGTGTTCTTTTTATCATGCCGCCAAAGACTTCTATCTTGCGTGGGCTAGGGCTGTGGCTTGGATGGTGGGATACTTGTGTAGCATTTGTGAAGCCCTAGGTTTGATCCCTAGTGCTGCATAAAACAATGCAGCCATGGTGGTGCACACTGTAATCCCAACAGCTGCGAGGTAGAGGCAAGAGGGTCAGACATCTAATATCATTCTTGGCTACATAGCAAGTTTAAGGTCTGCATAGGCTACATGAACTCCTGGCCTCTCCATAAAGTAGAACATAAGATCAGAAGAAAACAAAGAAAGAAAGAACAAGAGCAAAGGCCAACAGAACAAATCTTGATGAGAAGCAAGAAACGGATGTAGGAGTTACCACAATGGATTATGACTTTGAATTATAAAACAAATTAAATATTCACATGTGATCGAGATTAATATTTCATAACTAGTTCTCTGTATCAAAAGTCTACCAACTAAGGGCCGTGGCCCACAACTAGGATGTTGCTTATTTTAGAAAATGTTTTATCGGTATGTATGAGTTTCATATCATGGGCTTCATTGTGACATTTTCATACATGCATATAATGTACTCTTGTTCACCTCTCATTACCCTCTGTCCTGTGGCCCTCCCGCTCTCCCCAGCTCCCCTCCTCTTTCCAGCTAGTCTCCCTTCCACCTTTATGCCTTTTGTTTTCAACAACCTAATGAGTTTCATTAGGGTGCTTGTAGGAACATGGGCACCCTGCCCGTGAGAAGGTGCTTCTCCCAGCGACGGCGAATAGCTGCTTGTTTCTGCACAGGCTGTGAACTAGATTAGGACTTTTTCTTTCTCCTCCTCCCTCCACAACCCACTTCTCGCTTCTCTTTCTTCACTGTTTTGAGGACTTATTTCAGAGCCCTGGCTGGTTCTGTGGGATGGTCACAGAGCTGGATGAGTATCTGCTGTCTGGGTGCATCTAGAAAAGCATCTTCCCTGCTCGACACCCATAGCTTCAGCAGCCTGTTCCACTCTTTGTTCTTGAGAAGACTGAAGAGCTCATGTCTGATGATGGTTCAGCGGTTCTGACACCCGGGATGACACCAGCAGGTGTAGGAATGCCGACCGTCAAGACACAAGAGACTATCAGGAACTGCACAAGATCACAGATGTCTCCCCCCCATACTAAGGACACGAATCTACTCAAGATTATCTTTCTTATGCTATGAAAGGCTGACTTTAAAGACAATTTCTGGGGGAAAAATCTCTGCCTGCTATTATTGAAAATAAGCTACTGTTCAGGACTATAATCACTCCTACCTTGCTCAGAGGAGGTTCTGTAAAGTGTCGCTGTATGGTAACGTACCTGGGCAGCACGGAGTTTCTGTCTCTTCGGCTCGACTTCCTTGACCACCCGGGAGTACAGATCCATGGCTCTCACCCACATGCACATGGATTTACAGGCCTTGGACACCTTCTCCACCTTCTCAGGCACGAAGTCAGGGTTGTTGATGTACTTCTGAAGCTTTGCCAGGATCTGAGGCTTTATGTTTTCCTTGTCATACTCCAGAAGCCTTCTCAGGAAGTTAGAGTCACCGAGAAGTTGCTTTGCTGTTGGCCAGTCAGGCCTGAAGGACAGATTGCAGGGACTTAACAGCTTTGCTATTAGGCAATGGGCTAACAGCAGGAGGGACTCCTGTGAGAACACTAGACGATTACCACGGTGGGCAGGTGGCCAGTCCTAACCTTAGCACTGTGATTCTGCTAATGGCCCAACTAACTCATGGGGAGAGAGCTAACTGGATGTTTAATCTCTACAACCTAGATTCAGCAGAGAATGAAGTACAAAATAAGAGGGATTCAGGAATGTTCGTCATTCTAGAAACAGCAGTTTTTCATTTTTCTATTTTTTTGAGACATGGTTTCTCTGTGTAGCCTTGGCTGTCCTGGAATTCACTTTGTAGACCAGGCTTGTGTCTCAGACTCACAGAGATCTACCTGCTTCTGCCTCCCAAGTGCTGGGATTAAAAGCATGTGCTACCACCACCGGTCTAGAAACAGTAGTTTAAAAAAAAAGGATTTATTTTCTTTTTTATTTTTAATGATGTGTTTGTGTCTATATGTGGGGATGTACATATGTGAGTGTAATGGCTGTGAAGGCCAAAAAGAAACATCAGATGCCCCGAAGCTGGGGCCACAGGTGGGTGTGAGCCAGCTGGTGCGGATGCTGGGAATTGACTGGGGTCCTTTGTAAGAGCAGTGGGTGTTCTTAACTGCTGAGCCGTCTCTCCAGCCCCGAGACTAGAGTTTTTATTTTAAAAATACCACCGTGCTTATATTTTCTCCTTTGCCTCAACTTTGACCTTTTAATTCTCTTGCTAGGATGTCTTAAGAACTGTCTTCTAATCAGGCTTTGCATCTCTTGGTCAAATAAACACGTTCTTTTGAGATTCTGCCATGTTGGTATTTTGAAGATATTTTGCCGATGTTAAAAAAATGCCCAGTGGTTCTTAGGCCCCCTTTGCTTATGTTTATCTGTGTTTTGCATAAGTGACATGTCTGACGATCATGTCAGCCTAATGACTGGAGATGCCTGGTGGTACTGGGGTGTTTCAGACTCTGCTCAGCTCTACACAGAAAGATCATTATATATGTACTGATATGTGGGCACATACATACATGTAGATGTGTTTATGTGTGTATGAAATTTTTAAAAGGATTATATTGTTGAAGAAAATTTGAAAACTAAATGTTATAAAGAGAAAATTGATTTGGCATAATAGACATATGACCTTTCACGATGAAATCACTGCCCGTCGGCCCAGATCCCCCTCATTCCATGAAAATCATAATGTTCCAAGCTCTTCCCATGGTCTCACTTTCCAACTGAGCATCTTCTCCTTCAAAAAGCCCTGCTTATATCTCTACCCCTAACTACCTGAATCCTTTAGACAATAGTTTTATATCTTCCACAATCTATCTTAAAATAGACATTGACTAAAACACTTGGTGAATAAGTTTGTTGAGTAACCAATCAAACCAAAGAGGTGGTTAGAGAATAGAATAAATAAACATATGAGAAGATATGAAAACGGAGAAAATAGATTGAAGAAAGATCTCCTGGATGCTATGAATGACTCACTTGGCATTTAGGAGGATGGAGATGGCCTCCATCACAGTCATGACCATGTCAGGGGGCTTTGTGAAGACTCTGATCTCGGATATGTCTGCTTTATCTAGGGAATCCAGCGCTTTGTTGGCAGCATCAAGGGCAGGGAGAGCTTCCTCCAGGTCCCTCTGGGCATCATCAGCTATGGCTTGGGTCTCTTCAGCTTTCACTTTTGCTACTGCTTCATCTTCTTGTACAACAGTACGGACCTGACCACAGAATCAAAGGTGCGTAAGAGGCCAAACTAAGGCTGAGCAACCTTAGGAAGAAAAGTCTGAAATCTGAAACATTTAGAGCGTCAAACACTGCCACAAATCCCACGCTTGACCTCGAGTGGACAGTGACGGTTGAGAGCAGGCAGCTAAGAGCGATTGTACCAAGGTACTGTAAGATGTTTATAAAGTGTGTAAATCAAATGGGCTTAGACTTGAGTCTCCTGTTGTGTATCTCACATGTGTGCAGGCATTTCAAAAATCACACTTTTTGTGCTAAGCATTTCAGATAAGAGACATCTGACTTGTGTCTGAAGAGGCAGGATAAGGACCTGTTTTTGCTCTTTGTGTTAGACCAGTGGTGAGGGGAAGTTAGCTTCCTTCACGCTTCGTCTCTCTCGTGTCTTGTGACAAAATTGACAAGTAGTTCAACTTCAGATACAGATTTTCCCATGACTCTTTCAGCTCTAGTCACTGAGGGGTACCAAGTCAGTGGTGGAGAACCACCCCATTTGGTCAAGCGATACTGTTTACAACTTATTACTTAATTTCTAGAAAAATAGCATCACCAGTTCTGGTACTTATTTTAATGACACACATAACAAAATGATTGGATCACTTACCGTGAATTAATCTTGATGGTCAACTTGACAGAATTTCCAGTCACCTTGGAAACACAATTCTGGGAGTGTCTGTAGGCTTGTTTCCAAAAAAGTTGAACTGATCAGGGAAGACCCACCCTGGCTGTGGGTGGCACCATCCTTTGTCGTGTGTGTGTGTGTGTGTGTGTGTGTGTGTGTGTTAGACTGAATAAAAAGGAGAAAGCACACTGAACCCCAGTGTTCACCTGTCTCTGCTTCTCGCTTGTGAATATACTGTCACCAACTGGCTCACACTCCTCAAGCCCAGATCCCCAGATGATGGAGTGACTATACCCCTCAGACTGTGAGCACAAACAACCCCTTTTCCCCTTAAACTGCTTCCTGCCAGATGTTTGGTCAGAGCAATGAGGAAAACAAGGTGCTTATTGTGTGCTGTTCCTGAGGCTCCAGCTGATGCCTTCCTCCCCCTCTGGCCATTCCCATCCCACTCTTACCTGATCAGCATTTTCTTGATCCACCACTAATTTTTCCATCAGGGCTTCAACGGCTTGTGATTTCTCTAGTAGCACAGGTTCTAAAGCCGAAAGCTCTAATTTCATTTTATCTACCAATACATTTGTTTCTAGTAGCTTGCTGAGACCATTCTTCACACGATCTCGGGCCTAAATGACATCAAAAACTTCACAAGTTTCACAAGCTGTAGATTTCTGTCATTCACTATTTATACATTAAATTTTATACCTACAGAACCATCATGCCACTCTAACCTTCCAGTTGTGAACCCACTGCAAGTAGGAAAACCTTTACAGGTAACACAACACTAGGAACTGGCCTCCTCAGGGACCCGTGTTTGAGTCTGATCTCTGGCTACAGCTGTGGGATGTCCCTAACCATTTGGCTCATTGAGGGAAGGGACCAAAATCTGTTAGTTTCATTCTTCACGGTAGTATATTAAAAGTGAGGGACAAGCTTAGGCAGGGATCCCCGGAGGAGCTTGTTTGCCTGGCGTGTGCCCAGGGCCGTGAGAGCAGGCTAGTCAGAGCCCTGGGCACAGAGCTCTGGCTGTCTTATCTGAACCCCACTTCCCAGGGGTGAAAGCCCTCATCTGGGGCCTCAAAGGTGGTATCCAGTACCAGGGACTCCACTGGAAGGAAGAGGAGGCACTGCTTGGAAGCTACACAAAGACGATCATTTCATATGGGTAGAATTCAAAGGTGACTGCTGGGCTAGTTATAAGTGATGCCTTTTACAAGGCTAAGACACCCCCCCCAAGTGTTTTAAATACACAAGTAGCAAAGGCTTCCACTTGTGCTGCCTCTACTACATTGGAATTTTGGATCATATCAATGGCTCTGTTTCTGGGCACTTTGTCTAAAGTTTAAGTACTTCATGGACACAGTGCCTTATGTGTTTGTTTTATTTTTTCTTTTACAGAACCTTATTTAAATTTCACAACAATCCAGGTAGAATCTGTAAGTATTTCTAAAGTTTATTCTCTAAATTAAGGGAAAAAAAAAACCTGCGCTAACTTTTATTCTCATATATTCCAGGTTAGCCTCAAGCTCACTAGCTCAGCATGGCAATTGAACTTCTGGTCCTCATGTTCCATAGCTCAAGTGCTCGCATTGTAGACATGGGTATTGTGCCCAGTTTAGGGTTATCCTGTATTCAAGCTTACAGACCTTTTATAACAGGCTCAAGATTGTGGTGGAGGACTCAGAGTTTAGTGACATGGAGGTTATGTGACTGTAAAGTCTTTGGTCTTGGTGCTGACAATCAGCACATGCAAGAGCATTCAACACTCAGCTCTATTGTTCATCACAAAGCTACAAAATCTCAGCAGAAAGCTCCTCCATGCTCAGCCCTGCAGAGACGGTAAGAGCTCTGCTCCACTTCGGTGCTGTTGTGCTGCCTTTATTCTACTGAGCCAACAACACATACCAGTGAAAGAAGGAAAGAATAAACATTCAGGAAGGGAGTGGCCCTTGCTCTGAAACAACAAGACCTTTCTTTGGTGCCATTACAGGTCGTGAAGAATATGGCTTGGTCTGAAGATGGCTCTTTAGATAGATAGAGGCGTAGCTCCGTAGAGCAATGGCTTAGTAACTGGGGCAGAGATCTTATCCACCCTCCAAAGGCTTGCCTTTAAGCCGAAAGAGAGACTGATGTTATGGACAAGACTAAACGTACTGAGACTAACTGCTTCCTTTTCTCAGTGAGCATGGTCAGGTACAGGTTGATGAGCTCCAGGTAGGAGGTGGGCGTGGTGTAATAGCGCCTGCGCAGCTCACTATAGTAGCGGTCTGCCATCTGGGAGACACTCAGGTGCACGTTCACACACATGAGGGAAAGCTTCTCTTTCAGCTCTTCATTTCCCGTGTCGACAGCTGAGAAAAACGTCTTTGACACAGACAGAAGCGCTTCTTTGGGCCACTGTAAATAAAGAGGCAATCTGAAAAAAAAATTCTGTTGGTCATTTTTATAACACATTGTTCAACCATTAAGAGATGGTATTTGGAGCTGGAGAGATGGCTCAGTGGTTAAGAGCGCCGAATGCTCTTTCAGAGGGCTCGGGATCAATTCCCGGCACCCACGTGGCTGCTCACAGCTCTCGGCACCTCCATTTCCAGGGGATCAGCACCTTCACATGTGCAGACATGCGGACAAGACATCAATGTGCATAAAAGCAATAAATTATTTTAAAAATGGTACGGGTCTGGGGTTCTTGTCCAGCCTTCCTTTCACCTAGCTAATTCCTACCGCTGCCTTTGGGGCTTCATCAACCGGACCTTCTTACCACATGACCGGGTTTGCCCTTCTGACCAGTGTGCTCCCAGAACAGTGTCAAGCACACGGAAGTTGCTGATAAGCGCTGGTTGAATAGAAGGAATGGCGGGTTATCTTTGGAACTGCACGCACAGAATTACGCGAGTTACAAGGATCTCTACACGTCACTGTGGTGCAGCTGTGAGGTCGGGTCCGTCAGTGTCATAACCGGCCCACGTAGGCCTCAACTCCTCCCCTGACCCTTGGTCAGACGCAACCCTGAGCTGCCCGTGTGCTGCTGCTGGGCAGCTGAGTACAGTGGAGGGGAAGCCCTGCCCTCCCTCATGTTTCCCCGACGGTGGCTCAGTTTTTGAGCCAGGATCCCTCAGTCTGTGGCCCAGGCTGAAGGAGAAGCCATCCTCCTGTTTCCCGACTCCCTCGTTCTGGGACTGCGAGCAGCAGACTTGGTTTGCTTCGCCTTCAGGTCCTGACCACCGTCCCCACGCGCATCCTAGACAAGATCCTGCCTTTCCTAATACATCAGTTTTGTAGCCTAGACTTCTGTTTCCCCTGTATGGGACTTTCAGGGGATGGTTTTGCTTGTTACATAAATTAACAGCAACAGCAAACAGAAGCAAATAAAATTTCAGTGAGCTCTTCCCCTATCCTACCTGCACTGGTGCCCCTCACTCTTGCCCTCCTGTCACCCAGGACACAGCTTTTCAGTGACAACCTCACCCTATGTGTCACTATTACTCAGTGGCATCAGTTGCACGAGGCTTAATGCTGGTCCATTTTCATCAACACACAGAGTTTAAAAGCGCTGGTCAAAAGTCCTTCCTGGGCCAGCAAGACAGATCAGCAGGTAAAGGCAGTGGCTGTCCAGCCTGACAACCTGAATTTGACCACCTGGGGGAAGCAGAGAACTGACAAGATGACATCGGACCTCCACGCAAGTGTTGTGGCATGCACCCTGCCCCTAAATAAATAATGTAATAAAAATTAAAGCTGGGACTTTCTTGGCCTCCCCACATCCCTCAAGCCTTTACTCGTGTCTTTCCAAGAAAACTTCCTGCAATTGTTGCTTGCACTCACTGACTCTGATTCTCCCTTGTGCTGACATTTATTTACTTTTATTTTATGTGTATTGGTGTTTTGCCTGCATGTATGTCTGTGCGCCACATGTGTGCAGTGCCCTTGGAGGCCAGAAGAGGTAGATAGACCTTCTGGAATTTGTATTACAGACAACTTTTAGCAACCATGTGGGTGCTGGGAATAGGACCTGGGTCTCTCAGGCTCTGCCTCTTTGCTTTGCAGTTGTCTTTCTGACCATGGACATAAGTAGCTGTTGCTGGGCTCACAATGACTTCAGAGTCAGTGGCCCCCTCCCTTTACAAACCGTGTTTTCTCTTTGTTCTGTGACCATCGCCATCATCCTGTCTGAGTTAAGTTCAGAACTAACACAAGCATCATGAGCTGAGCTTAGTGCGGTAGCTTCCCCAAACAAGCACATCTGTCTTCTCAAAGAGGTGTCGTGGGGTGCCACCAACCTGGACAAACCAGTCAATGGTGCAGCAGTTCACCAGGGATGGAAACATCCGGCATCGGGACCGGAAGGCCTCGCCGACCGGGCTCATGCAGAGAACAATGTGCAGCTTCTGTCGTACTCTGCTGATGAAATACTGGAACACCTGGCAACAAAGATCGATTTTCAATGTAAAATAAGGAGGAAGCAGCAAGGAAAACAAGTGAGGGTGCTATCACCAAATAAAATTAGCATGGGTAAATGAATTGCCAACATTGACTCGCAGTGTGGTTGACAAAAAAGAAAAAAATCTAGACTTGGGGCCAGGGGTGGGGCAGGTGGGGCCTGTGAGGGGTTAGCTTGGCCACATTGCTCGATGTGAGAAGACCCATCTTAATTCTGGATAGGACTGTCTCCTAGGCAGGGGACTCTGGGCTTTGTAAAGTGGAAAAGGAGTGGGGCTGGAAATGTAGTGAGACCTTGCGTCAATCAGTAAAGAATGGAGTATTGGAGTTCAGTGATGGACAGCTCATCCACCGCATGCGAGACCCTGGGTTCAATGCTTGGTAGCCCGAGAAAGAAAAAGACATTTTCCAGTCTCCGCTGCAACCTGAGAATTGTATATGACTTTGAATAAAGTGGAGAGAGACATTCCTAGGTTTGGTTTTCTGACAGAGCAGTGAGGAGGGAGGGACAGGGTCCTGGCATTTCTTTCTGAAGCTGTACAGTCTGAAGGAAGTGGCACGGCCCTGGAGACATTAATTTTTAAGTATTACTCCTATTTCAGGTGCTTCTGGCCATGGAGGAGGACACACTGCTTTGTGGCCGGCAGCTGGTAACAGGATGCAATGACTGGCTATCTATGGGCTCCCAGGTTAAATAGAAGTGGCACAGTAGAGGCTTAGCTCCCATGGCTGTTAACTCCCACAGAGTATGTAATGGTTAGTTTCTGTTATCAACTTGACATAACTTAGAACAATATGGAAGAGAGCCTCCATGTCAGGCTGGGCTGTGGGAGTGTTTGTGGGAGATTGTCTTGACTGTTTATTGATGTAGGAAGACCCAGCCCATTGTGGGAGGCACCATTTCATGGACCAGCCACTAAACTGTATGTGAGAGAAGCGCTGCTTCAAGGTCTGGCCTTGACTTCCCTGCCACCAGGGTCTGTAACGTGGAATTTTAAGCCAAATAAATCCTTTTCTCTCCAAAGCTGCTTCTAGTCAGATTATTTCCACAGGACAGGAATGGACCGAGGGCAGTGTGCATTGCATATTCATTTCATTTCGGGAGGTCAGGCCGCTTCTCTTTTTTAGCCTCCTCAGGTTCTGTACCTCCCCAACGAATCCCCTTTGGCTTAAGGTAGCTGCAGTAGACTTGCTAACTATGCTCATCATCTCGACCCAGGACAGTTCTCACAGGGGACACAGCAACTATCCAGGAATAATAGCACCAAAGTGGAAGAAGGTGCAGAGAGAAGGGAAGGGACTGGGCTGTCTGAAATCACGGTGCCAGAGAAATGGAGGTGGGTAGCAGCTATACTGTTCCAGAGGGAGAAAACGCATTTGTTTTCACTATGCAGGAAACAAAAAGAGCCTTAGGCTTGTGCCTGCAGTGTCCCACAGGCTAGACACTGCAGGTATATATAACAAGCACAGGCTCAAAGGAGGGAGCTGGCTCAGACTGTAACCTCTGTGGGGCAGTGGGACTTCTGGCTTGTGTTCCATGGACGTTTCTGGAAGTATGGTGAACTAACACTTGAAACACAGAAAATAAAGCACATAGAGTTACAAAGAACATCATATAAAAAATCTACCCGGGGATTCCTGATAGGTGAACTGTGGGCTGTTGAACAGAAGGCTAAGGCAGTCTTTGCTTAGAAAGCAGTGTAATTATTCTGAAGCGTGCTACCTCATCTCTGTTCCCCTCGGAAATTCCAGCTTCCTTTGCTTTTGGTCGGGTGGCTGCTAAAACCTGCTCCAGCTCATCCTTTTCAAATAGATTCGGCACTTCACCGGAGTTTAGAATATTGTTTATATCTTCAAGGAACTCCTCCACGACGATCTGCAGAAAAGGTGAGTGGTCCTTGTGAGTTCATCATGCTACAGGTATTCCATGAGGTTACTGAGTGCACATTTCAACACTTACAGGTACCAGCTCCACTTTTAAAAGGTTCTTAAACTGTAGCTAGCATCCTAAATCCTAACATGGTGATGGCACTGAGTTTCCATCTTTTTCTCTTGTTTTATCTCCTGAGGGGCATTTGCATCTGTTCCGGCTTCACTGCTCTTGCTGTATAAAACACCCTGCACCAAAAGTGACACTGGGGAAAAGAGGGGTCTATTTGAAGTACAATTCCAGGTTACAGTCAAGGTGGGAACTCAAAGCAGCTAGTCACATAACAGCTAGCCAAAAGCAGAGAGAAATAAACTTATCTTTGTAGCTTGTTTGCTCACACTCACCTGGCTTCTTTGCTCTTTTTCTGCTGTTGAGACTCCCGCACTCCAGCCTAGGGAATGGTGCTGCCCACAGTGGGCTGGGCCCTCCCACATCAGTCAATAACCAAGACAGATGTGCTCACAGGCCAATCTGACTTAGAGCATTCTCAACAGAAACCTTCTTTTTCAGGTGGTTCTAGATTGTGTCAATTTGACAGTTAACACCTACCAGTCCAGTTATCTTACTCATCAACGTCATATGTATTTATGTATTTACTGTAAATATTAAGCCACGCTTCTGGGGAGTATTCATCCTATGGGAGTGCAGTGCACAGTGGAGACAATGTGCCTTGCAGTTCCATGGGCATAATGGTTGGCAATTTAGTTTATATTACTAATTCAGCTGGGAGCAAATTATTTTTCATGGATCAAATTGCCAGGAGTGACATTAGCATTTAAAGTACATGAACTATTTCTCATTTAGGTCAAGTTGTGACTTTAGCAATGCTTAGCATCTGCTTTTGTTAACTTGGTTTTTTGTCAGTGCTAACTTTTGGAGAATATTGGCGTGTCTTTGTCTTTGAAGCAAAAGCAAGGTTAGCCACATTGGCTTGTCTCTTCGGGAGGCCTACCACAGGACAGTGTCTCCTGGACATGACGAGGCTTTGTGCTTGTCATCCACAGCAGCTGTCCTCTCTGCACAAATCCTGCATGCTCTCAAGCCGGGCGTGTTCCAGCCCGTGTGGGAAGGGGCACACGAGGCCTCAGGTCTGGCTAAGAAGCTATTGCTCTTCGACAGCTCATGCAACGGTTTGAGTCAGTGTTTTTCCAAGGCGATAGCCCCTAGCAGGCTGCTCACGGTTCAGTAGCTGGCCCTACACCCAGCGCATGAGGTGATCTTAAGTGGGCTCAGTGGGTTGTAATAAAAGGGAAGAGGAGGGTATGAGGGTGGTAGAGGCATGTGTGAGGGAGGTCCTGGAGGAGTCAGAGGACAGGGCAAACGGGAAATTCTCAAAGAATAAAATAAAGAATTTCAGGGAAAAGAGTCTGTTCAGACTTTGCAACCAGTTATGTCTTGAGATTTTCTTTTAAACTTGAATAGGTAATTTATACGTTATGATATAAGCTTCTTCTCTCCTAATTAATGAAAATATTAGAAATATTTATTGTCTTGTTTCTGTTAGGTCTTTTGCTATTCAGAACTCTGTTGATTTTCACTAAGATAAAATGCTGACTTTTGTCTTTTGTTTTTTGTGCTTTAATCTTGTTTCCTCATTTCATTTGCCTTGATGCTTTCTTATTATCTTCATAAACTTTTAGCTAAAATAGTTTTCATTGTTTCTATTTTTTTCAAATTCAAAATTGTATTTATATTTAGCTTATTGTTCCTTGTTAGAAATTTAAATTTAATTTTTATTGAATTTTAATGTATTAATTCTTTGTGTGTGAGTGTGGAAGAGTGTGCACGTGGAGATCAGAGGATAACTTTCAGTATGCAGTTCTCTCCTTCCACCCTGTGGGGCCTGAATATCCATCTCAGCTCCCTTCACCTGCTAAGTAGCAGGTTGAGTTTTTTCAAGCTCTGCCAAGGCCATATTACGATTAAAAGAATAAAAAGTTTAAATGGTGCATGTGTGTATGTGTGAAAGCCTTTTGCTATAGAATTTAAAATCACTCATCTTGGCCACTGAATTCTAGAGTGAATTTGGCCTAACAGGTAGCTCTGGTTCTTACTCTCGAGTGCAGCATATTTGTACAAGTGATTTTATTTTCTGTATATATTTCCAAAGAAGGAGCTTGTTACTGTGCTGCTCAGGTTTAAGCGCCAGCTTGATGCAGTCCAGAACCACCACCCGGGAAGGGTCTCCGTGAGGGAGTGACTCCAGTGCTTGGTCTCTGTGCATGCGTGTGGGGGACCAGCTCACAGCTGAGCCCACTGTGGGCGGCCCCACTCCCTGGCAGTGGGGCCGAGCTGTGTAAGCGTGGGGAAAGATCTGAGTTCAAGCGCGAAGTGCTGCGTGTGTGCGTGAGTCCCCTTCTCTCAGTTGTTCCCTGTGGGTGTGGTGTGCCTGGCTGTTTTAAGTTTCCGTCACTGTGACTTCCCTGCGCTCACCCACTGTGCCAGGAACCGTGAGCTTTAAGCCCTCTCCGCTAGGCTGTGTTCTTCCTGGCTGTCTGACTACAGCAACAGAAGTGAAAGCAGGAATTACCCTTCCGCTAAGCTTCCAGCAAACCCTCCCCAGAGAACAGCTCTCCTTGAACTGCGACCGTGCTTAGAATTTAAACGGAGAAACATGCTGAAAACAACCAACCAACCAACCAAGCAAGCAAAGAACAACACGCGGCTTTAGAGGTCTTTTACAAGGTGCAGGGCCTCTATTAGCAGAGACAGCGATCCTCTATAATTCACCCATCCCCAAACACCGTGGGTGCGATCCGTGTGCTCACAGTGGACTGCAGCCCCACGAGCTCCCGGTGTGAGTACACACCTGGGTGTCTGTGAAAAGGAAAACCATATTTTTGTCTTCCACACCAGCCATCTTATACAGCTTCCTGAGGTCCTCGTGGAAGCTGTCATAGTTGTACCCGCGGCTGAGCTCGATCTGCAAACACTTGTAACCGCAGATGTGCGTTGCGAGCCTGGTGAGCGACTGTTTCCCGGTGCCTCCCACGCCGACCAGCAGCGCGTTGCCGCGTTCCTGGCGGATCATCCGTGCGATTCTGCAGAGGCAAAGCGGAGCAAGACTGAGCTCCAGCCGGGCACCGGGCCACGGTGGGGGCGGCTGTGGCCCCAGAGCAGGCGCTGCAGGCTCGAGCAGGTGCCTCGGGCACACCACGCCGCTGCTTCACCACGGGCTGGGGGCGCTCTCTGCCTTAGGTTTGCAGATTTAAAATAAAGGATGATTCCTTTTCTTCCATGTTAAGTGTGAGGGGTTTTGTCGGGGGCCCTGACTGATTCTGGATACAACTGAGGCATCCGCAAAGCCCACGTCTCCACCCGGAAGGGCGAGCGTGCACGGAAATCTCTGCACGTAGAAAGGACCCCGCGGTTCTGAAGGGGGTCGGGGTGTCAGGGGAGCCGGTCACCGGAAGAGAGCAACAGCAGTTTAGAAGGTTGCGGTGGTGGTTGAGTACGGATGGCTTCCGCAGACTCAGAGCTGAAGGCTTCCTCCGCCGCTGGTGGGAGTGTTTGGGAAAAGTTAGGAGGCGCAGCCTTGCTGGAGGAGGTGTGTCACGGGGCTCGGGATTTGAGGCTTCAAAATCCCTTGCCATTTCCAGTTGCCCCCACCCCCTGGCGTCTGCGGATCAGCTACAACCTCTCAGCAACCGCCCCCCACCCCTCACCGTGCCTGCCTGCCTGCCTGCTCCTATGCTCCCTGCCAGGACCGTCAGGGACTCCAACTCTGAAACCGGAGACCCTCAGTAAACTCTTTTATAAGTTGCCATGGTCATGCTGTCTTTTCTCAGTGAAGGTTTAAAACAGTGCAGTTTTAAATGATATTAGACTGGGCTCTTGAGGAGAACATGGAAGCTGAGTTCAGGAAAAAAAAAAAAAAAAAAAAAAAAAAAAGGAGCGATATGGATACATGTGACCACTAACCAGAGAAGGTAGGTCGGCGGAAGCTGAGTATCTCACATAGGATACCACGGGAATACAGCAGGTGAGATAAAGAATAAGGAATGCCCAGTATGTGTGTATGTGTGTGTGAGAGGAGAGAAAGAGAGAGTGACAGAGAGAGAGAGAGAGAAAGAGAGAGAGAGAGAGAGAGAGCCTGAGAAAGAACAGAAGCAAAGGAGGATGAACCATGGGGAGCAAACAGAATCTTAAGAGGCCATATGACAGCAACTACAGGAGAAACAAGGGAGTCTGGTAAAGAGAGGCCTCAGTGGCTCAAGGGCACTTGCTGCCAGGCCTGAAGACCTGCGTTCAATCCCCAGAAGAAGGAAAGACTTGGCTCTTGAAAGTTGTCCTCAAATCTACACACACAAATAAATAAATAAATAAACAAACAAACAAATAGATACGGGATTGGAATCACATCCACTTCTGTCTCTGAGATCTATATATTTTTGACACAATTTAAAAATTTTGTGAGCACCTAAAGCAGGAATAAGAGATTTCCCCCATAAAAATGAATCAACGTGGGCTGGCTGCACAGCAGGCTTCAAGGTGTCGTTCTGCAAGTGTAAATGTTGTTTTTATTTCCTCAGATAATCAGGTAAGGTGAGAGGATACCTGAGCTTAGACCAGAGAGCTTCTATCTAAATATCCTTAGGCTTAGGCCTGGAAGCTCTGAGCCTCCAGACAGTCTAATCTTGTGCAAGCCTGGACCTTGAAGTCTTCAGCTTCTAGCCTCATCTGCTAACCTAGGCCTGGAATGTTTTCAGCCTTTCAGCCTTACTGCTCAATAAGCTCACCTTTTTAGTTCTTTCTGATCTCTGGCTGGTTCAACTCAGCTGTTCTGGCTTAAAACTCCTCTCCAAGATGACTGATTGAAACTGGCTTCTCTCGGCTTCTCACTTAATTGCTCTGTTTGGGAAAACTGCCTCTGAACTCCATGAACTGCACTCAACTTAACTGCACTGAACTCTACTATGCTCCCCAACTCTACTGTACTGTCTCCACAAATTACTGTACTGTCTCCATGAACCCTCTGTATTCCTGTACTGTACTCTACTGTGCTGTACTAGACTGTCTGTCTTTCCTGTCCGTTCTCGTGAGGGTTGGGTGTATCCTATCTCTCACTCATTCTGTCAAATCTTTCTGATTCACCACTTTGTCTGCCCCTCAATTAGTCATCGTTTGGGATTAAAGGTGTGTACTAGGGTGTGTCTGTATTCCAGCCAGATCACAGACCTAGGGCTATAGATGGGACCCCTTGCCAGATTAGCCATGTTGCTAGATTAAAATTCCTCTACACATAAGACAATGATGAGAGACTGGGGGAAGGGAAAGCGTCATGGTGGCTCAGAGACAATGTGTAAACCTATCCTAGGTGAATCTGAAGATATACAGAAAAAAAATTTAAAAATAAATAAATTAAAAAGTACAAGTCTAAGAAGGCAGGAGGAATGTTTGAGAGTGAGCAATGCCCAAAGAGTTCAGCTCTGAATTTTGATGATCACATGGCCATCCCAGGGAGTGATGGTGTCAAAAATTCTTAAAAACAAAATAGAAAAATGTAAAAAATAATTTCTTTCAAAAATCATCATCCGTGTCTTATTTTTACAATTATTTACTTTGTATCCTGGCTGTGTCCCCCTCCCTCATCTCCTCCCAATCCCACCCTCCCTCCCTTTTCTCTTCCCATGCCCCTCTTCTAGTCCACTGATAGGGGAGGTCCTCCTCTACTGTCTGACCCTAGCCTATCAGGTCTCCTCAGGACTGTCATCAGTGTTTTAAGTACAGTTTGTCTATGGGGATGAAAGTTGTTTCAATACAGCATGTGGGTATATTGGCAAAACAGTATCTTGATAACTCAGTGACAAATGGTCAGGCTAGAATGCAAACTGTGGCAAACATGGCTGCTTGAATTTGAGTTAAAGAGGAGAAATGTAGGACACTTGGAAGACTTTATTCACTATTATTTATGTGAAAAACATTGCGATTTGTCAGTCTGAACAAGGACCAGCAGTAAAATGGTTATGATATGAATATAGACCCTCAGAGTTGTTAAATTTTTTGCTGTAGTTGTAAATCAAGGGACATCCCATGTACACTAATATTTTAAACTTATTTCTGCAAAAAAAGTCACCAAATACGGGTGACTATTTTAGATTGAAATACTAGAAATTTATGTTCAACTTATGTTGAAGGCTGGAAATTCTCTTTCAGTAAGTAACACAAAAGTAAGTAACATGATTTTAGAGGACCGGGTTTTGGGAGAAGTCTTGCTGTAATAGCACAGGCAAGTCTCAAATGTGTAGTAATCCTGGCTCACCCTCCCAAGTGCTGGGATTACAGGTGTTGGGATCCTGGTCTGATCCTAGGGAGTTATACCTGGTGAAAGCAAAGCCAAGAGAAGCACGAGAATAATTTAATACAGTTATGGAGCTTTTATGAAAAACTGGCCCTGTTCTGTTTTTGGGAGACCTGCAGTGGAGTTGGAGGCAAAGGTCTGAATATGATTCCAAGCCTGCCGTTCATTACCAAGAAGACTTAGGAGAGTGTACCTTACTTTTCCATGACAGTCCAAAAATTGGCTGCAATATTGTTTCTGGTCCAAGTTGTTCTTTGATCCCATCAAGGGCTAGAGATCTGTTCTCTTCTTATGAGCCTAGATGTGCCTGTGTGGCTGGTTTGACTGAAAGGATAGGTATGGCTCCCAAAGCTGTTATGAGGCCACTGACTTCTCTTCTGCTCTTGCTGTTGGAGCCAGGGCAATTATTTAGAGAAGGCCAGACACACCAGTGCTGCCACAGAGGCATGTGGAGAGCATTTGAGGACAGAGATGCACCTGCCACTCCAGGGGCCGTCTGATGAGACTTTAAGAGATACCCCAAGAGAGAGGACCACAACCATGAAAGACAATGTGGAATAAAGCCAGTGGGTGTAAAAAGCATGCCGAAGAAGCTAGTGGAAATTCTCTGAGCCTTGTTTACAAAGAGACTGGGATACAGGGCAAGGAGAGGGACGTGACCATCAAATGTGATGCTGTACAGTTTTACAAATGTGATGCTGTACAGTTTTACAAGCTCACTGAGTGTCATCATTGTTCCTGCTCCACAGGATGGACCTGATGCCAGAAGTCACAGGAAGCAAATGCGGCTCCCTTGGACAGCTCATTTTAACACTTGGAATTGTCTCAAAGGGCATGAATGACTCTATAAAGCAGTGTGTATCCCAAAGACTGAAGATATGCAGGTTCAGTGCCCATTCGTGAGGAACATCCCTCCAAGAGAGCTGTGAGTGGGCAAGAGTCATACTTGTAGGCAAATGGATCTGTCACCAGGGTTCAATGGTGTTTACTAGAACCTTGAGCTCTCTCTGTAGGCACTCAGGTAATTAGGTCAATGTAGCATTTAAACCACTTGAAATACTATTCATAACAAGATATGAATAGAAACCAACAAAAGTGATTAATTTTTTTGCAATACTAGGGGCTAGAGAAATAGCCAAGTGCTCTTGTTCTTGCAGAGGACCCAGGTTTACTCCCAGCGCTCTCATGGTGGCTTATACCCACCTGCAGATCAGGCCCAGGGAATCCCACCCCTCTTTTCACCACCGGGTATCAGAAATGCACACGGTGCAGTGCATGCATGTACACGGCACACCCAGCACATCAATAGACCTAACGTTTCCGTGTGGGTCCCAGAGAGAACTGATGGATCTGTTCAAGGCATATTGAAATATACTTTGGGGATAGAGAGTTGGCAGAGCGATTAAAAGCATGTACTGTGATCCTGGCTTTCGTTCGCAACACCCACATCAGGCGGTTCCCAACCTCTTGCAGCTCCAGCGCCAGGGGTTCCAACATCCTTCTTGGCTACCTCAGCTACCACACACACACACACACACACACACACACACACACACACACAAATAGGTAAACAAAATCTTTAAAAACCTTATAAAATATCTTTTAGTTCACAGTGAGTATTTCTACAGGACCTTAGCTTGTCTACTAATGCACCTAAGGTTCTACCTTTTAATGAAAATCGAGATCAGTGTATAACCCCGGTAGCCTTGCAGTACTGTACCTTGACACGTGCTCTATGGCATCCTGGAAGAACACCAGCTTTACTTCCTTAGGATTTGTCAGGTTATAGTCATCAAGATAGTCCTGTAGAACATTCCTGATTTTATCCATGTCAGGCATATCATCATAGATGCGGTCAGACTTATCTGCTCCAAACTGTAAGGTGATTTGTAGGGACACACCAAAGTTGGCTCAATTAATTACCTTGTGTAGACATACACACAATCTGGAAAATTCATTTCACTTCACTTTTTCAGGTGCTAGGTTGTAATGCCAATGAGTTTTGCAATAAAATTCAGGCAGAAAAGTGTTTGGAATCATTTTAAATTTTTTGTGCAATCCAATGCTCTGATTTCATACTTTTAGGTTATTGGCACTCAGAAAGGTAATTGAAAATATACATGGCAGATTGCTATCTCTATGAATGACCGTTCATATGATCATTTGTTTGTTTCTGACGACACCAGCCACCTAGAGTTAAATATATTATGGAGAATAAAAATCAGGTGTAAATGAAAAGAAATAGAGTTCCCTGGTTGGGCCAATTGAAGATACCTCTTCTTTGCTCCGTCAACTGCTGGGAGGCTCTCCTACCAAAACATAACTGGACAAAGCAAAGTTCTGCTTGCACTCAGGACTCACATATGCAAGGTGAATGCTCCACCATCTAGCTGTGGACCCAACCCGGTCTGGTTCATCTACTTTACTGTGTGCGTGTGTCTGTGTGCATACGGGATCTCCAGATATTCTATTGTGGTCAGAGAACAACCTTGAGTGATGTCTATCCTTGGAAACCTGTCTTTTATTTTATTTTATTTTTTTTTGTCTTATTGGCTCAGAACTTTGCAAAGTAAACCAGGCTAGCTGGCCTGCGGTTTCCAGGGGTTCTTCTCTTTGCTAGGATTGTGGGTACATGCTACTCTACCTGCTTTTTACACAGAGTTCTGGGGAACCGAACTCATGTCTTTGTGCTTGTTAGGAAGGCACTTTACAGACTGACCCATCTTCCAGGCCTGTCTTTATTCTTTCATTTGACACGCCATTACTAAACACACATAGCAAACGTAATTTGTGAAAAAACAAAAAACAAACCCTGCAGCTTTATTTGCTTTTGCTTAGTTTGTTGTGTTTGATCTAGTCTTCCTTTCCTTTTAAAGAATTTGTTGGTAATTCCGAACATGCATACAGTATATTTAGATTATATCCATCTTCCCTCTCAAGTCCTCTAAGACTTCCCTCTACATCTCCCTCCTAAGAAGTAATCGATTGACCTTTATAACCACTGAGTCAGATCAGTACTGCCTGTATGTCCTGATACTGCCTGTATGGGTTGGAGGCCTGCCCACTGGAGCATGGACAGCCGGCCTGTCTGGGCCACATCGCTGAAGAAAGCTGACTCTCTCTCCCGCAGCAGCCAGCACCTGCCAGCAGCTCCTGAGCTCCTGCGGGGGAATCAACTGCTTTCACCTTGTTCAGGATTTGCTTAGGCATCTTTGGCTGCTGGACCTTAATGTTTAATGATAACTTTAAATAGGCATAATTCACACAAATGTATTCTCTTTTTACCCATGTCAGATGGTCATTTTCATCTGGAGTGTGTACTATATAGCTTGTAGAAGGACCAGTCTATCTGTTATCCGATTATTAGCTTAGATTGGAAGGCTACTATGCACCTTGCTTTGTATGTGAGGCCGAGACCTTGGTGAACAAAGTGGGCATGACCTCGGCCTTGAGAAAGAAAGAATATAGTCCTCAAGAGTCAGGAAGTGGATAGCAGTTTGCTGTGTAAGTGGGGTGGGGAGATGGAAGATTTGTTCTAGTAACGTTCAGAGCATAAAATTAGGCCCATGTGGTGACACTTTTGGAAGGAGAGAAGAGGCGTATGCAACGATATAAAAGGTAGTTAAGTAAGAGAATATTTTGCTATTGATTAAAGTTTCCTTGAAATGAAGAGGGTGGCTCCTTTGACTATTAAGCTTGCATGACCGGAAGCACTTGATTAGGGGTTACAGGATTCTGGGCCTGACCAAAGGAACTAAGGCTCTTTGTCTCCTTCTGACGGTTACTGGTTTGAGCTATCATCAAAACAAATGTAACTTTTGCTGCGAAGGACCAGATAGTAAATCTCTCTGGTGTTGCAGCTAACCCTGACTTTGCCTCTGCTGCGGTCCTCTGGCATTACTGGGCGAAGGTGGACATACAGGTGCACACAAACAGTGACTGTAGCTGTGCTTGGGTAAAATGTATTTATAAGAACTAGGCGGCAGGCAGATTTGGCCTACGGGACTGGAGTCTGTCCATATTTGGCTTAGATGTTTAATTTTCACAAATGTAAATCCTTGTGTAGATGAATCTGATTTGGAAAACAGCATATATGCTAAAACCTTTAAGTAGAGTCAGGCAGAAGACTACTCACCTTAATGAAATCACCAAATATGATGGGCCGGTTTAAAAAGTAATCCACACCAATTGTAATTCCAAAGTACTTGTCTGTTGAAACACAAAAGCAACTTCACGATGGGGATCAGCTTGAATGTAGAATTTTAATAAGCTCTATGTAATAGTATCTGCAGTGGCTTTGAAAACTGAGAGCCATGACAACAAATAGCACTGTAGGTGGGTGGCCAATCTCCCAGGTTTGCCTATTTAGTAAGTAGTTAAAACTTCCATTAAATAGTAAATATTGAATACTTATTCAGTAAAAAGGAATATTTTAGAATTATGGTCATTTCTTTTTATCTAGTTTTTAAATTAAAAGCATATTTCATTTTGACAGAATCTCACACTGTAGCTGAGCTGGCCACAAACTCATGGAGTACTCTTGTTGGAGACTCCTGGGTGCTGGGACCATGGAAAAGAGATACTATACTACACCCAGATAAAAAATAGGGATTTTAGTAAGCTCATAAAATAATGGATCTCATTTTTGGATCAAAATAATGGATCAAAATTATGTTCTTTTGATACACATAGGTCATTATTTTTCCTTTGTCTTTTATTTCCCTTTCCTTCCCCTAACCAATCTTATCTGTATTCATGTCATATATGTGTGACATAGGTATTACATACGCTGCATATCACATATATGTAGTTATACCTAGATTCCTCATGGTGCTATGTATAGGACATATACACACACACATACAGACATATCAAAAGGATTTGCATATAGCTATATATATATATACACCTACAGTCTCTATGATACATGTTGTGACATGTATGTCATGGGTCTACTTACAGCTATACAGTTACATTGAGATTCCCCATGATGTCATAAATTTGTGACATGCATATCACATGGCCTGCATGTAAGTACGTAGTTGTTCCTAGGTTTGCTATGATGCCATATATGTGTGACATATAACACCTATGCCCCCATTATAGAAGGCATGTGATATCTGTCTTTATATTCACTCATGACCCTCTCTTGTCCCCCCCCATCATTTCAAACTGCTTCCTTCCTACACTTCTCTATTCCGTCATATCATTCATATTATCTATATCTCTATCTACTCCTTGTGGGAGAGGAAACACGTTATCCTGGCTTCTTATTAGACAAAATTTTATTTCTCCACTTTTCTGTCTCTACTTCTAATTTTATACATGATTATGACTATCAAAATTTTCTTTATTATAGTAACCCATTTTTATAATATTTGTATATATTTGATATCAAAACTTTTACTTGTTAATGCCTAAAATTTATAAACTCATTTTCATTTCCCTTTTATTGAAACCAAATTGATTCTCTAATTTTTTAAAAATAAAAAAAGTTAAAGATATTTACTGGCCATTTCTGTCAAAATGACATGGAAGTAGTGTTTGTCTTCATTATTGATTAATCGATCATGGAACACTCTTTGACATTCGTGGCAAAAAAGTCTAAATATCTGACCTTCTTCTCTTATTGTTCCTGGATCACATTGGAGAATACCTGTGAGATTTTTTTAAGAAAAGGGGGAAAAAGGGAAAAGTTTCATTTATGAAATACCTCATAACAGTTTAGTAAAGTCCAGCCTGGGATGGAAAGAGGTGGTTAGAACCGGGTTACATTTTGAAGGGGAAGCTGGTCATGGAGCAGGTGGAGGGCTTCAAGGCTCCCGGCCAGGGCAGTTACTGGTACCCTTATGTACAGCAGGGATAACCATGGCCAGGGCTAGAGGGATGAAGCAAGAATCTATTTTTTTTTTTTCTTGAGACAGGGTCTCACAATACAGCTCTGGCTTTCCTAGAACACACTATGTAGACCAGTCTGGCCTAGAACTCACAGAAACCCTGCCTGCCTCTGCCTCCTGAGTGCTGGAATTAAAAGTATGCACCACCATGCCTGGCTAAGAATCTACTTTCTAGCTGCAGGTTTAAGAAGTCCAGTTGGGCAGCTGAGTGAGGATGCTGAGAAGAGTGTAGAATACGGGAGGTGTTGCTCAGAGGGGAGGCTGTATCTGGGACAGAGAATTGACTAGGGTTGGACAAAAAGCGGACTAAGGACAGACTCCAGGCCGTAATTTTAAGGTAGGGAGGAGCAGCAGCTATCAATGTTGATGGAGTGACATCAGCCAGGGAGAGGGCAGGGGATGTAGGAGAGTTTGCACTTAGGACTGCTGGATGAGGCAGAGGGACGGTGCCAAGCACTGAGATCTGGCCTGTCGGGAATGGAGTGAAGTCCAGGGTCAGGTATAAGCTTTGATCGACACACAGTAAAGGTGGAATAGGAGGGCTCCTGAGGAGAGGCCGTTTTTACAGGAGTCTTTTTAGAGAAGGAGAGCAATCAACTCTTAAAGGTAGGATGTACGATCTATTTTAAAATGATGCCCGGAATGATCTAACAGGAGAGGAGACTATGAAAGCGATGTAGGGATTTTAAGAGCCAAATCTCCAACGAGGCAGGTGGAGATGGAACTTTGTACGAGAGGGGGTGTACAGGGGCAGTTCAGTTTAGGGCAGGAAGATGTGGGTTGTCCAGGCCATCTGGGAGATGAAGCACCTCTGAGCTAATGGTTTCTATTTTTCAGCTTTCTGTTTCTCATCCTCAGCTGGAAGTGAGAAGTGGGATGGCTACTTGAGATCTGAGAAAGTTCTGGGGTTCAGCACGAGGTAGGGGTGCAAGGAGACTTGAATTTGAATAAGTTATGCCCCGTGTCTTAGTTACCGTCTCATTGCACAAATGCAACTTCAGAGGAAGGAAGGGTTTATTTCTACTCTCAGTTCCAAGTCAAATGGATGTCAAACGGACATCCCAAGAAGGTCAAGTGCCATCCCAAGAAGGTCCTCTCCCAGGCGATTCTGGATCCCATCACTTGGCAACTGAGATTAACCAGTGTGCCAGGGCTGCCCGGCAAAGTTCCAGTAGGTGCACATGATTCTGAGAGGTTTGGTGGAGGGCCATGGGAACGCAGAACGGAGAACGCGGATTCAGCACATTACCCTGCACACACTTGGACAAATCTCTCAGGTTGAAGACGTAATGGGACTTGGCCGGGGTTGGCAGGAGGTCGACACTCATCCTGTTATAGATCTCCACTGCAGCTTCCACAATGTTTGACGAAGTTTGCCTCACAGGGGGTGGGAAGTCAATCAGGAAGCCATTCAAGATAGCCTGGAACCAGAAAATGTAAGGTGACAGAGTTAAGATTGCTTTTTTTTAAACCAAATATTTGTCTTTCAAATACCCTCATTTTGATATCCCTTTCTAACTGCAACTAGAAGAAAGCTAAATTCCAACACAAAGGCTCTTGTTTGTCTCAGAATATACTTCCAAGAACAGGCCCTTTCTTGTGATTTGTGGTTGTTTGGGTTGGCTGAGTGGAATTCATAGCTGGTCTGTGTCTTACCATGAACTTACCATTTCCTGTTTCTGTGACTGTGCTCACTCAAGAACTCTTCGGCCCTCCCTGTCAATTTGAATCCTCCTCCAAGACCCAGCCTTGGCTGACTGGTGAAGGCTTACCCTCACTGGCGCATGTGCTGCTATCGTTCTTCTCAGAATAATGTTTCACACTTACTGGACACTCTGCTGAGCACTCCTAGGTTAAGGCAACAATGTGTTTCCCGTGTAAAAGACGAGGAAGTGGTCTCGTGGGGAGGTTAATACGTGCGGGTGAAAGATGGGCTCATAGTTTATAGCAATGGTGTCAAGAGTCCATGCAGTCTGCCTGAGGTGTGTTGAACTGGAGCGGCCTGGGGTGTTGTGTGGTTTAAGGGGGCATTCAGCCCTGGAGATCATATCTGAAGTGTGCGTGGAGGTAAGGCCTGGGCAAGGAAGAGACCTGCCTTTAGGAGTGTCATGTTTAATCTTTCTGCACTCCTAAATGGTCTACAGAAATCAACAATGCAGCCAGTAGCCAGCTGCTCTCTGTGGCCAGTGGTTCCAGGCTTCCTGCTTAGGAAAGGGAGGAAAGGGGTCCCTGGAAACCCAGTGCACTGTTTTGACTATGAGATTCTTGGTAAATGTTTTCTTTGCCCCATCTTGTTTAGATCAGGATCCGCACTCACCTGAAAAATCTGCTTCAGGCTGTGCTCTGAGGGCATGGGCAGGCACAGCATGCTGAAGTGTCGGATGAAGCGGGGTGTCACAGGGTTGCGGCCCCCTCCTGGAGGTGCGCACGCTGAGACAATTGTTACGTCCTGTGTGGAGAGAAAGCCACTCGGGTCACCCTGCAGAGAAAGAGAAAAGATCTGCCCTCCCTAATATCAGGATTCAGAGACGCCATTCTTTAGAGGGCCCGTCATGGGCCAGCACTGCAGCCCCAGGCCTATCTGAGGTCGCTATTCCTACTCTCAGTTCATGGCAGGAAAACCAAGTCTTGGGTGTCTAACTAAGCCACTCAGTTGGCAGTGTCAGGGCTGCATTTTGAAAAGGCTGCTCTGGGGCTGGCAAGATGGCAAGGGTTGAAGAATGTGTTCTGCTCTTGTAGGAGACTGTAGTTTGCTGTTGGAGAATTTCATTCCCGGCACCCACGTCAGTGACTCAGCTGCCTGTAGCTCCAGGGAACCAGACACCTTCTTCTGGGCTCATGGGGGCACGGGCACCCTCTGAATAGGCACATGATTAAAAATGAAAAATAACTGTTTAAAAACAAACAACAGAGGTTAAAAGGCCACTCAGGCTGACTGCAGGTCAGAGAGAAGACCTAGGGTGTCTAGAGGCCAGTTAAAGGTGTTGTTTAATCTGACTGATATCTTTATGATGTATAGACTGTTGGATCCAGAAGTCTGAGGGAGAAGCTTGGCTTAAGATAATGACCATGGCAATGAAAAGGAACAAGTAATCAGAGAGATATTTACAATGGATGGCCCATACATTCAAAAGAAATTCTAGGATTTGGGCTGTGTCTATTTCATCTTTGAGCTAACAACACCGTTTGTTTTGCAGGGATGCTGGGAGAGATAAGTGATGTAACAGTGCTTGGAACAATTTGTCTTTACTATGAGCAGAATGACTTACCCCAGACACGCCCCCTTCCAGAACAGAAACAGAGTGGGCAGTCAAGGCATGACCCCCATTCTCCCTCAGACTCCCAAGCCCTGCTGGTGGCTTGTTGGTTGCATATGTCACCACACTAAAGCTCTGACTCTCATCTTTTCTCCTCTTAGAGGCTGAAGATTCTGTTCTTGCCTCCTCTCTAGTCTGTTTCTTTCCCACAGCCAAGGAAATCTTTCTAGAATACTTGCTTCAGAGATTCTCCATCATGAAGAGGATAAACCCATAGTCCTCATTATGCACCTACAGCCCTCTGAAACATGGGTTCTGTTCCTTTTGCTGTTCCAGAGTTACATTTTATGGGACTAGGGTATTTAAGATCCTATGAGGTATTAAAGTATTCACTCTCTTTGTTCTGTCTTTACAATCTAGGCTCCCAAATACCTGCTTCTCTTATTCTCATCCCAATCTCAGGCCTGAATTCTCTCTGTCTCCCCTAGTCATCTTTTGCCACAAATGTCTGTTTACTCTCTGGGAGACAAGGGCTGCCTCATTTGCCACTTGTCTCCTGAAACAGCACGGCAAGACGTAAATGCAGATGGAATGAACTGGATTACAGGTAAGAAGCACCAAGCCATGCTTCAAAGTCTGAATTTACCTAGAAATAATGTGTTGAAGTCCTAATTTGTGGTAAAAGTTGATTGCTTTTGAAGACAGGGAATTTGGAGAAATGGTGTCTTTAGGATGACCTCCTAATGCAATACAATTAGGACAATGCAATTAGGACACAAAGGAAGCTAAATGCTATGGCTTGAGTGTGGTTTGCCTCCTCCATGACTCATGTTGGACTTTAATCCCTATTATGAGGCACATAGAGGGAAGAAGCTTAATCCAACCGTGTTGTTTTGAGATGGTAACTTTAGGAAGTGATTAGGATTGGATAAGGTCATCTGCATAGTACTTCTACTATTGAGTTATTGGTAGTCTCATGAGAACAGGGACAGAGACAAGGAGGTACATGCATGCTCCTCTTATTTCTCCATGTGATGCCTTGCTGTTGTGTGGTATTTCTCCCCTGCTTTTTAAGAAGTTTTAAGAGAAGCTTGTTCATATCAGGATATAAACAACTTACAAGTTCTTGGAAGTCCCAGAAAGTTACTAAATTCACAAGGTCCTTTGATGCTCAAGATTATATAGATAGTAAGGACTGCTGAGGAGAGGAGACTCTCTGAATTGTTGAGCTGCCTACAAGTTGTGCAATGAACACCAGATCCAGCTTTCGTGAGTTGTCACCCATGCTCCTGGTGATGGGGTTTGGGTGAGGCATCTTTTCCCCCTTTTCTTCTTTCTTCTGACACAGGGTTTTACTCTGTGAGTTTGGCTGGCCCAGAACTCACAGAGATCCACTTGTTTCTGTCTCCCAAGTGCTGGGATTAAAGTCATGCACCACCATATCCAGCCTTGCAGCTGCCTTTGAGTCATCCACGTTGCTGTAAGTAATCCTTTATTCACACCTGGAAGTAAGCTCAATAAACCTCATTGCTTCACCAACTTGGATTTTGGTGGTATCTTTGTCTTGGTCTGCCGTTGGTTACATATCTGGGTTGAAGAGACATTTGTTCACATCTCTCCAGTATCACGTACTACTTGCATGGTCCCCAAGGTGAAACACTACATGTGGCCTCTTGCCCTTGGATCAAGACCACAATTCACAATAAACTGCTTTGTGACTTACCCATCTGGTGTACCGGTATTAGAAATAGACAACAGACTAACAACCCCATGTTGCTGCAGCCTGCTAGTTGAGACAAAGCTGCAGCCAGCTTTGGATTCAGCTTCCATTTTGTTTCTTAGGGGAAATTAAGTTCAAAATTTTAAGCTTTCCGACTCTGCTTCCTGGAAGTGGTTGTTCATAGCTGACCTTATGCTTTGTATGATTCAATAGCGTCATAACTCATACTTGGTTATCTGCACACTTGGCTACACCCTGGTTGCACTCTGTTATCTACACACTGGTAGCACTCGGTTGCCCTTGGGCTGCACTCTGGAAGACAGTCACTTACCTAGAACCAATCAGCTTCAAGATTAGCTGATAATACGTTGTCTAGTTAGCCAAAAATGTAATATCGCTTTGTACTGCCCTCACCATGTCTTCAGAATTGAGTTATTTTTCTAGAAAAACCCTGCTGTGAGACCTTGTAGATGTCACAGTTAGGCTCCTGAGTCCTTACTGTGGCCCTGATCAGTCAGCTTGGAGAGGTGTTCAAATAAACCATCCATATCTAACTGAGACTGGAGTCTGAGTGGTCTGTACGGCTAATTTTTACAACATCATGAGGAAAAGAAGAACATATGAAAATCGAGGAGAGAAGTCTTGGAGCAGATTTTGCTTACACTTGATCTTAAACTTCTCACCTTCAGAATTACGAGAAAATAGATTAAGCTACCTAGACTGTAGTATTTTGTTATATTAGCCCTGAAAAATAATACTCCATATTTGAGTGCACCAATTAATGTCAAATCTAACCTGTATTTCTTTCCAAAAGAGTTTGTTTCTGTCATAAAATCCGCCAAAATCTTGATACTGCCGTAGTAGTTCAATAGGTGGTTGGGAGCCATAATGATCCAGGCGGGGCATATTCAGGTCATCAACAAAAATCACAACTTGCTTGTTTCCTGGTGCTCCTGGGACAAGAGAAGGGATTTCAAAAGAATCACAATTTGTCCTTAGAAAATCATAAGGCCATTTTTTGTTGTTGTGGTGGTGGTGGTGGTAGTTTAAAAATGATTTGTCCTCCCAAAAATTCATGTTGAAGCTTGGTCCTTGGCGTAATGGCATTTCGGGCGGGCAGTGAGGGATCTGCCCCGCACCGCCTGCCAGCGGACACCGACCTGACCAAGGCATTCACAGTGTCATGCACCCTTAGTCTCAGAAACACGTCATGATGCTAGCTCCCCAGCGAGGCCTGGACCTTTCCCTCTGCCCTCAGCAGGTGTGCGGCCTGACTGCACTGAGCATGAGGGAGGAAGAAGGAAGGAAGCAGAGGGATACCACAGGTTTCAGATCATGAAGCCACCTCATCACCTCCACATGGTAAACGACTTTGATACCTGAAACCATCCCAATCCCATCAATGGAAAATCCCAGACGGTAGGGAGGAAGCACAGAAGGGGAATTCCCCCTCTAGCATCCAGGGTTTGAGAAAACAGCTACAGCCCTGTGGTTGGGACGAATGCTGGATGGTGATTCCAATGCAACTAAAGCTAATTCTGAATTAGCTTTCTCTGACACAGCTCTCTTCTGCCCCAGAGAAGCCATGTAGCAAGATCAGAGTGGGGAAGAGACCTCAGAGAATCATTCATAAAAATTTGGAGCTCATGAAAAAAAACAAAAACAAAAACCAGACTGGCATCTTCCACCCTTTGTCTAGCTGAGCAAGGAAAAGGGAACCAGGAGGAGGTGGTGAGGCAGTTGGTAAGCCCACTCTTGGTGCATGGATGTCAGTGCATGGCTGACAATGTGAAAAGCAGCTGAGGTTCGGCTCTGTCAGGTACCATTCAGATGGCTGCTAAGTGAAGTGTGTACGAGCTAGAGCTTGTATTGTTGGAGGGTGGGAATGAATGGAGGCCGAGACCTTGAGATCCCCTCAGGGAACTTTGCAGTAAGGAGGTGGTGGCCCAGCCAGTGAACTGCTCTTTAGGGATGCTCATGAGAGCTTGCTCCTGCTCACTTAGTACATGGACAGTAGTTTATTACATGGACAGTAATCCAGTCAGAGGAGCAGGGCCACACATGGAGACAGTCTAAATGCCAGGGAGGGCAAAACATTAGTCTATTTCATCTTCTCCTGACCTACACATCAGAACCTCTACAGGAAGAAAGAGCTACTAAGATCACCCCATGCTACCCTCCATGTCAGGACCTAGAGGTGCACATCTGATTTACAACAGAGATGAGGGCTGACTTTCAGTCAGGTGTGGGATTGATGTTTTACATTGGCTTAGACTTAAAGTATCTAAAGGTGACAGGAAAGTTATGATTAAAAAAAAAAAACCTAACTAGCTAATTAGAGAAAGAGAAAGAGATGCTAAAAGTTGGCCAAAAACACCAACTGAAGACAAACCTATACTCATGCTACTTCCAACCAAACCCAGAAACTCAGTGTGCCATCTATGAGGATGTTTGTTGGTTTTAAACAAATGAAAATCGGTTGAGGTTTGGGGGCCTTGGATGGACAGAAGGGAGCCATGAGGTGTCAGAGACTGCAGATGATCTGCTGAGGGCGGCTGTCACGATTAACCTTCACTTTGACTCCACCTGGAATGACCTAGGAGACATACTTTCAGGTGCGTCTGTGAGAGTGTTTCCACAGAGGTTTAAGGAAGAAGAAACGATTGACCCTGAATGTGGCTGGCACCAGCCGATGGACTGGGATCCCACACTGAATGAAAACGAAAGATAAAAACCAGAGAAAGCAAGTTGAACAGCGGCATTCAGCTCTCTGATTCTTGACCACAGATGCGCTGTGACCACCTTGCTTTCCCACCATGAAACCAGGAGCCTAAACAAATTCTTCTCCCTTTAAGCTGCTTTTGTCAGGTGTTTTGTCATGGTGATGGGAGTAGTTGACGCAGTGTGGGGGAATAAATGACTTGCAGTTCACATTGAGATAGCTAGAGGAGGAAAATGTCCATGAACAGAAACGTCTTACTTTGGCTCTGCATACACTTGTGTTGCGGCATGGCCCTCAGCCTGACACCCGGGACCTGTGAGAGAGACCAGTGCTTTCCTTGGCCGAGCGGGCCGCTCACCACAAGGACGGCTCAGCTTGCTCCCTGTGTATGCAGCTTACTGGCTGGACGAATGGTTGTGTACAGCTAAACTGCAATCTTGATTCTTACCTAGAATATTTTTTCTTTTTCTTTCCAGTTTTGATTCAATGATCTCTTGCGTCCTTGAAGATGAAGTTTGGGCAGAAAAATTTAGATAAACGGGGACATAGCCAGCTGATTCTTGAATTCTATTCAGTAAGCCTTTTGCAATAACAGACTTTGGATAAAAAAGAGTATGTTAATTGATTTCATATTCAGTGTGATACCTTTTAAGTAGCCTCTGTTGGCCATAATCCAGCAGAGTGAGTGAGTGAGAAGCAGCAGAGAAGAAGGCAGGCTGGATGTAGGCGAAACTGGTACTGTTTCACTGCGGCCGTTACTTTCAGTTACATCCATCAGGACCAAAGAAATACTCGAACCAGACCTAACTAAGGAAAAGTCACACCAAAATTCTTCTCTTACTATCCAGTCCAATTTGATAATGAGGCAGACCCACATTTCTTTGTTCTTTTTGAAATCTTTCAAAATTTGTATTTTTTTTAGTGTGTGTGTTTATGTGCGTAGGAGCCTGCACATGTGAGGGTATCTTGTGTCATGGTATACATGAGTGGAGGTGAGAGCACCTTTCACCTGTGGATCCTGGAGAGGGGACACAGGTAGCCAAGCTGCACAGCAAGCCTCTTGACTTGCTGAACCATCTTGCTGGCACACATTTCTTACAAATAACATGGAAGGTAAACAGTGAATCTGGGTTTGTGTGGACACCTCTATTTTCCTCTTCGTTTCTTCCCAGAATTAAAATAACACTGAAAGTGTGGTTGTGTCTGTTAAACTTAAATAAGAAACAGGACAGAATGATTGTCATCAGCAGTCCTTCGGGAACTCAATTGCCCTGGGCAGTTTCCACCCAGATGACATGGAGCAACTGCAGAAATAAATACATGGCCCTGAACTCACAGCCTGGTCTGTAACACCAACCTGAGGATATGTTCAGAAACTGATAAACTCTGGGGGAAATCCCAGGGTCAGTATGGATTCTGCAGACTTAAATTCTTCCTGAAAAAGTGGTACAGTAAATAAAAAAGATTTTCTGTGGGAACCCTGTGTTATTTCTGATGCTGAGGATCCTAGCTCCACAGTGCCTCAGTCTGACAGCACTGCCTGTCTGATGAGGCTTTCCTACCTTGCCGACTCCAGTCGTGCCGGTGAACAGCACCGAGTGCCTGACCGCCAGTAGCTTTTCCATGAGATAGCCGTAGCGCACCGTGTCTGTTGTAGGGACAAGCATCTCAAAGAACGGCACCTCCTTGCTGTACCTGAAGGTGGGTATGATCCGCTCCCAGGGGTCCAGACGCTTGGTATCAAAATCGACATGAATGCTCCACAGATCTCCAGAATTGGGGAGCTGAAGTATAAAACCAACTGTCAATGGACAGCACCGACTCTCAGAAATAGCTACATTCATGCGAAGCAAACGTAGCAGAGAACATGAATAGAGCTGAATTTCATTTTTCTCTTTAAGAATTTCTTCAAATACCAGAGGCTAATTGTTTACTTTATAAATTTAACTGCAGTGGGATATATTCACTTGCTTGTGTGTGTGTGTTGCTATATGGGCATCGTATGGGTGAGTGTAGAGATGGGTGCCCTACCCTACCATTTTCTGCCTCGTTCATTCGAGACGGGGGTCTTGCTGAACCTGGAACTAGGTTGGTGGCTGGCAAGCCCCAGAGCTCTTCCTGTTTTCAGCTTACAGAGTGTGGGGATGAGATTTATTTACTTTACATATTTATTTTATTCATTTTTATTTATGTGTGTCTAACTTTCTGTATGTGCGCTAGCCCAACCCCCTTGGAGCCTGGCACATTAAAATCTGATAGTCCCTGGTAGTGTGGGCATCATGCTGAGAGTGCTCCCCATGTTGCTGGCTGAGAAACTCCAAGGAGAGATGACCCCTGCTGACTACTGCTCAGCGGGGAAGGAAGACAGGGCAGTCCAGCTGGCTGGAATCCCACACAGGCACTATACCCCTTACTCTGTATTCATTTAAGATAAGAGAAAGCACCTGCTTTCTCAGCTTCAATCGGCAATCCAGGGCATGGTAGCTTCCACCCACATGGTGGCTCACAGTGATGATCTCTAACTCTGGTTCCAGGGTATCCAGCTCCCTCCTTTGGCTTCTATGGGCACTATATACATGTGGTAGGGCATACATGCATCCAGGCAAAACACCGAGACACATAAAATACAGGAAAACTCCACAAACACACCTACAGAGCCAACTAACCAGGGCCCAGGGGGGCTTATGGAGACTGAAGCACCAACCAAGAACCATGCATCAACTGGACCGAGGTCTCCTGCACAGATATAGCCGATGGGCAGCTCTGGCTTTATGTGGGTTCCCTAGTAAGGGAAATGGGGGCTGTCTCTGACATGGACTCTGTTGCCTGCTTTTCAGGGCTGCCTTGCCAGGCCATAGGAGGATAAGTCCTGATGTGACTTGATGTGCTGGGGAGGGATGGGGGGGCTCTCCTTTTCTGAGGAGTAGGGGAGGAGGGATAAGGGAAAGAGGGAGGGAGAGTGGGATTAAGAGGAGAGAAGGGGGCTACAATTGGGATGTAAAGTGAATAAATAATAAATAAATGCATCTTTAAAATAAAATATAATGTGGTAAGGGAAAAAAATTCTTCCAACCCAACAGATCTGTACCTTGTATCTCAGAAACATGCAAAATATGAAATTGCCAATACAAATCCTGCAGAAGGCAAAGATTATGGTGTAACTTAAATGTTATGAAAATAATTCTTCATTTGCTATAGGTGGCACACACCTTTAACCCCATCATCCAGGAGGATGATAAAGATGAATATCTGAGTGTTAGGTCAGCCTGGTCTATACAGTGAGTTCCAGGCTAGGGCTACATAGTGAGAGCCTACGAAAAGAAAGAAATGAAGAAAGAATTCCACACCCACAACCTACATGTAGAGAGTTCAAAGACTTCAAGAAGGATTTGAACAGGATGAGTGAAGCAAGGAAATTAGTTCAGGTCCTAGATTAAAATATGGGTGAGAACACTAACAAAGTGGATACGAAAGGACAACATGGGTGAAAAACCTTACTAAGGAAACTGAGTCTGGAGAAGAATGACCGAAATGTCAGAAATGAAAGAGTCAATCAATAAGCACACACAGAGAAGAGGTTTGCAAGCATTCTGTCTCTGCTGACTGGGCTGCATTGTGTTGGAGGCTGTAAGTACTCTAGGGATGAGACAGAGGATACGGGAGGCTGTGCGTACGATATTTGCCAACACTGCCCCATTTGATAGAAGGGACTTGAGCATCTGCAGACTTTGAACTCTTTGGGGGAGGGCGTACTGGAATCAGTTTCCTCAAGGACAACTATATGTACATGTCAAATTTCATACAAATATATCCATTCATTACCATTTTGAAAACCCACAAGTACTGGTGTTTCTAGTTTCACCCAATAACACAAGGCACATTTGAATCTTTCTTCCATATTTTCAAATCCCTCTGTGATGGGGAGGAGTCTACTCACCAGAGCATATTTGCTCTGTGCTGGGATGCATACGCAGTAGCCCCAGAATCAATGCTGATCAACCGTGAAAATACACCTGATAATCGGGACTCAGCATTCAGCTACGGCACTGGGCTTTACTGACCAGTTGCCTTATCAACAGCAACAGCCTTGGAAAGCACACTGAAAGATTTCTTGTTTGTTTGTCTTTTATTTTTAATGGAGTAATGCTGTCAGTGGCTGAAAGATGAGACCAGCTTTTTCAAATCCTCACAATGAATAGGATTAAAGCTCTTAAAGTTGTTTTTTTCTGTTCATGTATTTCTAGTTAAAATTACATTTTATTCTAGAATTCAAATCTCTAAGCTTACAACTACATTTTTTTTTCTGGAGTGTTTGTTTGATCACATGACTATTATTCTTCTATTTACAAAACAGAGAGGTCTTAAAGATTTATTCTTAAAATTTAAAAATTTAAAGTGATGATGACAGCTCCACTTGGTCCTTACCCTGGCATCAGGATTGTCATCAAATTGTGATCTAATAAATGTATCAAAAGAATCCCAGTAATTTTCAGTTAAGTTTCCACCCAAAGACCACAAGTAACAGAACACAAAAGTCTGGCACAGCACAGTGTTCAGCTTCATTTGTTCCTGAAAAGATAAAGAGAAACAGCATAAATATCTTACTTGCTGATGGAAGACACTGTAACCTGTGAGGCCTGAGACTTCTCTCTTATTTAGACTCTGTGTTTAACAGGGTGTGGTGAATGTTTTATTTGGTGATCCACAGGATGCTTCTTCTTTATTTACAGGATAGAAAACCATGAAAACATGAAAGACAGGCACAAGTGGGGAACACTGCTCCTCATGTTCTACCTCTGTGAGTATCATAGAGCAGACTGAGCATACATCCTGGAATATGTCATAGACCACAGGGTATTGGAGGCTGAGGACCAGACTAAACCACAGGCACCCATGCTCCTCTAACTGTGAGTCTAATTGCAGCCATTAGCCTCGAGAACATTAAATTAAAAATCAAGTGGTCAAATTTCAGAAAATCTAGAGTTTTTATTGGCAAAGACTCTCATAGAACCGTAGCATTTTTATAGCTTTAGAAAAAGAAGGCTTCATGCAAGACAGATGAGATGGCTCAGTGGGTAAACGTACTTAAGCATGACAACCTGAGCTTAATCCCGGAACTCTTAGTGGGAAGAGGACCAATTCCCAAAAGTTGCCCTGTAATCTTCACACATGAGCATCACACACACACACAATTTAAAATCAAAACGGAACTTCATACCAATGACAAGATACCTCCTTCTTTGACAAGTAGCAAAGACTCCAGTAGGCAACAAAGCGTGGTCACTTTGCTGATGTCCACCTGGGGGATAGCTTGGCTGCACTTTTTGTTTACAAACTGCAACCCTTCTTCAACATGACGATTGAAAAGGTTCAATAAATACTCTTCGGTTTCCTCATTCAGCTGAAAATGAAACAGATAAATGTTTCACTACATTCTTACTGAAGGTAAAGCATATATATATATATATATATATATATATATATTTACATTTAGAGAGAGGGTGCTTAAAATCCACACATCTAGCATATTAGGTAGCCTTTAGATCAAAGGATTTTGGCATCACAGCATCACACAACATAAAACAAAGTCCACGGAAACCCATGGCTCATCAGAGATTCACAGAGGACATACCAGGCAATGAAGACTGCACTGTACTTCTTGGTTTTGTGATGAGTTCAGAGGTTTCACTTTATAATTAGTTCTTAAAGGGCCAGTGCATACATTACACACTGGTGCTTGCTGACAGTCTTTCACAGCTAAGAGCAATGAAGAAGAGTAAGCGGAGATGGCAAGACCTCAGGAAGGTGGAAGGGATAATTTCCTAAGACTTAAAAGTGAGTTTGGCCCTTATTATTTAATATTGTGTTAGAAGCTTAAGCTAATATGGCAGGACAATAAAACCAAAGATTTACAGATTAAAAAGGAGGAAGTAGAGGTTGGAGATATGGCTTGGGGGATAAGGACACATATTACACTTGTGGAAGACTACAGTTTGGTTCTAGTGTTTTAGTAGGCTCACAACTGCTTATAACTGCAGCTCCACAGCATCTGATGCCCCTTTCTGGCCTCCATCCCACACAGTCACTCACACTAACACACGCACTCATAACACACTCACACATACACACTCAAAACTGAAAAACACCCATAACATTTAAACCTAAAATATAAAAATTTTTAAAGAGAAAAGAAAATGTAAATGTAAAACTGTCTTTATTCAAAGATGGCAGTGTTATCAAACCAACACAATTCTTTACAGACCTTCAAAGAAAAATTCCCAACTTTGAATCTCCAAAACAATCCTTTACAATAACAGATCGTCTGGAGGTATCTCCATCCCTGATCTCAAGCTGTACTACAGAGCAATAGAAATAAAAACTGCAGGGTATTGGCAAAGAAACAGAAAGGAGGATCAATGGAACAGAATAGAAGAGCCAGAAATAGACCCACACACCTACGGATATTTGATTTTTGACAAAGAAGCCAAACCATTCAACAGAAAAAAGACAGCATCTTCAACAAATGATGCTGGTCCAACTGGATGTCTACATGCAGAAAAAAATGAAAATAGATACATATTTATCACCCTGAACAAAACTAAAGTCCAAGTGGATCAAAGACCTCAACATAAAACCAGACACACTAAATCGGTTAGAAGAAAAAGTGGGGAAGAGCCTAGAACTCATTGGCACAGGAGACAACTTTCTGAACAGAACACCAACAGCACAGGCTCTAAGAGCAACAATCAATAAATGGGACCTTATGAAACTGAAAAGCTTCTGTAAAGAAAAAGACACTGTCATCAGAACAATATCAACAGCCTACAGACTGGGAAAGGATCTTCACCAACCCTATATCTGACAGAGGGCTGATATCCAGAATATATAAAGAACTAAAGAAGTTAAAAAGCAACAAATCAAGCAATCTAATTAAAAAATGGGGTATGGAGCTAAACAGAGAATTCTCTGTAAAGGAATATAGAATGGCAGAGAAACACTTAAAGAAATGCTCAACCTCATTAGCCATCAGGGAGATGCAAAGCAAAACGACCCTGAGATCTCACCTTACACCCATCAGAATGGCTAAGATCAAAACCTCAAGTGACAACACATGCTGGAGAGGATGTGGAGAAAGGGGAACCCTCCTCCATTGCTGGTGGGAATGTAAACTTGTACAACCACTCTGGAAATCAATCTGTCGCTTTCTCAGACAACTAGGAATAGCGCTTCCTCAAGATCCAGCTATACCACTCCTAGGCATATATCTAAAAGATGCTCAAGTACACAACAAGGACACTTGCTCAACCATGTTTGTAGCAGCTTTATTCGTAATAGCCAGACCCTGGAAACAACCCAGATGTCCATCAACAGAGGAATGGATACAGAAATTGTGGTACATTTACATGATGGAATACTACTCAGTAATTAAAAACAAGGAAATCATGAAATTTGCAGGTAAATGGTGTGATCTAGAAGAGATCATCCTGAGTGAGGTATCCCAGAAGCAGAAAGACACACGTGGTACATACTCACTTATAAGTGGGTACTAGACTTATAAGATAGGATAAACATACTAAAATCTCCACATTTAAAGAAGATAAACAAGAAAGAGGACCTGGGGTAAGATGATCAATCCTCACTTAGAAAGACAAATGGGATGGGCGTTGGAAGTAGGAGAAAACAAGTAACAGGACAGGAGCCTTCCACAGAGGGCCTCTGAAAGACTGTATCTAGTAGTGTGTGTCAAAGCAGATGCTGAGACTTATAACCAAACCTTGGGTAGAGTGCAGGGAATCATATGAAAAAAAGGGGAAGTTAGTATGACCTGGAGAGGACAGAAGTGACACAAGGACCAAATATATCTGTGCACAGGGGTCTTTTCTGAGACTGTTTCTCTAACCAAGGAACATGCATGGATATAACCTAGAACCCTTGCTTGGATGTAGCCCATGGCAGCTCAGTATCCAAGTGAGTTTCCATAGTAAGGGGAACAGGGACTGTTTCTGACATGAACTCAATGGCTGGCTCTTTGATCTCCCCCGACCCCAGGGAAGGAGCCGCCTTGCTAGGCCACAGAGGAGGACATTGCAGCCAGTCCTGAAGATACCTGATAAGCTAGGGTCAGATGGAAGGGAAGGAGAACTTCCTATCAGTGAATTTAGAGAGGGGGAGGGAGGACATAAGGGAGGGAATGAGGGAGGGGGCTACAGCTGGGATACAAAGTAAATAAACTGTAATTAATATAAAAAATAAAAATTTAATTAAAAAAACAAAGATGGCAGTATTATGTACATATAAAATCTCCCCAAACTAGCAAAATAAGACTAAAATTAAGAATCAAATAAATAGAAAAATATTAGGTCACTGTAGGTCACTGGCTAATCCATGATATAAGGAAGACAATTACTTCCTTATATACTAGCGTGAACAACTGGAATTTACGTTTAAAATACAACATTATTGCATTATATTAGCAACAAGAATCAATTACTATAAATCAACCAAAACATATGCTAGATCCCTAGAAGAAAATTCATGATATTCTGACAAAGAAAACCAAAGGCTTAAATAGTGAGCTATACCATGTTCATAGATAAAAGGAGTAAATAAGTTCCAGAGGTCAGCTCCACTAAATTTCATCTATAAATTAACTCTATAAAATCTCAAAGTTCCAGAAAGTTATTTTGCATATAATATCAAACTAAGGTTTGTATGAAAAGACAAAAACCCAAGAACAGGCAACAAAATACTGGGGTGTTGGTTCCATCTGTGGTGGCTTGACTGTCCACAGTAGACTCATGTTTAAACACTTGTTTCCCAGTTAGACGATCTGATTAGGAGACATAGCCTTGTTGGAGAAAGTGTGTCTCTGGGGATGGGCTTTGAGGCTTCAGAAGCCCACCCCATTCCCATTGTCTCTCTTCCTCTGTGCCTCATGCTTGTGGCTTGGGATATAAGCTCTCAACTACTTCTCAGTGCCATGTCTGTCTGCCAAACGGCATGCTCCGTACCATGATGGTCATGGGCTCACACTCTGACACTGTGAGAAATTCCCAGTAAATGGCCTCTTCTATACGTTGCCTTGGTTGTGGTGTTTCTTCACAGTAATAGAAAACTAACTAAGACCCCAAGATTTGGGGCAAAATAAAGATAATTTGAATATATATTCAAAATATACATAGGCAATGTGTGTATATATTTACACACACACACACACACACACACACACATATATATATATACAAATGTATGTATAAAATATATACATATACACACACACATACACATTTGGTAGGCTGAGGCAGGAGAATTGTGAGTTAAAGGAAATAGAGGCTACATCATAAGATCCTGTCTCCAAACAATGTCCAAATGTAGCACAGACTAAAGAGTTCAGAATAGACCTGTGCAAATATAACGAACATTTCCTGAACAACAACAACAACAAAAAAAACAAAAACAAATGGTAAAGCTAGACTTGGTAGTTCACACCTATAATCCCAGCCCTTGGGAGGTAGAAAGGTCAGGTGTTCAAGGCCATTCTCAGCTACATAATAAGTTTAGGAGTAGCCTGTGCTACATGAGACCCTGTCTGAAAGAAACAAAACAATAATAATAATAATGCAAAGGTATCCCAGCACATGAGATGTTTTCCTTAGAAAGAACTTTTACACTTATAGTTCTCAATAAGATGATTTCACCTATTACCAGGTGATGGTGACATTGGGACACATGCATCTATTGTATCTTTCTACTTAACAATCTCCATCCTCTTGCTCTTTATTGTCAGTCCCTATACTACCTTTGGAATTTTAAAACATTTTGTTACAAAATGAGAAAATAAAGCAAAATGAAAAGCATCATGAAACCAAATGAAGAGAGATACTGACCTTAAACCCTTTATAAAGATGAACTCAATATATATATATATCACATTAAACTTATAGAAGATGGGGATGGGGGAAGAGGGAGGAAGGGTAGGGCTGGGAGAAGATGAGGGGGGCTATGATCAGGATGTAAAATGAATAAATTAATTTAAAAAGTAAGAGAAGATAATATAAGAGAGACTGAGATGACTTTGGGCTTGAAAATGGGTTTTTAGACGTAACGTAATACCATGATATGTGAAAAACAATCTGATTTTAGACCTCATAAAAGCGTCGGGGGCTGGGAGAAGGTTCAGGGTTGGGAGCACTAACTGCTCTTGGAGAGGAGCCAGGCTCCATTCCCAGAACCTACCCAGTGGCTCACAGCCACCCATACGCTCTAGTTACAGGGAATCTGACAGCCTTTTGTGACCTCTGTGGACACAAGACATGCATGTGGTACACAGACATGCATGCAGGCAAAACACACACATAAAATAAGCAAATCTTAAAAATAAAAATCTGCTCTGTAAAAGACACTTGTTAGGGGGACGAAAACGGAAAGATTATATTGTCTGAAGACATACCAGAGTACTGTTAAGGTAATAAAAGGCCATAGCTTGGGAGAAAACATTTCCAAAAGACATAATTTGATAAAAGATTTGTATTAAGATGTACAAAGATCCCCCCACGTCAAAAGGGCTGTACATAGTCCAGTCTAAGAACATCATATGAACTGAAGCTGTGCTATTCTTGATAGCAACAATAAGCGCAGCTAACCCCAGTTAAGAAGTGGGTGAAACTGGTCCCTAATACAGACCTCAGCAAAGACGACACAGAGGTGCAAACACGACGCCAAAGCACGCTCTAGTGTCTGCAGACTGAGACAAGAGTCTGTCGTACCCTTGCACCAAGACAAACAAACAAACAAAACAGACAAATGATGGTAAATATTTAAGCAGCAGGAACTCTCTTTCACTGCTGGTGCGAATACAAGATGGCACAGCCACTGTGGGAGACAATCTGGAGACTTCTTACAAAGCCAAGTATACAAATCTAATCAAAAATTCAAGGGAAAACCTGTATGCTAGTGCCTATAACCGTTTTATTGATAATTTCTCAAAGTCTAGGCATCCAAATTGTCTTTTAGGAGATGAATGAATAAATGAACTGTGGTATGTCCACACAATGAAATATTATTACTTAATGTTAGAAAGAAATGGGAAGAGGGCTGGAGAGATGGCTCAGTGGTTAAGAGCATTGGCTGCTCTTCAAGAGGACCCAGGTTTAATTCCTGGCACCCATGTGGCAGCTCACAACTATCTGTAACTCCAGTTCCATGGGGTCCGACACATACACACACACACATACACACACACACACACACACACACACACACACACAGCTAGAGTGACTCACCTTTGTGCAAGGGAACACAAGCCCGACAGACACAGACACAGGAAGGCATGGGGGGATGTCCGGCTCCACTTACTTTTTCAGAGATTCTGTTCATCCAGGTTTTCACATAAGGCATCCACTTGAGTTCTTCGGGATCTACAAACACCATTCCACATCGGCTGACAGTGGCGGGGGATGCCACCCTGAGATCTTGTACCTAAAGTTGAACAGGAAACAGCTAATAGGCGACTTGCATATCTTTTCAACTTGAATACTAAGCACCCTCTTAAAGTTTAAGCCAGCATGGGAGGGGATTATGTGGAAAAGAGTGGGAGAGAGCACGCAGTTTGGAAAGGAACAGGAATGTTAGGTGATGGTTTAAGGTAGAGCACATTCTCTGTCTCTGTCTCTGTCTGTCTCTACAGAGTGTATCTGCATAGTCTGGTCTGAAACTTACAGAGATCCACCTGCCTCTGCCTTCCAATAGCTGGGATTACAGGTGTGCTCCGCCACTCCCGGTTTGTCATCTGATTCTTAAGGGTACACAAGAGGCATTGTCTTTCCCCCTCGCTTTTATTCTATTTACTTTTTGTCATTCTTTTACCTAAAATCTAGCCACATACAACACATACAGCAGATATTATACATAGTTCACGGATGGTGAGACTATGGGTGGTATTTTCTCTGTGTTTTTGAGTTGTATTTGAACCTCACCCTTCTTACAATCCCTCATGAAGAGAAGGTTGTGTCCATTCCTGGCACAGTGGACATTCTCTTTTACCTAGAAATTAAAATGATGTAAGCCACATACATATCTGCTTTCAAAAGGAAGCAAGGGATGCTAGAATCAATTCTACTTCTATTTTATAGAGAAATGGGAACATCTCAAAGGTGTTGTCAATCTGTTACAAGGGACAATTTAATGAGTGCTCAGCAAGTAAATAAAAGCTACAGATAAACGGTGAAAACAATATATGGCTGAGAGGTCTTTACGGTGGCGTGTGACTCTGACGAATATTTTACTTCCCAGTGAACCACACGTTTACCTCAAAAAGCATGTGGATCTGAGGTGTGAGTTTAATCCTTTCGCTGTTGGCCAGGCAGAGCATCTTGTTGTCGTCCAACACTGTATTCATGTTTTCAATCCAAAGGGCGTCCACGGGCCCATCACTGATGATCCACTTGTGATCTTCTGAAGTGTCGTTCACAGCGGCTCGGACACTTAGTGCCATCAAACCATCCTTCCATTCCAAGGTCACGTTATTCACTTCTCCATATAACTCTCCCATTGTGATTGATTTTGGATTAAGAACGTAGGTTTTTACTGGCTGATAAAAGGGATTGCCTGTTTTGAGTTTTTCCAGATTTCCTAAAGTTTCTGCTAATACTTGGTAAACGGTGGTCTTGCCACCTCCTGTGGGCCCGACTAACATAACGCCGTGCCTCACCAGCATAGTTTCATACAACTGTATCACCTTTTTGACCATACATAACTCAGGCTGAAGGTTTTGTCTCGTCATGACGTCCACAATTGTCGATTGCAAAATACCATAGTCGTGTTCCGGGATTTGGACTCCAGGAAAAAGATCAGATATGATCCCACTGACAAAACAGAAATGACATCAATTAGGAGCCCCAGCCATTCCTGTTTTCCCACACATGTCATCAGCAACAGAGTAGTCTTCTGACTGTTACAGCACAAGCCTGTCCTGGGCTGTGCCAGGAGCCAACCTTTTTGCTGAACTCTTGTGTGTTCTCATATCCTATGCAGCAGATCAATGTTTTTACTGCAAAACAGGACTTCCTTCAGGATGAATAACAGGACTTATTTCTATATCACCCACAGTGCATGGAGTACAATACCCAACACTTAACTAATGGACTTACCAATAGATTTAAAAATTTTCATTTCAGTGTTTTCCTAATGCATTATATATGCTTATGACTATATGTGGATATTGAGAAAAATATGATGGAGACCAAAATAGAAAATCAGTAGAAGTTTTGGGAGCCAGGTTTAGGGTAACCCTATTTAAATTTTTTTTCTATAAGGGTGTATGTGTACACACACACACACACACACACACACACACACACACATTTAGGAAGCCTCTAGAGTAGTAGGCTTACATAGGCTAATTCCAAAGTCTTTAGAGTTAGCCATCCCTCCACATGCCTCCTCTACCCCGCTCTCACTCCTACCCCCGCTTATCCTTCCGGATCCACTGTGCTGCTTAACCACTTAGACCACGGTGCCCTTTCTCCCCTCCCTGGTCTACAAAGCAGAGTCCAGGACAGCCAAGGCTACACAGAGAAATCCTATCCCAAAGGAAAATATATATATAAAACCAAATATACAAAAGTGAACTTCAGTGGGATAGAAGGCTTCATACATACACTTAGCAAACAAATGGCAGTCCATATCTGTAATCTTAGAGCTCAGGAAGCTGTGGCAGGAGGATCACAAGTTCAAGGTCAGCCTGGGCTACAAGTGAGATCCTGCTTCAATCCTCTCCTCCTCAAAAAAAGAAGGAATGAGAGACTTAAACAGATAGCCCTCCTGTTTTGAGTTCGAGGTTTTGAGTTCCTCTTTTAAATGTAAGTAAAAGAGCATCATGGGAAAACAACCTAAGAATAACAAAATGCTAACAGACCCGGGAAATGACACTCGAGGAAGCAGGTAACTGAAGACCCACATATGAAAGTAGTCTTGGTCTTTGGCCACTCTTTACATTTGAGGGGAAATCAGCATTTTCACAAAACCATTTATATAACTATAAAAGCACAAAACCGTTTTGGAGTCAACAGGATGGAATCTACTTAAATTAAATGTCTGCAGGACTGGGGAGATGGCTCAGCAAGTAAAGCGCCTGTTGGATCTCTGGGAGCAATGTGAAAAGCTATGTCGTGATGCACAACTGTAACCCAGTACCAGGAAGGAGTAAACGGGCAGAGACAGACAGATCCCTGGAGTGCGTTGGCCAGCAAGCCCAGCCAAACCAATGAGCTTCAGGTTCACTGAGAGAACCTGCCTCAAATAACAAGGTCGAGAACAACTGAGGAAGACATTGCACGTGCATGCGCGCGCGCACACACACACACACACACACACACACACACACACACACACACACACACACACACAGTCCGTGACACAGAAAACCTGCTTCGAGGGATCAATCTCTCTAACAGAAACATGATAACTTTGTGAAGGTATATGCATGGAAAGTAATATTCAAATATCAACACCAAGACAATGAAAAGTGGCTCAGCTAACGTTCACACAGTTACAACCCAGTCTGGAAACTTTGGCTGCTTAGCTCAAGTGGGGCTGCATTATAATGGTGCAGAAGGGATGGGTGGGGAGGAAAGATGGGCGATGTGCTCCCATCTTCTCCCTTAGACACTCAAGGTCCCAAACCTACAAACTAGGAAATGGAACAAGCATGCTGCCAAGTGTGGCGGGGATAGCAAAATTAACAGAAGAGCTGACAATGGTGGCTTATGGGGACTGGGAATTGATGAAAGGCTGTAGATTTCTATAAGGCTAATTTATACAATATTTTGTTTTTTTTAAAGTCTGTATACATACAACTTAGAGAAACAAAATTAAACAAATTTTAAAAAGAACTGGTAAAGCAGTCATGTTTATGTTACCTTTCAAGCCTGACTTGTTTTTCAGACTAGAAAATTCTGGTAGGTCAGGAATTTGTAACCAAATGTCAATTTATAAAATGACACAATTAGGTGATCAATATTTTGAAGAAACAAAAGGTGATTAGAATAGCGTTGTGAGTTTAGGTCATACTTTTGCTCTTTTGAGATAAGTCCCATGTATTTGAGGCTGGCCTTCAACCCCTGATCTTTCTGCCCCTCCCAAGCGGTGAGCTTGTAGGTGAGTCTGTCCCTCTTGGCTGTCTTAAAGGGATGCACATATCTCCGGAAGAGCTGAGAAATGCATAGGTTTTAAAGACAGAAAGCCCTGAGCAGTATCCTTTTCCTCTCTGTGTGGTGCCGTGAGCTCTGGAAACTTGCCTGAACAGGAGGGCGTCATCTGTTAAGAACTTCGGTAAGTTGGAGTCTCGCAACGCTCTAATCAGGACCACGTCTTCGCTTAGGTCTGGGTTCTCTCTTTTCAGAGATCTAAATTCAAGAGAGTCGTTACGATGACAATGAAAGCATGGAGGACAATGGAATGTTCTAGGCCTGTGGGTCAGGGGCTCCGCTGAGATTCCTGTGTGTGCTGACCACCTATCACAGCACATCGACAAGTTCTTCGTTGGCTCCCCTCCTGGATCAACCTAGACTCTGTCTAATATGAATTTAGGATCCTGTGAGTGTATCAGAATGGCTCACGTCGCTGTCATTTTCTGTCCTCTCTGTCCAGGATGCCCTGCCTTTCTCTTTTGCCTGCTCTTTTAAAAACTACTGATTTTATTTTTATTTATGCATGTATGTATGTGCCAAAGTAGGCCAAAAGAGGGCTGTCAAATCTTCTGGATCTGGAGTAAGGCCGTAGTGAGCTGTCCAGTGGGTGCTGGGCCCAGTGTGGGTGCTGAGAATCAAACTCTAGAAGAGCAGAAAGTGCTTTTAACTGCTGTGCCATCTCTCCAGTCGCTTGTCTGCACTTCTCCCTTCAGAAGCAGCCTAGTTACCCTCTTCTCTAGAAAGCTGCTAAAGGCTAGTCTGTCTTCCTCAGGCACAGCCCTGTTGTTGCCCTCAGCACATCAGTTAGAGAGATGACTGCACACTTGCCCGCCTCACCCATAGAGATGCTGTTGTGCTCTCTGAATGCAAATGGGTCTGAACGTGCTGGATCCCTGGTTCTTACACAGCAATGCTGTAACGAAGGGCTGCACCGGATCTGGTGGCTAAAGAAAGGGACAGGGAGTGGGGATAGCAGTGAGATTTGTGCCAAGGGGCCTGCATGCACCGAACTGGGTTCAATGAGTCCAATCTGAGAGGCAGAGCTGGAGAGACCGGATTATCCCATTTCAGGCTCTGGGCAAGTTAGAGACTACGGATGTGCTGCTCCTAGTAGTCATAAAGTAGTCATTAGACCGGAAATGAGAGTCTCCTTTGTCAGTGAGTAGGAAAGACCTTAGTTTTGAACTTGAACCTTTGCGGAGAAGTCAGAGACATAATCATGGACTGAGAATAAACAACCAACTTCCGCTTAACCCTTGGGGTTGTTTCAGGCAACACGGGACTCACCTTCCAGCCTGTGCATACCAGACCGAGAGCCTCCGAGTCAGCCTGACGGTTACCAAGGCTTTGTAAAAATAGATTTCATTTTATCTTTAACTGTATGCAGATGGTGTACATGGGGGTATGTGAGAGTGAGCGCAGTGCCCATGGAGGCCAGAAACGGGTACGGGATCCCCTAGAACTGGGATGACTGTGAGTGTGAGCTATATGACCTGGCTGTTGAGAGCCAAACGCAGGTCCCTTTGGAACAGCAAATCTTCTTTTTTCAAAATTTTCCGTATTTATTTATTTACTTTATGTATGAGTGCTCTATCTGCATGTACACTTGCATGCCAGAAGAGGGCATCAGATCCCAGGATAGATGGCTGTGAGTCACTACGTGGGTGCTGGGAATTGAACTCAGGACCTCTGGAAGGGCAGGCAGTTAACTGCTGAGCCATCTCTCCAGCCCAGCAAATGTTCTTAACTACTAACTCATCTCTCCAGATGCAGTAACAGCTTTTGTTCTCTGAAACCCGGTGCACTTGAGGAGTTCTGGAGAGTACAGGTTAGTTAGAGTCCACAGTATAGACTTACACTGGGTCACCGGAGTGACAAAGGAGGATTCTCACAACAGCAGCAGCCCATGTTATTACACTTGATCTCCATCACACATGGCTCTCAAAGCCTCTGAGTCACCCATTTAAAGTTGATTATGAGTTTCACTCTCGTCTACCTCTCTCTAGCACCTCCCCCGTCTGTGTGTCTCTGTCTGTCTGTCTCTCTCCCCACTCTGTGTGTGTGTTTCCGTGTGACCACATGTGCATGGGGACCAGAGGACAACCCTGAGTGTCATTACTCAGGAGCCACCCACCTTGTTTTTTGAGTTAGGGTCTCTCACTGGCCTGCAGCTTACCAGGTCAGGTGCACTGGCTGGCCAGTGAGCACCAGCGGTTTGCCTGCGGCCGCCTCCTCAGCACTGCGATTGTAAGCATGCACAGCCATGCCTGGCTTTTTATGTGCTCTCTGAGGATGGGCCTTACATTCTCATGGCCAGCACTTTACTGACTGGGCTAACTCTCCTTGGGTTTCTTACCCAGCCATGACCAGCACCGACTTGACGGCTCTCATGCCAAAGTCATAGTGATCCTGCTGGGACAGCTGCTCGCTGCAGAGTTTGTACATCTGCGTCATCTTTCTGGCTAGTATTTTACTAGATTCAAATCCTTCAGAATACAGAATCACCTAGGAGAGAAGTGGGAGGTGGTGTTTCACATCGTCTTGCCTGCAACATATCAGCCTGATACAGACATACATCTACCCTAGGCATCACACCTTTACCCTGCTCAGTGAGGAGACAAAGATTCCAGCGAGTGGCAGTGATGTGACCAGCTACCCAACACTCCTGCTCCGATGTTCGGGTTTCATTCGGTGCACCTGCCATTCTAGTCTGCTGCCCAGCTTTGAAAGGTCAGAGGTAAACCGCCTTGCTTTCCCCACTTGGAATCTCCTGTGCTCTTATTGTGGAGCAAGGATATTTGTCACAGCTAAAAGCATTTGCTGATGAGAAGCCCTGACTATTCATCTGTGACAGTAATGGGAAACATGCCTACAAGACTGGACTTTGAAACTCCTCCAATTCAGGACTGAGTAACACAATAGGGCAAAGTGGGAGACATGAGCACATTGTTGAACCTGCCAGAGAGAGAAGGGAAGCAAAGGCATTACTCTTTTGAACTGTCCTCTGCTCTGCCATACCCACAGGAGATACAGGACTCCTCTGAATGCTTCAATGCTTCAAGCGTTATGCTAATTCAGGTTGAAATTTCTCTAGTGTTGGTCTAGTCTAGTGGTAATCAATTCCTTTTACTTCAGGTAGAAGATTCTTTAATAATTCAAAGGAATGTATTAGCTACAAGAGTCACGGGTGCTTTCTGAGAAATCCCATTCTGAAAGGGGAAGTGCCCATCGATGGGAAATGCTGCACAGAGCTCAAGGGAGCTTTCCGAGTTCTGAAAGGAAGCTCTGCATTTTAGTCATGGTGCCAGACAGCTGAGTCTCTGTGCAAACATTTGCTCATATCCTCGTGAGCTGTGTGTACTTTTACCTCCATTAAACATAGTTTGAGAATCGCATGCAAAACTTACACACATGGATTCTTAGCTGGGGTGAAAGAGCAAGAATGTTTAAATAAAAGGTCTCCTTGGTAGACAGAAACAATAAATAATCATGCTTAATTTATTACCAATTACTGGTTTTTACTTAAACTGTTACAGACTACAAATCATGATTAATACAGCTTTGACTGGACAGTACTTCCTTTTTTTCTGTTTCTGTTTTGTTTTGTTTTGAGATGGCCTCACTCTGTTACCCAAGCTGGTCTGAACTCACAGTAATCCTTCTGTCTTAGCCTTCTGAGTATTGGGATTACAGGCATGAGGCACCAGACTGGGCTTCCAATTATTCTTGACTTTAATTAAATTTATACCCAAAGTGAAATGAAGATAATGCTGTCTTTTTAGAACTAATCCCAACATTTTAACGCCTAGAGATGAACTGATTAAATCCTGGTAACTGAGCCAATTCACATACATTGATTCTTTCCATGTTTAGGAGTCTGTTCTACTCTATAAACTATTGAGGGCATTCTGGATATTTGCAGGAAGACTGAAAACTACACCAGCATGCAAAATGAAACATTCTCTGTTTACCTGAATTTACGCTCAGGGTGAGCAATAATGGGCAGCCATTGCTTGGATGCTTAGAAAGTAAGATGGTGAGAAAGTGAGATGGTGACAGTTGTCAGCCTGTCACACTCTAGGATCACCTGGGAAGAGCGGTGTCACTGAGGGATTGTCTGTACCAGGTCGGCCGGTGGTTATGTCTCCTGGGGGTTATCTTGATTGCTGAGGGTCAAGACCTGGCCATCACAGGCAGCACCATTCCCTGGGCTTAGGGTCTGGGCTACATAAGTGGCTAAGTGAGCTGAGTACAAATAAGCAGGTGTGCACTCATTTCTCTCTGTTCCTGACATGACTCACTGTTCTAACTTCCTGCTCCCTTTTCTTATCAGGTTTGATGAATGACAATCTGGAATTATGAGCTAGAATCAATCCTTTCTCTCCTAAATTGCTTTTAGTTGAGGCATTTTATATCACAGTAACAAAAAGGAAACTAGGAAATAAAAGAAGTTTCCATCTTGGCAGAATCAGATGGCAAATAAAACAAATCATGCTTCAAACCTTGCTTCATTATAGTCTGAAGCTCACCTCTGCAATCAGCGCGTAATTGGGAACCATCATAGCAAAGGGTCTGAACAGGGCTTTCAAGTTGTCTGGCAATTCCGTTCTGCCTGCATAGCCGGGATTCATGGTGATGAAAGCTGCACAGGTCATAACCAGCTTGATTTCCCGTCCCTCAAACATGAATCTGGAGAGCTGTTCACAGAGAAGGTATAAATGGGCAATCCTCTGAGTGCTTGCAAGTTCTTTCACACAAATCATCACTTGAATCAGAGAGGTAAGGAAAGGCGGAGGAGAGCACACTGAATCCTGCTGTGGGACTGAGGAAGCTTTCTCTTGATCTGCCTGTTTCCTGTCTCTTTGGAGTTCAGTGTTTACTGCTCCCTGCCTTGCCTTGCCCAAGTTGTGTGCTCCTTCCTGACCCAGACCTGAAAGCTTCCAGTCTTAACACCTGAGGGGCCTCTTCAGTGTACCTTTGACGTCATGGCCTTCTCCACGCCCACTTACTGCTTCTTCCCCTCCTCCCCTCCCCCCCGAAAATTCCAGTCTAGTTTTAATCTTTGAGTGGTGTGGCCTGTTTATCACAGCACTACTCCCTCACCTTCACTTAATAGTAGGTGACTGTTGAGTACTGTTGCAGGTTGAGGCCGTGGGTAAGCCAGGGTGACACAGTTGAAGGATGCTCATGCTTGAGTCCTCCTGTGTGTAGTCAGCCTTGGACGCTGTGACCATTCTGAGGCGAAAATGTGTGTGTGTGTGTGTGTGTGTGTGTGTGTGTGTGTGTGTGTGTGTGTGTAAAAGCCATGTTGGGCACATATAGGCTACTGGAGACCTGAAGAACGAGGAGGGGCATTTTAGGTTGATAATTGAGCAGCTTTTCTGGCAAGAGCAGCAAGCACAACAAAGAATACTACACATTCAGGGAACAGGCAGAAACCCTCTTTGCTAAAGAATAACAAAGTTGAGATGGCCTAGCTAGGCCTAGCACTGCAGACAGAGTGTGAAATTGTTAGTATTTTGGAACACAACCTGCTTCTGGGTTGCCCAGCAACCTATGATGTCATCATATGCCTCCAGCCAGGTGAACACACCTGGAAGGTGTGGTTTTCATGTCTCTTAAAAGGGCTGATTTGACATGTGGTCCCTCTCTTACTCTCTCTCTCTCTTATTCTTGCTCTTACTCTTACCTTACACCCTCTCTTCTCTCTCTCTTGGGGCACCCCTCCTTTCTCCTTCCCTTCCCCCCTCTCTTTCCCCACCATGCCCTGCTACCCACTTCCTCCATACCTCCCTAATAAACCTCTTGCAGAGAATACCAGTTGTCCCCCTGTATCATCTCTTTATGATTTTTAACAGAAATGTCTTCCACAGGCTCTTATGTTTGAACATTCACTTCCCAACTGGTGGTAGTGTTTCAGAAGGCTGTGGAAGTTTGACAAGGCAGTGCCTCATTAGAGGAAGTGAATCACTTGAGGTAGGCCTTGAGGTTTTGTAGTCTGCACTACTTCCTGTCTTCTCTCTATTTCCTGACTTCCCAGTTACCTCAAGCTCTTGCCGCTATGCCTTCATCACCAAGTCTTAGCCTCCAAGCCTTTACCTCCATCCCCTCCCTGCCATGATGGATTGTACAACCCCAAACTAACCCGTCTTCCCCAGTATTGCTCCTAGTCAGGCATTTTTCATGAGAAAATTCCAGTACACTGAGCTCTGACCACCAGGTGTCTTGCACGCTACATTAGAGTTTCTCCTTTGTCTCATGACTTGTGGAAAGTCAAGAAGACTTTAGAGTGTTGGGTAGAGGTAGCGATGGAGAGTTTGGGAAAACTACAGACTGGGGCATGTGTGAGAATTGTCACTGGGGAGACACGAGCCAGTGTCTGAGAATTATATGTGTGGTTGAAGAGTTCCCAGCAGACACCATTCATACCATCTAGTGACAGTTTAGATTTTGGGCTGATGGTAAAGAGAAAAAACTGCGATGAAGCCAAGGTTCTGAGTTGGGCCACTGGATGAAGTTGCTATACTAGGCCTGAGACTGTCAGGAAGACCCGTGTGGAGCTGAGCCCTGTGCCATTGCCTGGGAGGAAACTGGCGGGCAATCTGGCTGCTGCAGAATGCATACATGTGCTGGTCAAACTACACTTACATTTCAGTTTCTTCATTGGTTCTAGAGGATGGAGCCTGCTAGACTACCGGGCTTGCTTGCCCTCCAGCTGGGAATGCATCAACCTGCCTCTACTCTCTCTGGTTCCTGCCCACTTTGATCTCCAGATTTGCTCTCTGTGGGTTACTCAGCAAGATGGTAATGATTTGCAAATTCTGTGCGGAAATCTTTGCATTTAATCCACACCTTCACAGAGTAGATGGAAAGCAGGACAGAATGCAGATGGTAGGGGTCACTTGGATTCAGGTATGTATCCCAGTTCTGCGATGTCTCTAGAAATAATTTTTTACTTCTTTGAATTATCTTCACCTGTAACCATCTCTTTCACAAAGGTTAATGAAGATGCAAAGCATGCTAAGATTTGCTCTCTTAGCCACTCACTAAATGTCTAGTCTTAACTTTTTTTCTAGAATTCACTACTTTGCAGAGGTCATAAGAAATCCTTAACTTTTTTTCTGTTTGTTTTTAAAAAAAAAAACTTTTTAAATTAAAATATTCTGAACTGTTTTTTTCTGCATGGTTTGCCTCCTCAGTCATCATCCACAGGACTCTGCCAAGTCATAGAAATATGCAGGTACAAAGCCCATCTCCTATTTTGTGGAAAGGGACAGAGCCTGGGAGAGTGACCTCCTGGTGTGTCCACTTTGGACTTGATAACTCTTTACCAGCTCACCTTTCAATAGAAATTGACTCCCTGAGCCGAGGGGAGTCCAGAGCCCCCCAGCTTTGCCATATGACCATTACTGATGGAGGCAGAGGAACTTGAGTGTCTTCTGGAAGGGGCTGAGGGAGGAATTAAGGGACTTGTGGCAGTTAGATCCCTTGAGGGAATGAGGGAGATTCAAGTTTATGTTGTTTTTTGGTGACCAAACCTTGAAGGTCCCATCCTTCACAGCCATCACCTTCCAAATACAAACCCCTTCTTCAGGAATGGGGAAATGCTAAGTGGCAGGGTCACTCAGAATCTTCATTTAACCCTCAAGATTTTGGAGTTCGGTGAGCTCTGAGGAACTCGCTGGAAGAAGTGAGTTCCTTGGGATTCTCAGGTTTTCTCTCCTGTTTTCCCACCAACACACAGTTGACCCTGGAAGCCATGAAGAAAGCTGTGTGGCCCAGAAAAAGTGGCATTGAAGAAACAGAAGGTACGTAAATGTCTAAAGATAGTAGAAGAGAAGTGAGGAGAAAAGTGTGTGTGTGTGTGTGTGTGTGTGTGTGTGTGTTTATGCTTCTGTGTATAACTTGGGGGTGGAAAGAGGGTTTTCTGTTCCCAGCACTAGGTCTCATAGTGTCTGTATGTCCAGGACCTAGCACAGCATGTGTTTTTTCATTTTGTTTAGACCAGGACTTCATACACGCAAGGAAATGCTCTTACTGTGGTATTCACCAATTATACTGCAACTTTGTCCTTCCTAAGGCACTGCCTGCTGAATTAATGACCAGTGTGAGCACGCTACCCTGACAGCCAGCCACCCCGACCTCTTACCTTTGCGGCTTTGGCATTCCTAATAGTGATGAGTTGCTGGGCGATGACAGACAAGACTTCAATGTCAATTCGATTGAATTCATCAAAGCAGCACCAGGCCCCCGACTGTGCCAAGCCACTGAAGAAGCGCCCCATCATCTGCAATGCAAGCAAGGCTGTTCAGCGTCTCTGCATCGTCTCCCCTAATGTTTACAGCCTCGAGCAAAGACACTACAGGAAGCAGGGTGGTCACACTGTTGCCAATGGTATCCTAGTGATGGTAAGCACTGCATATCAAGAGCAAGCACATTTTGACAAGAGGGCATGTCTTTTTGCTTTCCTAAATGGTTTGAATCTGATTTTTCTCTTTAATAAAATGATAACCTGGAGCATATGTCCTTGGGGAATCTTTATTCATAACTTCCACTTAGCTCTGGTGAATATTTACAGGTTCTCAAAAAAACAAAAAATAAAAAAAACACATGGAAGGGACAAACCTGAGGGTTTTGAAGAAGCCCTGGGGAGTTTCACTGGCGGGAGCGCCCACTGTCTCTGAACGGCGCCCTCTGTGGCGGGCAGTGCCTGAGAACTCTGAGCGGAAGCACTGCTGCACTGGCAGGGGGTGAGGGGGTGGGGGGGTGGGGAGTAATTTACTTGTCCTTTTTTTTTTAATTTAAAAAGGTTTATTTTTATTTTACGTTTGAGCATTTTGCCTGCATGTATACATGTGTACCATGTCCATGAAGCCAAAAGGCGGCGTTGGATCCCCTGGAACTGAAGTTACAGTTCTGAGGCACCATGTAACCGCCAGGAACTGAACCTGGAAGTTGCAGGAGCTTCCAGTGCTCTTAACTGCAGAGCTGAGCCACCTTTCCTGCCCGTGCTGATTTATTCTATAGCAGAAGCCTAATGGGGCGGCGTAAGAAAAGCAGAGACAAGGAAAAAAAGAGGATCCCAGGTCTCTCGAGTCATTCACTGATACTCAGTAATAATAAAAGATGGTTCTATTCAGGAGTGAAAACAACTGAAATGTGAACACTTAGAAGGGAAATCCTCAGCTGTCATTTGACAAATGGTTGCGCCTCGTCCAGACCTCAAAGAGCCCAGCCCACACTCTGGGAAACAAGCTCCCCACATGGGCAACTTAGTCCTCTAGTCCCTCGCATGAACCAACAAGCCAACCAGAAGGCATTTGGATGGAGAATAACATTCAGAAAAAGAAAAAAAAAATAAGATGAATGAACCACCCTGCGGGAAATGAAGATCATTTAGGAGATGGACAAGCATTTGAAATGATTACAGTGGAATCCTCAGAGAGTTTTGGAAGAAATTTGCTCTATAATACAATAAGAAGCTTGACAGAGCTTCATCTTGAAAATTAATAATACTATCGCCAATATTAGAAAAATTAAACATGCTAAAAAACAGAATGGGTAAAACTAAAGCTCAAGCTGGCATCACGGAGCAAGGAACTTTCTCCTTAGCATTTGCCCGTCTTCTGGGGTACATGAAAACTTCCAAGCAATACTAATGTGTGGGCAATTTAAGAGAAGCACGAAAGAGTTCTTGATACAAGTTCTTTGCTAAAACATGTCTCCTATACATGTTTTATACAAAGTACATGCCTGTACAAATGACCCTCTAGTTCTGCCACTCTTGGCTGAGGACCGTAGGAGTTTGAAATTCAGCCCTCACGTGGGCCGTTTTATCAGTCCCAAGAGATGTTAAGATCATCCTGGCCTCAGATAGGTGCATGTTTTGTGCAGTTGTCTGCAGAGGCCAGAAGAGGGCATAGGATCCCCTGGAGCTGGATTTACAAGTGTTTGTGAACTTCCCCACATGGATTCTTGGAACTGAATTGAGTCCTCTGCCAAGAGTAGCATACACTCTTAACTACTGAGCCAGTTCCCTAGCCCCCTTTCAATGTAAGTGAAGAGGGCAAAGTCCAGAAGCCAGAGGTAGGCAGGAACGCATGCAAAATCAGACACAATTGCATTTATTCCTTTTCCCAACAAGGGAGAGCACAATTAGTGAGGAGAGCTCTGTGAGCTCTGAGGGAACCAGGGTAGTTGTGGGATGCAAGGCAAGCTCATTGTACCCAGATTTCAGCAAAGGTTCAACACACACACACACACACACACACACACACACACACACACACACACACACACTATTGAAAGATTCATTGATTTTTAAACATTTATTATTCTAGTTTATGTGCATGGTTGTTTTGCCTGCACGTGTGTCTGTGCAACATGTGTGAGTCTCACACCTACAGAGGCCAGAAGAAGCTGTCAGATCTCCTGAAACGGGAGTTACAAACGCCTGTGAGCCACCATGTGGGTGATGAAAATTGAACCTGTGTCCTCTGGAAAAGCAGCCTGTACTCTTACTCCCTGAGCCATTTCATGTGTGTGCACACGTGCCTCTCTGTAGGCGCACATGTGTGTGCAAGTGCCTGAGAAGGCCAGGGGAGGGCTCTGGACCCCTAGAGCTAGAGTTACAATGGTTGTGCGTGGGCCAATGTGGCTGCTGTGAACTGAACGCAGATCCTCTGCAAGAGCAGCAGGTCCTCTTAACTGCTGAGTCATCTCCTCTAGCTCCTGCCCTGTATAGCAACAAATCGCCATAAGCTGGCTGGCTCCAAGCAACAAACATATATATATATATATATATATATATATATATATATATAATGTTACAATTCTATGGGCTAGAAATCAGAAATCAAGGTGTTGACAAACCATGCTTACCCAGCAAAATATCTTCCTTACCCGTATTTGCAGGCAATCCTTACCATTTCATGGCTTGCATTGCATCCAATCTCTGCTTCTAGGGTGTCTTTTCACAGTTTTTTCTTTTATTTATGTTCCTTCTTAGGAGGGTGTCTGTCACTGGATTAGGTACGTTCAGTTTTACCATTATCTTATGGATTGGTAAAGATTCTATCCCTAAACCAGGTAGTCGGATGTTAGGACTTGACTCTCTTTTGAGTAATAAGCCACAAAGTGTTGAAAGGGGTGTTGGTAGAGAGCAGGGGCAATTCTGTGATGCATTGCATGATAGTAGCCGTCTAGGTAGCAGGCCAAAGGACAGCCTGCCTGAAGCTTTTCTGAAGATGCAGCAGCGACTGGGTTAGCTGGGAGAAGGGACTGTTCAGTCATGTTGTGGTTTAGATGGAGTGTTTATGTCTCTTGTCATAAACAACTACAGTCTGTTTTCCTTGTCTTACTCCATCATGGGCATTCAGTGTCTTGATGTTTATAATTTGTGAAATTGTGGTCAACTGAGAGAGAATCAAATAACTCATTTACTTTAATAAAAAATCTCTGGGCGATTCATACACACCCAAGTTTTGAAAACACAGTAATAGAGGAGGTAAAGATGATGCTTGGAATTCTCTCCTTTATAGGGCAGGGCATGTATTTTGCTGTGTTAATTCTTGTCTAAGGGTCTAACATGCCCTCAAATCCTGCAAACAGCAATCTTAGTGTGAGTATCGTATGAGGCACTGACATTTTATATTCAATTTCCAGAAAAAATAGAGACAAGTATTGAATAATATGCAAATGTCATAAACTGTGATAGGAAATGGAAGGTAGTGAGAGACTAAAGAATTAAAAAGTAGGGTTTTGTTTGTTTGTTTGTGGGGTTTTTTTTTTTGTTTGTTTTTTGTTTTTGGTTATCGGTATAAAGTTTAAAGCACAAGCCTGAACAATGGCCAGCCAGGTAGAGATATGTCCAGCCACTTGGGGAGAGGAACTAGCTTTACTGTATTCTTTTCCTGCCCACTAGAGATACAGTTGCTAGGAAACCAGCCCAGATGGCCAGGCCAGAACTGTTTATGGTCTTGGTGCCTAAAATAAATCAATCATTTCAAAAATCAATTTTCCTTGCCCAATCATGTAACACCAAGGCATGTAATCTGACACTTGTGATTTTTCCCTTTAAAAACCTTGTTTCTCTAGACAGCCCTGCTGCACTCCTCCTCTTCACCAAGGAGGTTGCTGTGACCCAGGCTCAAGCTTGTATTACATAAACCCTCATGTATTTGCAGTGGGGTTGATTCCTGGTGGTCTTTGGGGAGCTCACGAACTGGGCATAACAGTAGAAAGTTGGAAGACAGTATCTAAAAATGTCTTACTTAATGAATTGATAGTGTTCAAAGTTTCTAACAATAAAGAAATAAACATATATTTTTGTGATTTTAATAGCATCCATTAGAACAATAACAACAACAACAAAATCCAGCAGGGATCCTTGTAAGCCCAAAGGTGTCTTTCAGCGTGTCTGTAGGGCCAAAGCATTTTCATGATTATATTAAAGTGTTTTCTGATTTTTACTCAACTATCTGAAAAAAAAATTATTAAAATATTCTTCTGTTTTCGGGGAGTACATCTCTCTAAGAGAGAGTGGGTTTTCTTCAGATAGTTAAACTAAAATAAGGCTCACCATATTAAATACAAAGGAAAATATGAGAATGTAGTTGTCATCTATTTTGTCAATCATCAAAGATTTAAAAAGACATATATAAGCAGCCAGTAAGGATTTTGCCTATGAAGTTATTTTTCAAAAAGTGAATGTTTATGTTAACATTATTAGTATTTTAAGTCAAATAAATATATAACATTACCTGTAGTTTTTAACATATGAAATATCAATGGATACAATTTGTCTTGATCATTTTTAGAGTATAAAGAGGGACCTGACCAGATGTACTGAAAACCTTACCCTTAAGTCTTCCTCCTTCCTTGTACTTCATTTTCTTGAATGCTGCTTTGTTGGTATAACGTTCTTCTGGAATGTATACAATTTACCCTTGTTCATTCAAATGCTGATTTCTCTCCCCCACTATCTGGTTTCAAGCAGAACATTGCATTGTGATGTTTATTCTAAGCATCACCTGCCTCAAGTTTGTGTAAACACACCACCATCTGTTCTCTGTATTTTCAATAAAACAACCAGCCAGTGCTGAGCAATGGAGAGAATAGGGTGCGATATCCTGGTCCGGAGGGGAGGAGAAGGAAGTGACTCGGGGGAGTTGGAGAGCAGAGATAGGCAGGAGAGGACTTGGAACCACAAGGAGAGATGAACCGGACCTAAGATATAACTAAAAGCAAGTATAATGTGGGAAATCTGAATGGGAGGAAACTATGCAGGCTTGGAGGTTTAGGATGGAGTAATCATTGCTCAGCATTGTGCTCTAGGTTAATAAATCCTAGTCTCTGGGGGGTGATTTGGGTATACAGCCGGTTTGGGAATAGCCGCTGTTTAACTAAAAGATAAATAATAAATATTAATATTCAACAACATTGCTTGTATCTTTGGTGGTTTGGAAAATCCAATTTATCAGGCCAGTGTTTGTTTCAGTGGTGAGCTACACATTGGCCTTCATACTTCACCCTATTTATCAAAGTCTGTCCACTGCTCATCTTCTCTTGTAAAGTTAGTTTTTGTTCCTAAGTCATCCCTGTATGCATTCTAGTCTATATTACTTTTTACTCCACTTAATACATGTATATATTTTAAGAGATTACTTTATTATTTATTATTATTACATTATTGTTTACTTAGATTTACTTTATTATTTATGTGTCTGTTTCTGTGTGTGTGTGAATAAGCATGCAGTGTCCCTGGAAGCATGAAGAGGGCATCAGATATCCTGGAGCCGGAGTTATGTATGGTTATGAACCCACAGATTTGGGTGCTGGGAACGGAACTTAGGTTTTCTGAAGGAGCATCAAGCACTCTTAACTGCCTAGCCATCTTCCCAGCCCTATTCCCCATACATAGATTTTCTTTAATTTTTTTCACTCTTTGACAATTCTCCCTCACATTGACTTTGACCCAGATGACCCATCCCACCACATGTTGACTTGCTCTGTCCATTCACCCTACTTTAATACCACTTTCTTCTCTGTTCACTGCCACCTCAGTTTCTCCTCACTTTAAGACATGTTGCAAACAGAGAAAGCTGATGAAAATGTTTATGGCATGTATTCATATTAAAACTACAACTGCACCTTGTAGTCCAAACCGTCAGAGCAGTTGAAGACCACACACTGGATGGCAAGGGCTTTTGCTAGGTCTTTGGTGGTCTCTGTTTTCCCAGTGCCAGCAGGACCAGCAGGTGCACCTCCGAGGTCGAGCTGCAAAGCCCCCATGAGGCAAAGATAGCAGCGATCCTGAAGAAACCAAACAATTGTCATTATTTAAGGAAACTGACTTTAGTTACAAAATCATAGGTCTAATTCATTTATTTAATAGAAGTGTGTATAAGCTGGGTGTATTGGCACACATCTGTAATCCCAGCAAGTGGGGAGGCAGAGGCAGGAAGATCTCTGTGAGTTCGAGACCAACCTGGTCTACAAAGCAAGCCCAGGACAGCCAAGAGAAACACAGAGAAACCCCTGTCTCGAAACAAACAAACAAACAACAAACAAACAAACAAACAAACAAATAAATAAAGTGTGTGTGTGTGCTCGCTCATATGTTTTTGGGATGTGCAGGCAGGTCTGTGTATGTATGTCAGTGGTCAACAATGATCACACTGGTCTTCCTCAATCATTTTCACTGTATTTTTTGAGCCAGGGTCTTTCTGATTTGGTTAGGCTTGCTGGCCAGTGATCTGCAAGGATCTTCCTGTTTCTGCTCCCCTAACATGGTGATTACAGCACAGGCTCCCATGCCCAGCATCTTATATGGGCGCTAGGGATCCAAACTCAACTCTTCATGCCTGCATGCGTGGCAAACTCTTTCCAGAATGAAACATCTCCCTGGCCCTGAAAAATTCTAACTGAAATATACCCACAGACATGGACACAAAAATCAAATGATGCAAGTCTTTGCTTTATAAAGATGTAGTGATGATGGAAACGTTCAAGATTGTTCTGTGCCAGCGTGGACCCAAGTGATCAATAACATACTGTGAGAGGAGTGATGACCAGTCTCGGGCATGCTCCCAAATACTCGTAGCCATAGCTGTACTGAGAGAGTGCCATTCTAGCCACACAGTTGTCCAGGTCTATATCCCAATAATAGCGCAGCTGTCTCTGCCAGTCAAAGGAGTCTGATGTGGATACCTACAGCAGTGACAGAAATGATGGATGGGTTAGACACATGGAGTTTGCAGATTGCCATGTCATTTTTCCTTCAATGAGACACTTACCTTGGTTTGAACCAGCTCCGTAACTATATCTCTTGCATGCACATCGATGGTAATCAATGCTGTTATGATGTTTCTGTGTAATTTAGGAAGACTGCCTCGAACTAGTGCAGCCAGGGCATTTAGTCGCTACAAATGAAAGAAGAATTGTGGCAGCAAATTTTCAACATCGGCTTGCAATATTTATTTTTATTATTAAATTTATAGTAGATATATGTTAAAACCATAATTAGAAAACTTTATAATTATGTGATCAAATAATACAATGTTTATTTAATTCCCATAAGATTTTTATGAAGCATAGACTATCTGGACATCATTTTTGCATTTAAGCAAACTGATGATCAGAGAGGGTCAATAACTGGATGGCTGTCATACTGTTATGAAATAGCAAAACCAGGCCTGAGGAGACATTTGCTTCAGGACAGCCCCAGGACACGGTGAAGTCTCTAGGTTCTACCTAAAAATTTACCAGATATGATGGCACATGCCTTTAATCCCAGCATTAAAAGGCACGGGCAGGTGGATCTCTGTGAGTTTGGGGCTAGCCTGGTCTACATAAATTTCCAGGTCAGCTTGGTGATACTTCTTATTCACAGGTGTAGTTTTCTACTACTACAAGATTGCAGAGCATTTTAACTAGACCAATAACTAAGTAAATATAAATAATTTAGCTACTTTTCTTTGTTGTCTGGATTGTGTTTCAACTCTGTTAATTGTTTCCTTTGCTGGGAAAAGCTTTTTAGTTTGTTATAGTCCTATTGTCTGTTTTGCTTTTGCTGTCATGGCCAGAAAAATCAATGTGAAGGAAAATGTCACAGAACTTTACAGTTTTAGATCATGTGTTTAAATCCTTCCTGAATTTACTTTGGATTGACTTTTATATGTAGCATAAGATAACAATAAGAAAATACCAAATAATACAATTAAAAGATGGGAAAATGGCTTGAATAGTATTTTCCTAAAGAAGACATACCAATGTCCAATATCTTTATATCTATATTTATATTTATAGATTGGTATATATGATGCTGAATATCTCTAGTCATCAGGCACAGTATTATCAAAACGTTAATGTAAGAAAAACAAAATTATAAATATTTCAGACACACCTCACTCTTTATCTGAGACATTTCTCTTTTTGTGAAGAATGACTGCCAAGATTCATGGCTGCGCAAGATGCTAAAGGTGTCTTGGTTTGCTTTTCAGCGTGGGGGCAAAGGGTTTATTTCCTCTTACAAGTTACAGCCCATCATCCAGGGCAGCCAGGGCAGGAGCACGGGTGGGAACTGAAGCACAGGCCAGGGAAGAATGCTGCTTAATGGCTTGCTCTCCATTGCTTGCTCAGTTTGCTTTCTTAGGACCACTTGCCCAATGATTGCACCACCTATGGGCTGATCTGTCCCACATCAACCATTAATTAAAGAAAACGGCCCCTCAGACATGCTCACAGGTCAATCTTATAGAGGCAATTTCTCAACTTAAGCACCCTCTTCCAAGATGCCTCTAGCTCTCCAGTATATGTCAAGTTGACAACAATCAACCAACCAAAGGAAACACACAGACAGTGAGGGTTGAGGGCTTAGCCCCAAAGAAGACACTGATAACACCCTCTCTGAGGCACAAGGGGCATTAACACAAGAGGGAGCAGAAGCCTGCATGAGCCAGAAGACAGGGAGAAGGGCTGTGAAATGTTATATCCAGGGCATGGGCCAGCCGTTACATGATCTCATAGCAGCCGCAGTTGTCTGCGCTGGGCCTGCACAAGACCGGGCCTGCTAACAGGAGGTGCTCATCGGATGTGCCGCTCTTCGCTGAGCTACTGGTGACTAATGGAAGTTTAGAAGCTCAGTCATTGCCTTCAGAGTGTAACTAGTGGTGAGTATGCCAGGTTGCAGTGGACACTTGCAAACCTGTGGCCACACAAGTGGTCTTGGTTAAAATCAGCGGGTCACAAAACAAAATAAATAAACATGAGTGTGTGAAAGGGACCTCTAAAGAATATGATGGGGATAAAACAGTAATGGAGACATAAAAGAGGGTAGGAGTGAGAATAAATCGATTGTACTAGCACGTGTACGAAACTGTCAAAGAACAAAGAGTAAAAAAAACCACAATGTGATGTCACCCCAAACCCATTATCAAAAATAAAAAGATAACTACTAGTTAAAACAAAAATGGAGCTAGGTAAGACCTCTTGCACACTGCGGGCAGAGATAGGATGTTGGTACATATGGAGGGTACGTGGCATGGGGGTTCCCCAAAACAATTAAAAATGGAATAATCAGATACTCGAGGGTCCCCATTTCTGAGCATCTATACTAAAGAATTGAAATCAGAGTCTTAAGAGCATTGTCTGCCACAGTCAGCATGAAGAAATGACCTAAAAACCAGTCAGAGGGTGTGTGGAGAAAGAAAATGTGTCCTGCACATGTAATGGAGTAGCATTTAGCCTGAAAAGGCAGGAAATCCTCTCATAGGTGACAACATGATGAACCGGGTAGTCATTAGGTTAGATAAAATAGGTCGGTCGCAGGAGTAAGGTGTCTACAGTCATCAAAAGCATACATAAAAGAGCATCGACTGCCAGGGCTGGGGGTGAGGGAGGGGAGGGGTGCCGCTCTTCAGCAGACTGCTGTTTGCTGTAGAGTTAGGTCAGATGGATGGCTCTAGAGATCTGCTGCGTGGTGCTGTGCCTGTTGCTAGAAGCACTGCATTGCGCATTTATAAGCTTGGTTAAAACCGTGTGTCTATGCCTGTGTGTGAGGTCTTGCATGCACGTGGAAGCCAGGAGAGGACACAGAGTATCTCCCCCATTGCTTTCTGTTTTATTGCCTCGAGGCAGCGCCTCACTGAAACAGAAGCTTGCTGTGTACGCTCAGCTGGCTGGCTGACCAGCAAGCTCCTGGGATCCACTTATCTGTTCCTCACACCTCTGTGGTTTCAGGCCAGCATGACAATGCTGGCTTCCCTTAAGACTTTTTAATAAAAACACAAATTTCAGTGAGGGGCATCCTAGTTGTGATGATTCCCTTTCCATTGCTGTGAGAAAACGCCATTATCAAGGCAGCTTACGGAGGACGCATCTGTTTGGGCTTGCAGTTCAAGCGATAAGAGCACACGGTGGCGGAGCAGACATGCCTGGGGCAGGAAGCTGACGGCTCTCATCCTCAAAGCACAGGCACGAAGCAGAGATCACACTCGGAATAGCATGAGGCTTTGAAAGCTCAAAGCCCACCCGCCAATGACATTCTTCCTTCAACAAGGCCACTGCTTCTAAACCTTCCCAAACAATGCCACCAGCTGGGGACCAGCCATTCAACTAACAAAACTATGGGGGCCATCTCACTTGAACCAGCATATTAATCCAAGTAAACACAATTACATCTAAATATCTGAAAATCTTTATAAATAACTGTCAGTTTTTCCTCTTAAGTTGCTTAAGTTGCATTTATAGCTACAAATGCAAATACTAACTAAGTAAGCACCAAGGGAGTGCCACTAAGAAAACCAGAGCACAATGGCTTCAGTATGAGCTCCCAAGCTTTCGAAGTCATATCAGCACAACAGAACTTCTGAAATGACAAACTGAATTTGCATTAGTCGTGATAAACCACAGGGACCATCTCACATGGCAATATGCCCAGTGCCTACTTGATAAAGAACTTACCTCAAAATTGACTTTTTCAAAATTTTCCATGGCCTCCAAGTGATCCCTTTCACCCTCCAGACACTCAGTCAAATCCCGGCACCACATGATCTGAGAAATAGTCAGGATCACCTGCAACAGGCCTCTCCGTGAGCGTGTGCTGTGTGCACCAAGGCGGCTCCAGAAAGAGAAGCTGAACTAGGGTGCTACCTGGGAAGGGTGGCCGGCGATCACCCACTCGGCCCTGGATTTCCCCTGGTAGTCAGCGATGGCAGCTTTGCACAGGCGGCGGAGAGACGAGAACATGGCTTCCTCCACCTTCCCGAGCCACTCTTCCACGTTGCCTCTCGCCTTGAGGCCTTTCCCCAGGCCGACCTGTGAGGAAATGAGGATGAGAAGAAAGAGTCTTAGGTGGGAACAGTGAGCTGTCCACCTGTTGTATTTCTACAGCCACGCCTCCCCAGCCCAGCTCTGTAAACATGAGGCCTTTGGCATTGTGTCCCGGAACCTGCCCCCCACTGCTTTCTAGGAAAAACATATTCTTAGGCCCAGCTCCGTGGAGGACGATTCCCCGCAGGCTCCACGGCCTGAAGGAATTCAGTCTTCTCCCTTCCCATCGTGTCGCAGTCTGAACCTTACCCCCACCATTCCTGCACATCTTTTCTCATTAGTTCCGGTGGCCACATCCGAAAGGTTCAACCCACACCTTTTCAGCATCTCTTGCTTCTTTTTCTGACTTCCAATCATGTGGGTGTCTGCTCGTTTGGGATTCCCTGGGCCACTTTTTTCACCTTCCTTTGAAACTTCATGTTTCCTCAATGTTCTCTCATTAACCCTCTCATTTATTTCCTTCTGCATCAGCAATGATGCATGCATGTGGGCATGTGTATGTGTGTCTGCCTGTGTGCATGTACATGTATGT